TTTTTTTCCCTAGCTATAACTTCTCAATTCACTATCAAGATAATTCTAGGACTAGATAGATAAAGAACGCAGGTGTAATTTAACTTAGTTCTATCAATCAATTACGGTTTCAAGCTATAAAAGGTGCCCTTAAAATATATGAAGTAATCAAGGCACCAAGTATGATCCAGAACTAAACGATAAGTAGTAGAGACTATATATGGAATTAAGGGTAAGCCTAGATGTACATATATATAAGAATTGTGTCTTATATCAATCCTATGGAGCGATTAAACTCACGCCTGTCTGTTTATTTTACCTCGTGATGGCGAGTCATCCTCGTCGAAATGAATGCCACATGTGATTGGCCTCCTTGATTCAAGTAAGACTGCATATGCATGCTGAGGTAAGAACGTCACATCTGTGTTCAGCTGACCTTGAGCTGGTTTTGATTTGCAGTGGGGTTTCCAGCTCAGCCTCGTTCATCATCACGTAAAAAGCACGTTGGCAACAATCAACGAGCGTCGGGCGATCAACCCGGCGTATGTCACCAAACCATGGCGCCCGAGCAGAGCTCCAAAGTGTACAGGCTGAGATATGTGCCTCGCTATGCGGACCGCCTGGATGCCGCCAAGATTCTGGTCGGCTGCATCCCTGGCCTTCAGTTGGAGGAGATTCAAATCAGCTCCCTGGCATTAGCCGTCGATAGTCAGTCGAGTAAAACAGCAACGGTTATGTTCAAGTCCACACCTCATATTCTCGACCGCGAACCGAGCCAAAACCAATGGGACTTTACCGTTGCTGGGCTCCCGCGATCGATTGTGCTGGACACCCACTTCTATGGCCTGACTCCATTAAATGAAGTGGATGAGAGCAGTCATATTACTGAGTTAGCATTTTCATCCCGATCTTTCAGACATCTCGCTTGGAGAACTAACCGACCGTTCATTAGCTGTGTAGTCATCTCTGGGCTGGGAAGCCACCCCATGGGATCCTGGCAGCCAAGGGGTGCAAAAAGCTTCATGTGGATTCGCGATGAATTGCCAGATTTGCTCACCGGAATTAGGTTTATCATTTATGGCTATGATACCAAACTTCCTCAAAGCAAATCATTCCAGACACTTTCCGATCTAGCGATATCATTTATTGCTAGTCTTCAAGCTGGTGACTGGGTGTCGAAGCCGTTGCTCTTTCTTGCTCACAGTCTGGGCGGTGTTTTAATGAAGCAGTCAATTGTTGCTTTGTCTGGAAACCAGACGGAACAAGAAATCCTAGATGCCATGAAAGGTGGTATCTTTTTCGGTGTGCCTAGTGTAGGTATGGCCGTGGAAGATATCTATGGGATGCTGGGCGAGCAGCCTAATACGGCACTCCTGGACTGTCTCTCAGATAGATCCGACTATGTGCTAAAGTTGGAAGAGGAATTTGAGCGTGTATCATCTTCTCAATGTATGAGGGTGATTTGGGCATATGAAACGCACGAGACGCCGAGTCTTTCAGTAAGTACTTATACTGCGTGAATACGTTAGAAGTTCAGATGCTCACTGACTGGGCACTCAGCAATCTGGAGAGTCCTGGGGCCGGTCTGGAACTGGCGTCGTCATGGTTCCGCCATCTTCAGCCACAGGAGGCCGTATCAAATCCATAATATTACCTCTCGGCCCAATCACCTCAAACGATCAGGGCATTCTTCAAATCGATGCCGATCATTCGAACATGGTCAAATTCACCAGAGGACACGAGCTAATAAGAACTGTGGCCGGCAAATTGAAGCAAATCCTGCGCGGCGATATTCAACTTGAAGGCGTGTACCAGCAAGGCGAGAGCCGCGCCACATCCAATGGTGCCCCCAAATCGACATCTGCCTTTCGTGTGCGATGTGAAGATTTACTTTCTGCTTTGATTCAAATCAATCATGTCCCAGCTGACACACCAAAAGCTTTTGACTTTGAACACGAAGTCTCGAGATTTCTCGTCTTCAGTGGGGCGATGATCAAAATGGCGAACCAAATGAGCCACCAGATGTTTAGCACTCGCTCTCAGCTCCCAGTATGGATTAATGACGTTGAAGACTTGCAATGGCTATTTGAAGAGATGTGTTCTTCTCCAACAGCGCACGGTGCGAGACTCGTATCAGTTTTGAACAGCTGCACAGACTCGTGTTCCAAGACGCTGAATGTAATTGAAAGCACAAGCGTGTCCACGGAGAAGAAGTTCTTCGGTCGCCCACCCAATCGAGACTCCCTGAAACAAATTCTAGGGCTAAGTAACGACAAAGAGGAAGTGATACGGCAATGTTTTGAGCAATTGTCAAGAAGTAGATCTATTCTGATTGTATCACTTGAGCTGTTGATAGCGTAAGTGTATACTGCTTTGTTTTCTACTGTAATGTAATCTTGCTGATGCAAAAAAGGGACTTGAGTTCGGAAAACTTTCGAAAACTCAAGGATTCCCTGGATTTGACATCCGAAGAGTCCCAATGTATTGGAGCCCTACGCATCACCGACCCGACCAGTGATCGCGACTGCATCACGACTGACAAAGGAGAAATTGTCAAGGGGACATGTAGGTGGATTCTATCAACCGCGCAATTCCGGTCGTGGATAGAAGGTTTTGGGGTCTCTCGGACACTTTGGATATCAGCACCACCAGGCATGGGTAAAACCCACCTCTCCATCTTTCTATCCAAGCGCTTGCAGCGCCTGTGTGAGGTCCAGAAAGACAGCATTGCCCTCTTCTTTTTTTGCGACAACAAGGTGGAAACACGGAATACGGGCAGCAGCATACTTCGCGGTCTAATATATCAGTTGATTCAGTACCGCAAAGAACTGGTGAGGATCCCTCTGCAGCAGTGGAAAATACAGGCAAATGTCTTCTCCAGTGCAAATTCGTTTCAATCTCTCTGGGGAATCTTCGAGGATATAATAGAATATCTGCCGGATACCAAGGTCTACTGCCTGATTGATGCGTTGGATGAATGTGAGAAGGAGTCAGCGCTGCTGGTATTGAAGAATTTCAGCAAGCTTATTGAAGCAAAATCAACAGTCAAGCTCATCGCAGTAAGCAGGAGACACCCGGAACATATCGCTGAATCCCTGTCTTCAGCTATTCCTGTTGAGATTGATAGTGACATAGCCGCAAAGGACGATGTCAAACGCTATATTACGGACAGGGTGGGCAACTTGGCTCGGATCAAAGGGATTTCCAACAAACCATTACATCGTCAGATTGAGGATGTGTTCGTCACAAGAGCACAAGATACGTTTTTATGGGTCAGTTTCATGACGCATGAGCTTCTTCCGAAGACAGTGGTGCAGATAGAAGCGGCACTGGACCAGCTACCGACGGGCCTCTACGCGGTTTACGACCGAATTCTCGGGCAAGTCGACCCTGAAAAGGCAGAGACCATATCAAAACTTCTGGCCTGGGTCGCATTGGCTGCAAGGCCGCTTGCAGTGTCGGAAATATGTGAAGCGTTGCATATTCAATCTACGCCGTTCGTTGAGCGTGATGGAGTTTGTATGGATTATATAACAGCGTGCGGGCACTTACTTCAAGTCACACAGCTTGAGGCTTGTGCGTTTTGGTGAGTTGAGCAACAAGTTGCAACAAGGTGAAAAGTATGCTAAATGAGAAAACCCAGGGACATTGACTGCGAGTGTGACGACGGACTATTTGAGGAGGACGGAAAGCAGTATCAACAGCAAGTCACTTTGGTTCACCAGAGCGTCAAAGACTATCTTCTGAATAACCAAGCGGATATCAGGATGAAATTTCACGTTCATGACCCACGACGTATGCACGAAGAAATAGCTACTAGGTTAATGGAAGAAATGAGAAATGGATGTGTGAACGCTTGTGAGAGCTACCCAGAATGGTCATTGTCGAGGAGATTAGCATGGCCGCTTGGTATCTATGCCGTTTGTCACTGGGATTATCATTTTTTGCAGGCTTCCAACTACGAGGCATTTGCCCACCTGCATGAGGATTTCTTCAGTGAGAGATCGGCTCTTCGAGACAAGTGGTACAATTGCCGGAATGGTGATCTCGAAGAAGACGATCAACCATCACTGTTGGCTGTCGCATGCGAGTTCGGCGGGGAAGGTCCAACGCGGCGGCTGCTGCAATTGAGGACGGAGCAGTTTGGGAGTCGCGAAGTCGAAGCCTATGTCAACCAAGAATTCGGAACAGATCTCGCCACCGCGCTGGAAGTGGCCTGCATCGCCTGTAAACACGACACGGAGGCGGTGTTGACGCTCTTGCTTGAATACGGTGCATATCCTACCAAGAGGGCGTTGACCTCTTATTGTTGGGCGTCCGATGAGCCAACCACCTTCGCCCGGATGCTGGCAAGCAGAGGCGCCCGGGAATTGCTGGAAGCACGAGGAGATGAAATTCTCTGTGAAGCTGCTTGGTACAACAGGGTCAGCCTGTGTCGTGTATTGATTGAAACATATGGGGTGCCCGTCGATGCGAGAAACGAGCTCGATCAGTCAGCACTCGGCAGCGCCCTCCAAAATGGACACATGGAACTTGCAAATATTTTGGTTAACAAGTGGCGGGCAAGCACTGATGACCATTTGCATCTACTAAACAGCGTTTTTAGTTCTTATGATCACGGTACTAACTTGCGAAACCTTCACCATATCATCAAGCAGTGGGATATCAACATCAATGCGTCCCACCCTGTCTCTGGAAGAGGTCTCGTACATCAAATGCTTATGGCATACTTGAGTGAAAAAGACCTGAAATTGCTTTTGCATCTTGGGCTCGATCTGTCCGCACAAGATCTCTGTGGGAACACCATCTTGCATAGCATGCACAGTAAGTATAGCTCGCTAGACTCGGTGATGGTAGGCATGGATGTGCTCCGGCTTCTCCTGCAGGATGAGCGCCTCAATGTCGATGCCGTAAACGACAACGGCGAAACGGCTCTGCATTTGTTTATTTCCTCCTCCAAGAGCTGGTACTATTATGATACACAAACAATCGCCAGCAAAAAGTTGTGGAAAATGGCCAAAAACTTACTGGACTTGGGTGCCGACCGGAATTTGAAGAACAAGAAAGGCAAGTCTCCTTTGGACCTGGCCTACGAAGGTGTAGATAGCGCGTGGGAAAACTACCCAAGCTCGGGCTCGACATCTCCATCGCTTTCTTCATTCTCGTCGGGTGAGGATGAAAAACGTATGATATACGAGTACAAGCTAGATGTGTTTAATCTTCTCTGCGCCTACGCAACAGTTCCTCTCTTTAGTCCTACATCGGAAAAGGTTGAGGCAGAGACAGCGGGTTCCCACCATAGAGATGAAAGTAGCACCCAAACATTGAGGGCAGGAGCCAAAAGATTTGGCAAAGCGCTGCACTATGTGAGCTCTTTCCTCCATGATCAGAGGGGACGGTGGTTTGGTCGACCACGCAGGCGGAGGGTGCTTGTGATTCGTGATTCGAAAGCCACATCTCGATACACTCTTCGCTGATTTCAAAGAAGATCCCGGTTTATAATCTGACTAGAAATTTGCACGTCACTGAAATATATTCATACGATGGCATCTGCTCTTGATCATAACTGAGCGCCAATGTCAGGGAAGCGAGCGATTAGAGCTATTCAGTAGATGTACTTCAACATGTTATTATTGAGTTATACGATAATGTATCATAATTATGCACAACAGACACTACTCCTTCTCCCTCCTATGGTACTCCTCGTCTGTAACAGGTTCAAGCCAAGTGGTGGCTCCGATGCCGACAACAAAGTGTGTCAGGATACTGCCATCATCTGCCCCGTGCCAATGTGTAGTTCCCGGCTCGGCCCAAATCGTGTCGCCGGCCTTGATGCGACGTGCCTCCCCTCCTTTGTCGCATATCCATCCAGAACCAGAAACGACTTTGATCAATTGACCTCCTTCATGCGTGTGCCAATGAGATCTGGCACATGGTGTAAAAGTAACATTGCCGACTCCGGCGTCGGTTCCTTTGTGGACGAGATCCACAAAGACTTCGCCAGTGAAAGTAGCAGTAGGCTTGGCAACACTTCCGCCCGATTGGGGAAGAAATATAGATCCGGGCATGTTGATTTAATATGTGACCGTTGATCGGAGTTGGTATCTTAATCTAACGAAGCTGAGGACTTTTGATTGATCGAGGGATTAAATAACTCAAATAGGAGTCTCGGAGTCTTGATGGTGACTAAAATGGAACAACAATGTGGATGTTTTGCGAGGGCAACATCAACAGCGACAGCTCAACTAACATGGAGAGTGAGAAACGAGATATTAATGTTCGATAACTGCCGTCATCGGACATGGCATGAGTGGATATATATTAGAATACCAGAAGCGGAGAGTGCAACTTTCGATGTCTGACCAGTCGAGGCTCACGATTCTCGCAGATGATGGCGCAAGTGGGCCGGACCCGATGGCGACATTCCATCTGCATATTCCTCAATCGATGCTAAAGACGACAATTTGATGAACAAGTTCAGATTAGCCTGGTTCGGACTTAGTCTCTTCAACACGAAAACCATCTACTACATATGGCCCAGCGTTTTAGTAATCATAATACACAGTTGTGCTCTTGGCCTATCCTTTCATCATGGCCAGCTAGGCCAGGCGAATTGGCCGCTAAACGGATCAGAAACGCCTTCAGATTAAAACTGAAAATATAAAGCTGATATGCACATCAATTGAGATTTAGTTTCTGAGCCAGAGTCTTCCAAGCTTTGATACCTCTCTGCGCATGCTCCCCTGGAACATGTTCCCCTTCCTCTGACATTGACTTTGAGAACAGTTCCATTGATACATACCCCTTATACCCCATGTTGAATATAATGGTTTTAGCAACATCCTCTGACGGGAGATATGCACCCCGCTCCGTTTCGTACATGAACAGTCGCGCGTTGCGGGACCAATTCATTCGAGGCGGATTGCCTTCAGTGTGGAAAGGATGTCCAGCTACCAGAGGGGATGACATTCTCTCCGCATCCACTACCTGGATATAGAAGACTTTGGTAATATCCACCTCCTTAGCCATTCGTTCCAATGAACGAGCCAGATCAGCATCCGCGTTTGGCGTCTTCCCAGTGGGTGAAGCAGGATCGGCCCAAACTCGCCCCGCGATGTTGAACGTGTCTAGACACACGCCGAAATTAGGGCGATCGACACGCTTCACAACATTCCATAGCTTGTCCCATGTATCGACATAGGTGCTCCAGCATAGATTCTCGTAAGCAAACTTGACGACTGGCGTTTCAGCTGCCCCCAGGTCTGCCAACTCTCGCAGGTCGGATGCAATCAAATCAACATCGCCGATGAGCTGGTCCGCCGGGAGGAAGTTGGCCGGGATTTGGATGATGTCGGTTTTCAATATCTTGACGATCTGGAGCCACAGCTTCATTTTTTCTATCAAGGCGTCGTGTTGAGCCCGATCTTTGAGCCCTTCATAGAAGAGAAAGGGCTGCATGCCGATTATGTCGAGGCCATTTTGCTGACAGACCTCCGAGCAATGGCTGGCTGCATCGAGAAGCTGTTTGGGGCTTGGAGAATCGTTGTTGGATGCTTTACGAGCAACATAGTCTAGATCTTCGTAGAAGATTTCGATGCCCTTGAAGCCGGCTTTACTGGCCTCTTGCACTTTGTGATCAAATTCATGAAGCCAAGCTCGACCGAGCGAAGCACTCATGATAGCGGGTTTATAACTCATCTTGAACGAGTATTATGAGGAGGACGTATGCTGGAAATTGGTAAAATTGATGCAATGATTGATACGTGCGTGATCTTAACAAGGACGATGATCCGGGGTTGTTTTTCCATATCCCGCTCGGCGAGGAAAAGCGAACATCATGACACATTGGGGCAACACGGCAAAACTCTTTGCCAGTACATCCTCTCGGTTCACCCCCCCACATACACCGTTACGACGGGCCACAGTCAAAGCCGTAGAAGATGGTTTCATGAGAGATTAATAGGAATGACTGAACCTCGGATGTTGCTATGAATCTGGTCAGAAATCACGCAGTTTCCGAGTTAAATTCGCCTGTAGAATATGTGAAAGCCTTCTTGAATTTGCTATATAAGATGCGACGCTAAGGTTAATAATCTACATGTACTTGATTCGCTAAACGCCAGATCACAAAAATTACCCACGAATTCCCCGATGCATCTGATTGATGTATGATACCTATCATGTCCTTCCCTGAACCATCTCCTTTATTCGTTGCGCTACAATTTCTCTCATTAAATGCTGGGGGGCCGTTCTGCCCGTGAATAGCTCAAATTGGGCGATTCCCTGCTCGGGCAGGACTTCCAAGCCCTCGACAGCTATCCAGCCTTTCTTTCGGAGAGCTCGAACCTGAGAAAGCAGTGGCGTTTCACGGGGATTGTAGGCCAGCTTCAAAGAAAAGATTAGTTAGTACGGCCCCAAAATAGATATATCCATGATGGAGAGCAACTTACTTCAATAACTACGCCGCCCGTGGCGCTCATGAGCCAAGCCTCGGGAAGCCGGTTGTTTGGCGGTATTGGGCCGTCCTTGCTGTCCATGGGAATGCATGAAACGATAATGGTGGGCGGATTGATACCTGAAGGCATGGACTCATCTAGGGAAGGAATCGCATGCACCCGGATAGGGCCTGTGGTCGGGTTGATTGGCGTACTCGTGCCGGAGGAGCTCTGTGGTGATGAACTCGGGCTTTCCTGTAGTAGATTGATGTTATGAACGGAGAAGGTTCTGCCATCAAAATGACGGACGAGCTTCTCTGCGTTGGACAATGTCCGATTATAGATGAGAACGGTCTGGACACCCAGCCGAATGGCTGCATATACGGCTGCTTGAGCCATACCTCCAGCACCGAGAATAAGCGCCGTTTTCCTGTTATTGGCCGCATTGATGGGTGACAAGTTTCGACGGATGCAGGTATGAACACCGATCCAGTCCGTATTGTCACCGAATAAGGCGACTACCGGGCCAGCCCTGTTGCGTTCAATAAGAGAAGGGAGTCGTTTTGATCGGAGTGGAATCACGGTATTGACGGCCCCTATGGCCTCGGCTTCTGGGCTCACGTAGTGTAGGAGGGAGAGGATTTCCCGTTTGAAAGGCGAACTGATACTGGCGCCCCCGAAATTAGGGTCTAGACAGACTGGTTTCAAGTCAACCAACGTCGGAGACTGATAAATCTGATATCGATGTGGCATCCCGCAGAATTCGAAGGCAGCATTGTGCATCGGAGGCGACATGGCCAAACTAACTGCGCTTCCGAAGATGCCAAATACCAGTTTATCCAGAGTGAAGGAAGAATATAGGGCATTCTGTGCATCCTGTACCGTGAGCATGGGGATACTTGGTGGGCTGGGTTGTCGAGCCTGCACCAGAGCATGAGTGACTGGAGTCAGGGTGGAGTTGATGAAGGAGGATGCTCGGCCATAAAGCCCTATATTGTAGGCAATAAGTGGTATCCGGGATAGTCCAAGTCTTTCAGCTTGGAAGATGAACCGCTGTCTTGCAGTGTTGTCTTCGAACGAGGCGGAATATTGACAGATTCGGACCAGGTCACAACCCCATTGGTTGGCCTTCTCAAGGAGATGGAATCGAGAAGCTGAATCCCAAGCTCCTGGTTCTGGCTGAGGATCTGAAAAATGGCCAATTATCTTTGTGCCTACTTTCCGCGCGATCAATGTTTGCGCGGAATCCTCGTCGTATGACAGATCAATTGTGAGATAATCTGGAGCCAGTCGAAGTCCGTGGTCAAGCACCTCGCCGTATGTTTCAATGCGCTTAGCTGGCGGTGGAACAAAAGCCCCCGGGAGGTTATCATCTGAGAAACATACGTGGAAGATTACAGGAAGTCGGACATTCCGGCGTAGAGTGTGGTATTCCTTCGTCAGATAGGTGGCAATGGAATTGTTAAATGCCTTGCCATCAGCGAGCAGCAAGCTGAGATCGATGACTAGCTCCACTGCATCGACCACCAGGTCGGTCCGGCGAAGTTCAGGGGCAATCTCGGAGACAATTTGTATGGGAATGGTAAGAGCATAAGTGAAGGGTTTTGATTCCGGAGGGAGGAAAGAGAGGGAGTGACGAGCTTGCAAGACACGGGGTCGGGAGGACTGGCTTCTAATACTGTAGATAAGACGAATGAAATCCTGTTCCACATCCTTGAGGATGAGGGAGGGGTGATGCTGGAACTGCGCGCCGAGCGAGTTCATTGACTCCAGGCGTTCTGAGAGATTATAGAACTCAAAGTTGGACAGCTTTCTGTAGCTAGGACTCGCCAGCTCGGAGAGTTTGGCAATCTTGGCCACATCCTTTGTGCGCAAATACTGGTCTATATCCTCCGGATCACGCAAGATGTAGATGACAGGATGCCTCTTGCGGAAATCCTTGAGAAGCTCCTGACCAGTGCCCTCCGCAGACCCAGGCCCACAGACGATGATGGATCGAGTTGGGTTTTCTTGAAGGAGAGTGTGCATAAGTTGGAGCTCGTGCTTTCGATATGCTTCAAAGCCATGTCGCGACAGGTATAGGGCTCGTGGGAGCCCGGTTGCCTGATAAAAATGTTGATCTGCGTCGACAAGCCGAAAGCCTATGCAACTTGCAGCTAAGAGGGCCAAACTAGTTTTACCTGTTCCACGAATGCCCAAGATGAGAATGGACGCATCGAGGTCCCATGCCGATGCTGTGACGGTCCTGGACAGTGTTGATGCTGTTGGGACTGAAGATAGCGCTAAAGCACCTGGAACCCCCGAGTCCATTGCGGTAAGACTTCTTGCAGCATCTAGCAGGACCTGTACTGGGCTTTCATGCTTGTGTGGTGTTCCATTTCGGCTTGAAGATGCATCAGAGCTGGTGCTCCTGTGCACAGCCCTCGTCATGGCTCTGTTCTTGATGCGCTGAAATGCTGAAACAGCGGTACTGGCATTGCTCCAGGCAGCAAGACCGTGGATTTACTCTTGCTTCTCCCCAGCCTTTAGTAGCGTTATCAAAGAGAAAGCAGGAGATTATAGAGCTGTAGGTAGAACGGCATAAGATCATGAAAGTCACGGCTTCGTTGATGTGTCTCGTGCCGACATAAGGGCAAGTACGGACATCTGACAAGAGTGGAAGACAAGACTTCAGCCCCAACAAGGATCGTGTGCGGAAGACGTGGGAATGGAGGCCCCAGAATAAGTTTTAGTGTCGACTCAGGGGCAAATCAACATCTTCCTGGTGGACCCCTTGGAAAGGTTTCGGATGAAAGGTTTACCGGTCTCCACAAGACTCGTCGTGCTTGACTCGGAGCAGAACCCTTCTACCTGTTAAGCAATCGTCCGGCCACGCATGCTTGCTCGGATGTTTGTCAGACCATTTCTCATCTGTTCTTCTGTTTTCATTACCCCCAGATCTTCCTATTCCGGGGTCCAGTGTTCCTCTCCACTGCGCTGGTGGGTCGGATGAAACCCCTTTCCCGGCACTGCTTGTTCCCACTCAAACCACCCGCTTCTCACTTTCTCCGCTCGGCTTGAGAAACATCCGTCTGTGTTTCAATGCGGCTATGACAGGCCCTGCCCCAGGCGCTGGGCCACCTCCGCCATCCGATGATATCGGAGGTGCCTCGGAGGATGAGGGCCCTGTGAAGAAGCGTCTTCGAGTATCTCGGGCTTGCGATCCCTGTCGTCGTCGAAAGGAACGCTGTGATGGTTCACAACCCACATGCCAACGATGCATCAAAGCCGGGAGGCCTTGTTCTTATATCCCTTACCGGAAGCGAGGGCTCCGTACCGGCTATGTTAGAGGTATCGAGATTCTCTTAGGGCTCCTCATTCATTCATCCCCTGGTACCGAGGAACTCATATCTGCGGTGCTTCGTCACAAGGCGAACCAATCCACGACCTTGGGTCCTACTTCTGCCCCTCCGACTACATCGTTACTGAAGTCATGGCGCAAGAGCACAGCCCATGAGATTCTCCAGGGAGCACTCTTATCTTCGGACGATGACGAGGATGAAGATGTGTACCTTCAGAACCTGGATGACAAGCTCACATCTGCATTCAACGCGCTGCCTCGCCAGTACCAAAGTACTAGCTTTGGAGAGCTTCCAAAACCAGCAAACGTAATCAAACATCTTCCAGAGACTATCTCACCCGTTGTTCCATTACCATTCCCTAAACAGCCACAGCCCCCTACTTACGGTGATCCTAACCCGAATGTTTTTTCTATACCCACATTGCCACCGAACTGGTCTCAGTTGATTGAAATATACATGACCAACACCCATTGCTGGTTACCAATAATACAAAAATATACACTCTATCGCTCCGCAAGCTTACTATGCGGTCCGGGAGGTCAAGGTCAAGGTCCGAAGCCATCGTCAGGGGAAATGTGTTCTCTCTGGGCCGTTCTTGCCTATGGATCGCATCAGCTACTGGTTCTAGATCCATCCATGTCATCCACGACTCCCTCGGGAACTTCTTTATATGCCTTGGCTAGGCATATGGCAGGACAGGGGCAGGTGGAATACGACGTTGGCCATGTGCACGCCCTCTTAACCTTGGCCCTACTCGAGATAAGCCAAAAGTCTTGGATGAATGCCTGGCTATGTGTGGGCCGAGCAGTCTACATTGCCTCTGGTCTCGGAATAGTTCCTGTCAGACAAGGACCGAATATAATTAATTCCGACGATAGCCGCCAAAGACTGGCTCTTGGCTGTTTTGTGCTTGACACACTGATTGCTTCTCGGCTTGGTCTCCGGCCATACCTACAACAGAACGATTTCTTTGATCTTGGAACTCTCAGTAGTGATGGGATCGAGGAATGGGAACTCTGGCGTCCCATTACCAATATTAACATGCAATTGGCCTCTTTTTCTCCCGGGCCAAGCCGAGTACTTAGTACATTCAACCATTTCTGTTACATTGTTGCTATCCTTAACAGCCTACTATGTTCCTCTCATCACAAAAGCGAAACAATCAACCCACAGCAATACATCGACCGGCTCGAGCAATGGAACGATAGGAACCCTCTGCGTGACTGCCTTTCCATGCTCAAAGATCCATCTAAACTTGTATCAGAGGCACCTCACACTCTGCAGCTTAGACTTGCAGCCATGGCAACCTATGCTATATTATCAAATCAACATAGCCGCCAAACAAACAGCACACAAGAAACAGGGGCTTCACTCGTTGCAACCCACGATTCTTTGGCGGAGAGTCAAAGGATCCTAAGCGACCCAGCTAATAATGTTACAGTGGTAAATGCGACACAAGCTTTGCCAATAGCCACGATTTTTCTTGAGATGGTGCAAGCAAACACGAATCTCATTACTAGCACATTAGTTTCGGCTTCATGGAATCGCCCAGCCTTACAGCCTGCGTCTTTGCAATCTGAAAGCATCCCGCCTGAGATGTTAAACGATTCTTTACCTTTGGACGCACAATTACTCGTACCCGCGATAGCTATTCCAGATAGCAACGTATTTGGTGGTGTCAATGATCAGGAATCTTATGCAGCGAAAGACCAAATCCAAGCGGTCCGCACCACGCAAACCATCGGAATGTCCCCTTCGACAAATAAAACGAGTTCGCCTAATACCTCGAATGGGCCAAACAAGTCCAAGAGCCCACTGGGCACAATCGTAACACCTCCTCTGTCTGGTCAAGCAATCGGCCAAGTCCAAGTAGGCGGGGTGGGTATGGAGAATCAGCTCGCAATGTCCAACACATCGCTATCCGAAACGAGTGACCACAACGGTCTATTTAATCAACTTAGTCTATTGGACCGGGCGGATTGGTACGTACATTACAGTAACTCTTGACTAAGATTCTTTGCATACTAACCTCCAACAGGCCAGTTTTCTCGGAAGATTTCATGGAGCATCTGGGTCTCTCCAGAGATGGCTCATTACTGGACTACCACAATATATTTGACCCTTCGTCACCCAAGTTTACTTGATTGCGCATGTTTTGATTTTATTACATAGCGAGGGTTTGGATATATTACGTAGCTTCTGACTGTATAATGATACTGAGTACCAATTCAACACGGCGTTCACACAGTGACTTCTCTGTAGCCAGATCGGGTATATATATATATGGTGATTTTACTGTTTTTAAGTATAAAAACCACCTAGAATCTTGATATCATAATACTGTAATGGTTTCCAGGACTCCTTCAGTCAAGGGGAGAATGATGATCCATTTAGTTCAGAGCCTTCTTCTTTAGCTTCATATGTTTGGCGGCGAACTCCAACGCAGCAGTGTATCCATATGTACCCATGCCACAAATCACGGCAACAGCCCTGTCCTGGAAGTAGCTGTGGTGTCGCCATGCCTCTCGAGTGTGCACATTTGTCACATGCAGCTCCACAAAGGGAATGTCGACGCCGAGAAGAGCATCACGGATTGCAACGCTCGTGTGGGTAAAGGCAGCAGGATTGATCACGATGGCGTCCACGCCCTGCGTGCGGGCTTCCTGAATGCGGTCGACGATGGCCCCTTCCCAATTCGATTGGAATGTTTGCAGCTTAACACCGAGTCCGTCTGCTTGCTTTTGGGCGAGGTCGATGACATCTTGGAGGGTAGTGCTACCATATAATTCGGGCTCGCGAGTACCCAGCAAGTTGAGGTTAGGGCCGTTGATGAGTAGGATACTGCGGCCCTCTTGGGTTGACGTCGATTGGGCCATTGTTGAAGAGAATGTAAATACTTAGGAGGTGCAGAGGAAAATTGTGAGCGACTATGATATTGAAGAACCTGGAGAAGCACTGTGAAGAAGGTCAAGTGGTCTTTATGATGCTACCAAATAGCGAATTTAATATGCTAATTCTCCGGATTCTGCCTTTCTACAGTGAGTATTGCGGGGTATGTACTAATTCAAACGCCATCGGGACCCCTGAAGAAGAGGGATTTCCTCACCAGGATAAGAACTTAGCCGGGTGGCGCCCCATCAACATCCGGGTCGACATTCGGAAGACCATCTATTTTGTCTCTGTGAATGCTTCGGAAGAGAGAAATACATAGTAATTATTCCATCAATATCAAGAATGCCTTGTTATGAGTTTTGCTATTATGATTAACCCGGTGACGTAATTAGTTTTTCGCCTAATATCACTGGAAGCCCACGTATCAGTATGGCTGTATCAAAGGGTTAACTGGCTGCGGTGATCAATGCCAGTACAGTTCGTTTTTACCAGTATAGCATAATTAAATTTGGTAGAGCCACTTAATCAATTGTCAATTATAAACCACTACGTATGGCTTTCCAGCTCAAACTACCAGCTTAGGTAGTCACAGCTCACATGAGATTGAGAGGTCTAGGGTAACCCAGACTTCCTAGCCAAAAAACCGGACGAGTAAAGAGCCGGTTTCAGAGAGTGACGGCGGAAGCAACAAGCGCTGAAACTTGGAAGTAACTTGGAGAAATCCTAGCCTAAAACATGTACGCATGTCTGCCTCAATCATCAGAGAATTGTTTCCATTTGACATTCTTAACTGAAAAACCTCGACTTCCCTCCTCGCAGTAGAAAGAGAAACGACAAAACAAGGGTTAGGGTTGTTATGTCAGCCGGTTTCTTAGGGCGTCTCTGACGTCACTGAATAGGTATGTATCTACTGAATCGTCCTTCAGCAACACAAGCGTTGAAAATTCTAACCAGCATTGCGCTCTAGTCCTGGAGAACGCCCCGAGAGTCTGAACCGATAAGTAAGACATATATTCAATTAGAATACATATCTGGGAATCATGCGTCCTCTAGGTCTGAATTCCAGCTGGTTCAATCCCTCGGCGCTTCTTGGACATCAGTCGCGGATGTCACGGATTCTGCGCGATAAAGTACCAAAGAATCCGCGACCATTCAACGCCTCTGTGCCTAAGGGGAGACTAAAGATAGGCGCACCGTGGTTTCGAGAAGGCTCCGTGAGGGCAAACTCAACCGTATCTACCCCAGGGCTACATGACGAGGGTCGGACGCCTAAAGATCTGTACGAGTTGTCTCTTGGGCTTTCGCGGAGTCGAATAAATGGGAACACAGAAATACAATGTACAATATACGACGCGGAGGGCGAGGAAACCCTGGCACAGAAAATGACAAAGTATGACATGGTCAAGAGCTTTGGGTTCAGTGGTCGGGATCTGCGAACTTTCGATCTCCCTTCCGGCGGATTTCCTCACATTTTGATCCGCGAAGGGACGATACTCATACATATTTTTGATCTAAGACTATTGATCCAGGCGGATCGTGTTTTTCTCATCAATATCGAAGAAACCATTGGCAGCGAAACCGACAATGCATCTCGAGTGTTCCGCCATGACCTCAAGAGTAAACTGCTCGGGAGTCGTGGATCAGGCGTTTCTATCCGACTACCTTATGAGCTTCGAGTGGTAGAGGCAGCATTAGCATCTGTGACGGCGACACTGGAGGCTGAGTACTTGCTAGTCAAGAAGGAGGTGTCTCAGACCCTTGCTTCCCTTGAGAAGGAGGAGCACCCTCTGAACTCGGAGCTCAAAACTCTTCTCGACTTGGTGCGGACTCTCGTAGACATCGAGAAACGTGGAAAGCAAGTGAGAGAAGTCATTCAAGAGGTGTTGAACGAAGATCAGGATATGGCCGACATGCACCTCAGCGATAAGAAAAACGGCCTTCCCCACACAGCGGCTGATCATCAGGACGTTGAATATTTGTTTGAGGCATTCTACAAGGCTAGCGACAGCGTAGTGCAGGAGGCAGCCAGTTTGATCAGGTACATTCGGCAGACAGAAGAGACGATCCAATCAATTTTAAACGTCCGACGGAACCAGATCATGGTCCTGGAGGCTAAGATTGAGATTGTCATGGTTGGCCTCGCGACTGCCACGCTTGTGGCGGGATATTACGGCATGAATGTGGTGAACTATCTGGAGGAAAGCACTTGGGCATTCGGACTGCTTTGCTCATCATCTATCATTGGAACAGGGCTCATTTGGCGATATGGGATGAAGCAACTACGTCTCATTCAAAGAGTCAAGTCTGCAAATGCCCCTTTATCGCGGTCAACTTCTCGTTCTTATTCAAAACAGCCCAGAGTGTGAATATGACTCAATCTAATTACTGTCCATAGTTCAACACAAGATCGAAAATGTCAAAGTTTCTCCAGACTCTCTTCTCAGTTTCCGCATCATCCGGCCAAGTGCTGGGGTGGGACATAAGAAGCGGCACCTCCTGCTCTGAAAACCCGCCGTGAGACCGTAGTCTATGACCCTTTAAAACACTAAGATCGTGTTTCTTGGCCTTGGCACCGATGACGGCATTCTTGGTGGATATCACAACAAAGTCACCCTCACGGTCAATTGGCGTCTCGCACTTTTGTGTTGCCTCATCCTTTAGCATCGCCACCTCAACCTGTGGGAAGGTCTGGCAGTGCTTCGCCATTTCGGGGGCGAGATAGACGGCCTTTCCACTCACATGCACACGGACAAAGGACCCGAGTGCTCCATGATGCTTGACGAAGGGGTCAGTGATGGGGCATATGACTCGTGCACAACCCTCTCCAAATTTACTCTCCAGCTCATCTTGTAAGAACAAAACATTTGGCTCACCGGCAGCGTCGGACTTGTCACTCATGCCGTGATCGCCTGTCACTGCAACGATGGCACCGAGATCCACAAGCGACTTGAGGCGACTGTCAATCTCCGAGAGAAACTCGTTAGCCTGTGGCTCACCGGGGGCGTACTTGTGCTGGATGTAATCAGAAAGAGTGAGGTAGAATACATCTGCTCGGTCTTCTTTGAGGAGCTTGATCCCAGCGTCGAGGACAAATAGTGAAAGATCACCAGAGTATTGGCTTGGGCGAGAGCTTCTCCCGAGCCATTCCAGCACATCATCGTCCGCATACTCGGCCGAGTAGCAGATATTTTGCTTCCCTTGCAGACCATGTTGCAAGATTCTCCTCAGTTTATCTTTGGCAGTAATAGCCGCGATTCGCACGCCGCGATGAGCCAGTTCCGCCAAAATGGTTGACCCCCGAAGGAGTGAGTCGTCGACAATCATTGTTTCCTTTCCGGTGTCACGATCAAGAAAATAATTCCCTGCAATTCCGTGAACAGCAGTCGGAACGCCGGTGATGATTGAAACATTGTTAGGGTTCGTAAAGGAGGGCATGGCGACATTGGCCGTGCGACGAAACCCTGAAAGAGTAAATTCTTTCATTGTGGGCAAGATCCAATTTTCAATACCATGCTGGAGGTACTCTGGGTCGAAGCCGTCAACGCAGACGACGACTACTGGGCGCTTTGGAAGATTGTAACTCCTTCCGTGCAAGGTCACTTTGGCTTGGAGATCTGCTTTGTTCTGTTAGAGAACAATCTTCCCAAACATGTTATTCTGAGATCGAAGAAAGGTTTATATCACATACTCTCGGCCTCGCGATGGGACTTTTGGCTTGTCATGGTGTTGGTTGTAGAGGCGTATCTTGAAAAGTTTGGCAACAATTGAAGGATGTAGTCTTGAGATATAGCTCGTATTTTTGTTATTGTGATGGTTGGAGAGAATTAATTGATCTAATAGTAGCGGTGCATCTCGACGTTATATAGCGAACATCTAGCTAACATGGTAACAAATGTCCGGGGCGAAGCCCGGTATGTAAAATGATGACCCACTCGAGCCTCCCATCATTTCTCGGGGCGAAGACCGCAGTTTGTGCGCTTATATATGCGGGGAACATACAAAGGCACCTAAATACTCGGCCGGCACCGGTCTTTCGCCGCACTCTGATCTTGATCTAATCATATTACGATCACAGAACCAACAAACTCGCCGGTAGGACGATATGGCCTCAGAAGAGCCGGTACGCGCTCTACGCGACATATTTGGGGACCCTAAGCCCCCAGAGATAACCCGTAAGATCACGGCGTGTGTAGCATGTCGCAAGCAAAAGGTGAGTAGGGTCTTAACTCTAGCACTTGTCATGAATAAGGTGCTCACGAACGGTGTAGATAAAATGCCAGATGGGCGGCTCTAAACCGCCATGTGTACGCTGTAAAAGAAGGGGACTCTCTTGCGTGGTCAACCAGAGCTTGCAAATGCTGCTTGAAAGCGACGTTCGGTACGTGTTCTGGACTGGCGCATTCATATCTAGCTAACAATAATTGCAAAAAAAAAGCTGGAGGGATTTAGCGGAGAGGAAGTTTAAAAGTCTCCAGCAGGCGGTGCGGCAACTCGCTGACAAGTCGTTATCCGTTGAGGATGCCCGGGCACTCAAGATGTCACTGCAGGATGACGAGTCTCGAGACACAGATGTTTTGAATAATACTCCAGGATCTGAAAAGCTCCCCCAGAGTGGACATATTACATCAAAGCCATCAAACATAACCGTAAATCAAGCAACTGGCGATTGTGAAGTGGTTATGGATTTGGCTTCTGGTGCCAGTTCCATCCCGGGGTTTCACATCTCGCCAACTCCTGGAAACCAGACGGCAGACGTTAATGGCGACCTAATTTCTAATGGTACCATTACGGCTGCCAATGCAGAAAGATATTTCAAGACCTACCAGAACCGCCTCGACCATTTCCCATATCGTATACTTGGGAATCACAGCAACGCAACACTGGATACCATTCGGAAAGCAACACCTCTCCTTACTGCTGCTGTCTGTACGGTCGGTGCACTTCACCTTGCATCCGCAGAATTTGAAGCGTGCTACAAGGAGTTTATATCTTTGTCCGCTACTCGAAGCTTTTCTAAATCTTGCACCGTTGATGATGTTCGAGCACTCTGCATCGGGGCTTTTTGGCTCAGCGGCCATTCCTGGACACTGGTGGCATCAGCCGTTCGGATTGCTACTGAGTTGCACCTCCATAGGAGCATATTCAAAGCCCTGCAAGGCGATCGGGTGCATTACTACAGAACCCGTCTTTACCTGTTAGTATATGCGTGTGATCATCACTTTTCGGTGGCCTTTGGCCGCCCGCCAATGACGAGAGAATGCGAGACAATTCGCAACGTCAGGAAGTTCCTCGATTGCCCTCACGCTACTCCCGATGATGCTCGTTTGGTCAGCCAAGTACTGCGATGGAGTCTCTGCTCGCAGATATATGACTCTTTCGGCGCTGAGGTCGAGAAACCATTGACGAGCTCTCAGATAAAAGAGTTGCAAAAGTATAGCATCGCTCTAGACAGCCTCCGGCTGGAATGGGCTGATAGCTTCAGTCCAAATGTTCATATCGGGGATTATCCGCGAAAGGGAGTCACGCTTCAATACCACTTTGCTAAGCTCTATCTCTGCTCGCACGCTTTCCGATGCACTGAGTTAGCCGGAGGCTTTATTGAGCCCTTGACAGACTTGGATGAAGTCGCAAACATGGCAATCGCGTCGGCTCTCGCTATTCTGAAAGCGGTGGTTCATGATACGGAGATCCAGTCATTTCTTGACGGTCTCCCGATTTATTTTGACACTATGATTGCGTTTGCGGTCGTGTTTCTTATCAAAGTCTTCTCAAATAATTACTTCGTGTCGGTTCGGCCAGACAAAACAGAAGTTTATAAGCTGCTCGAGTTTCTACTCACCACATTAAAAAGGGTGATATCCACAATGCACCCTCAGCATCTTCTTGTCAAGATTTGCAGAGGAATCGAGACACTACTTCAGCGATCAAACTCGGGAAATGCCTTGGGTCTCCCCCATAGCGGAAGCCCGGTAGCTGGTAATTCTGGCAACGGATATACAGAAAACCCCGACTGGGACACAAGTCACGATCTTGAGCTATTTTCTATGAGCGAGTATGACTTTTTGAATCAGGATATTGTGGCCGACTTTCCTTTTACTATCGATACCGACCCAGCTCTGTAGCCATACCAATATTACCAGACTTGCACCTATCCTTGTACGTATCCTACAATTTGTCTACACCAATTTAAGGCTAAGAGATATTGGACTGCATTAGACCAGTCGCGAGCTGTAGAGTTCTATGCAGTTTGACCGCCGCATTGATAAATAGTTGATAAAATTTCTATGGTGATTCATAATGATGAACTCCGACTCTCGGAGCATACGCAGTCCCCCGCACTCAGCTTCCATGACCATTGGGCGTAATACCATGTGATATGACGAAAGAGTCCAAGCCAAGACGAGCCAACACGGATGCCCTTGGCCCGATATCAAACTGAAATTTCAATTTTCATTGAATTGCCTCGGCTGAGAGGGCCGATACTCATCTTGTTCCCAAAGAAGGAGCGGGGAAACAGGCCGGCACGGTGAACAAATTGCTTCCCGGTGATATCTGAATACCTACTGAGCATCTGCCAATAGTATAAAGCCGACGCTATCCTCCTCGATCCATCTAGTATGCTATCTCAACAAGCCTACACGCCTATAAAATAGTCGTACCAAGGAAACATGGACAACGAGCCCCAAGCAGTTCAAGTCAGCACCACCGAAGATGGTCTGACAACCATCACCGTCAATCGACACCACCGGAGGAATGCCATTGACGGCCCGACAGCCACTAAGCTGACACGAGCCTTCCTCGCCTTCGAGGAGGACCCGACGCAGAAAGTATGTGTCCTCTACGGGGCCAACGGAAACTTCTGCGCCGGCTTTGACCTCCACGAAGTCGCCAAGTTCGACCCCTCCGCGGGCGACAGCTACAAGGGCCCCATTGTCGATCCTGCTCATCGCGTGCGGGGACGCAATCAGGGTCCGATCGGGCCATCCCGCATGCAGATTAAGAAGCCCGTCATTGCCGCTGTAGCCGGTTATGCCGTGGCTGGAGGGCTTGAGCTCTCCCTGATTGCTGATATGCGCGTCGCTGAGGAGGATGCCGTGTTCGGCGTGTTCTGCAGACGGTTTGGCGTCCCCCTGATTGACGGAGGCACCGTCCGGCTTCAGGCAATCATCGGTCTTGGGCGGGCTATGGATATGATACTTACAGGAAGAGGAGTCCCTGCGCAGGAGGCTCTACAGATGGGACTTGCAAATAGGGTGGTTCCCAAGGGCGAGAGTCTAGCGGAGGCCACCAAGATTGCACGCCAGCTCCTGAAGTTTCCTCAGGAGTGTATGAATGTTGATCGGTCCAGCTGTTATTACTCAGTGTACAATGCTACCTCGTTTGAGGATGCACTACGAAGCGAGTTTGATCATGGGGTCAAGGTCGTCTCGACGGAGAGTGTGAAGGGTGCCGCTAGGTTTTCTGGGGGAGCTGGACGGCATGGGAGCTTTGAAGAATCGAAGATATAAGCATCTTCTCCCTCGGTCCCTGTCTTCAAATACTTGTACCATTCTCTCCACTCATTTCATTTCACAGCCTTTCTTAATATGTATAAGATATCAATGGATTGTTTTCGCCTTCAGCTATACACGGCCGTCCCATCAAAAGTGAACCTTGACTTTGCCTGTCGCGTATTCCCCACGTTCAACCTCAGGACTAATGTTAGGATTCTCCAAGGAGCTGTCGTCAATGTCCTCCTTTCTCTTCGACCAAACCGCTTGCCACCTTCCCTTGAGCTCTATTGATACCTCCCCAACCAAATCACTAGGTGGCACGACTTGCTCTCGCAAAGGAACAGGATTCTGTTGGCTCTGGCCAGGCTCCAGAGTGACGAGCTGGTCCCGAGTAGGAGGCCACACCCTGCGCACGGCTATCTTGGGTAGATCCAAGGGTGCATCCGCCCCAGCTGGGGTTAATTGCAGCTTTCCCAGTGCCAGAACAAGCGGATCTAGCGGCGACTCGTATTTCAAGATTGAGACGGGAAATGCGTTGTCGTTGGTGACCGTAGCCACAATCTCGGGGGGCGACGAGCCAGGCGTATGGCTGAGGGACAGCTTCAGGCCCGTAATAGTCGTCATGGCGGGTTCGTGATTGACAAGGTCGAACTGCGGCAGATTCCAAGCTGTGTTGTACAGGAAGAAGAGGGCGAGCGCGGCTAGAATCCCGCCGAGGATGCGAGATGATGAACAGGTTTGCGAATGTACCATGGGGATTCTCCTTTGCTGGCGAAAGTAATGCGTGATTGATGTCGTATGAGGATGGCTAAGACAAATGGTGCGGGGGACAGCGAGATGGTGATATGGCCAGGTTTTAGTTGGCCTGGAATCAAGTGGTGGAACAATGAAATCCCAGTTATGTCACGGGCTACCTGCCAAGCAGAAACAGGCAGCTGTATCATGACACAGCAGCCAAGTCACTGCGACATTGCGGTGGAGTCTGGAACGCCGCTCGAGTTTCACCATCGACCCTCTTGGCATTGAACGAATGACGCAAAATCGCATCGGGCCTGGCTATTTGTGTTTCATCCGGGCTCTGCTGCCCCTTGCCCCTTCTCGTCGTTTCCATTGGTGACATGGTTACTCGATCTTTATAGATGCTCGGAATCAGCCATTCCGGTGGTCTAAGTACCTATTTGGAGACGACATGTACATGCTTAATCAAACAAATCGAAAAATGTTCTCAACTTCAAGAACTTATCCAGTGATATGCCATCTACAGTAAACTCCCTCGGTCATCTGAACCTTCTAAACTCATTCCAGAGGGCCAATATCGAGTTCTGGGTCCCATAACCATCCTTGGTCCTGGCCTATCATGGCAGGTCCATCATTTCCATGATTGCTCGGGAAAAGATCCTCATCTATCGAGGTAAGAAAGTCTGGATATAAGAAAGCTGCAGCGTCATTATAGAGTCAGTCAAGCCGTCTAGATGTAAGGCTACAGGGCCATACCTTGTTCAACAGCGAGCATAGCTCCTGATATTGGAGATTGTGAGGTCGGTTGGCAAAGTTCATACGGGACAGACTGTGTTGACGTGTCGCGCTGGAACCCAGTGTCCATATCGGAACTCTGATCTGCGATGGGAAAATGGCCAGACTGGGCGCCAGATTGGATGGCTTGGACCTGATTTTCGCTTGAAACGCCGAGACCGGTCGGTAGATTATCTCTATCCTGGGATTCTTGCACGCTCGCACGCTCATCCACTCTCTGGCCCTGTGGGCCGAAGTCGAGCATAGAATGTGTTTCTTTCTTCATGACGAGTAGGAAAAGTTTCCTTAGAATTTGAAGTCCTTGATCTGCCACGATGGAGTCAGGTTTCAAGGAGACTTGCATTTCCATTATCCGACGAATGCCCAGCTTAGCTTCAAAGGATTCCTGACTGAGAGGATTCAAGCTTGTCATGATACCAAGCGTGACACCAGCAGTGAGAAGATGCAAAGCAATGAAGTTTAGAGCATAAGTAGTGGAGGCGTCTCTAAAGATACGCCTCTGTCCTGCCCAGGATATCTGAAGAGCTGCATCGTGGCACGTCCGGCTGTAGGCCGATAAGCTTTCTGGTGAAGATGGCGCTGTTGGAATCGTAGTTGATGGGGGGGATCGCCTCTTTTCGCCGTCTTTTCGTAAAAGAAGTGGCCGGTGGATTAGTATCCTGGCATTCTCAAAAGCTAGCTTCAATGCGAGAGCTTGTAGCTTGAATAACTTCTCATCAAAGGAGATATGACTTGGCGTAGGATTTGCCAGATCCCCCCCGGCCTCTGATACCGGTAGGCCCGATAGCCTGCCCATCTTAAGCTTGGGAGGGAGGTCATCGTACCATTCCACGAGCTCCGTATTTAAAGCCTTGATTTTGTTACTTATGAACTGAACTCTCATGGGCGTCTCATTTTGAGTAGCACTGATCCTAGATCTTTGCTGTTTCTGTCGAGATCTATAAAGATGTTCCAGTGCAGACTTTATAATCTTCGACAAAGCAGACATAGAACACTTGTAAACTAGGAGGGTTGGCTGCCGAGAAGATGATGGCTGCCCATCTGCTGCAATAGACCATTGATCACTTGGGTCGAGAGGCTCGGTATTGCAATCGCTATCGGACATGTTAAGTGGAAAGCCGTAGATCATGGAGCAGTAGGTCTCGATCTCGTGTACAGCCCACCAGCAGCGCTTTCTGACTTCAGTCTCATGCTGGGACGCCATGCCAGGCACAGGCCGTCGATGCAGTTCAAGTGCTTGGGCCAGTCTGAGGGCACAGCCACAAAGGGGCCAAGCGAGTTCTGGCTCGCCATGGTAGAGATAATAGCCCCCTAAGAGAACGCATAGCTGAACTGCTTCTAAGGACCCAAGGGATAGAATATTAAGAAGCCTTAGCCTCAAAGTGTTCAGAATCGATTCCCTTAGAGACTCTGCATTCACGCCGTGCTTGGCCAGTTGCTCTCGTTGTGTGGTACTAGTGTACCGAAGACTCAAGGCGCATACAACAAGAAGCACACTGATATACCCTGCCGTGGACTCGTCCTGTTGACCAGTAGCCGGAGCAGTAGAACTAGTGTTCGGATAGAGAGAATCGAGAGCACCTCTGAATTTATGCTGGTGGAAGAGCAACATGTACCAATGAATCTTGTCAAAATAGTTGTCCACGAGCAAGTAACAAATCTCGCGGCTGGGAAGGAGCTTGGATAGTTCTCGAATAGCGGCCTGCGAAACTTTTGGACGCCCATTCCGAGAGTACACGCTCATCGGAGGGAGTCTCCTCGTTTCTGTATCAGCATGAGAATCTAGGCTTTTCGAAGCTTGACTATAGCATAGTGCTGATTTTTCTGCCATCTCAGGTGACGCACAGTCATGCTGTTGGAAAGCCTGTGAAGAAGGATGTCAGTAGGACTTGACAAACCCGGGTCTCTAAACCAACCCATCGTACCTCTTCGACAAGCATGATAGTGGAGCTTGAATTCCCTAAGGCATACTGATCCGACGGCTCAAGATCTCTGATATCATGCGGAGCTGATACAGTTCCGCCGGTAGCCAATGTGGCCTCTTCCGGAGGTGGCTCGTCCCTCCGCTGGACCTGGATTGTATCGCGCCTCGATTTCCTCCCCCGGCCTTCAGTTTTGGCTCCCCGCCTGAGTCGGCGAGAGTACTCGGTTGGCGTATACTCCGCCCATGATCGGGCTTGAGGAGCAATGCACTCGACCCCAGCCCGAGTGCACAGCAGGCATGGTCTTTCGATATCGCACTGGATCTCAACAATCAGCACTCACTCTCGCCGCGGGCTTTAATCTGTAACCTGCCTTCAACTTCTGTTTCCGACATCTAGCGCAAGCGTTGTTGACCTTCCTCGGAGGCATGGTTTCTCAGCACGACGTAATTGTTTCCAATGATTAAACTCAACGAGATTTGTTTTTTTGATGGAGGGAAATGCCGGATGAAGGTTAATTTGCAGGTCTTGCCACCGGGAGGCTTTTCCTAAATTGGAAATCCATTCCGAAGTCGAGAAGAAGCCGGCGGAAGTAGAACTCAGCAGTCAACAAGCTTGGGTCGATTAGACCAATAAAAGTAGGCGAGCAAGTTACGAGGCGTTGTAATGGCATCTTCGGTAAATTGAGTAGTTCTGCTTCACCCAAGCGATGCAAAGCTTCCACCGGAGGCTGACGAACCGGTGTACACATCCTATGTACCATGAAGCCAAGCCGGGTATATAAAGATTCAGCCTTCTCGCAAAAGAGTAATAGGATACGACGGCAACATTGTTCTAAACTTACTGCATCTGCCTCAATAACTGAGACTGCTCTTTTCCCACTTTCTATCCACACCTCGCAGAGAAAGACCCAACACACCATGGCTGCTACCAACAATACAGTCCAAGTAACACTTGGACAGATCGCCAAAATGATCGATCATTCACTGCTTCACCCTACCATGACCGACGAGGATATCCTGGCAGGCCTCCGCATCTCTAAGAAGTACAATGTCGCCACCGCCTGCATCAAACTATATTCGATTCCACTGGCCAAGAGAGAGCTGGAGGGAACCGATGTTCTTGTTTGTCCTGTGATTGGCTTTCCCCATGGAAATAGCACTACAGACGTCAAGGTCTATGAAGCGACTGCAGCTGCCGTCGCGGGGGGCAAAGAAGTCGATATGGTCATCAACGTTGGCAAAGCCTTGGGCGGAGACTGGGGATACGTCGCCGAGGAAATTCGCCAAGTCAACGCAGCTGTTACCAAGCAGGGGGCCATTCTCAAAGTCATTTTCGAGAATGATTATCTGCAGGAAGACCACATTGCCAAGCTGTGCGCGATATGCTCAGATATTGGCGTGGCGTTTGTCAAGACTTCTACCGGGTATGGGTTCGTCAAGGGCTCAGATGGCAAATACTCCTACAAGGGCGCTACGGTGCCGCATCTGAAGCTCATGAGGGAGAAGTCTAGCACGGGAGTTCAAATCAAGGCCGCGGGGGGTGTTCGTACGTTGGATGATCTTCTACATGTCATGTCGCTAGGTGTTACACGGATCGGCGCGACTGCGACTGTTGCTATTATGGAGGAGGCTGTGAAGAGAGGCATTACGGATGAGCCTACGACCGTGCAATTCAGGCCCATTGCCGAAGGAACTTCTGGTGGTTACTGAATACGTGGTGCCGGCAGAACCCTGTATCGGACGATAGCTTATATCGTATATGCGACCTAAGTTCTTTCAAAATGACCTATTTCGTCCAATATACCTTCTGACCGCAACATGTAGACGTATCTTACAAAAACCTGATGATATTGAAGCTCGCTGGGTCCTTTTTGAAACATCGTTTCCGAGCCCCCTGCTGGATGCATTCATCCATAAAGCGGGTGAGGTGGAGATTGAGCCCTGTTTTTTACGGGCGTATACTAATTAGCTACATGTAAAACGGCCCCCTAATGTAGCAGGCTGGCATGTTATTTACTTTCTGAAGATTGGTGGATGGCTTTAGAGCTGGCATGGTGCTTCTGATGCCTTACCCATGTTAATTATACGTCGATACCGCTTGATACCACTAACTTAGATTTTCCTTTGAATCAAGATACCTACTCAGTTGCCTCATAGGTTCATATATTATGTCCCTCAGATTCGGCAGGTGAATGTCCATCAGTGGAGAGAGCGTCTCGCTGCATTCAGGCTGATTGGCCGGTGGATGATCCCAAAATGTATGGCGTATTGTACGAATCTGGGAAGATGCAGCGGGCGCCTCCAACTCATCGTTGATTGGGTCATTTCTGAAATGCCAGCGCCTTAATAATAAAGCTGTTGGTCGGCCGCGCACGTTTTTCTTGAATGAAAATTGCCCAACCCGCTTCACTCACCTTTCTCCCCTCTCCATTCATCGTACGCCTATCCTGATCGCTCCATTCCATCAGCATGGTCGGTATACCTAGAAAACCGTACTGCCAGCCGTGTAAGCGCAGGAGAGTAAAAGTATGTAAGCATGCTCTTCATGGATATGCCCACAGACGTTGATGAAATGGACAGTGCGATGAGAAGTGGCCAACATGCTCAGCGTGCAGGCGAGCAGACATCGTATGCCCAGGACCATCTGGGATGAAATTCGTGCTCAACAACGACCACAAAGCCGGAACAGAGGAGGCATTTGTATATTCCTCCAATAAACCCAATAAGCGCGTCAACGGGTTGTCGGCGTCCACCGGCAGCCTGGTGTTGGCAGAACGGCCTGCCCCAACTACTGTCCAGACTACGCGCTACAACTCCCAGTTCCGATCTTACCGTCTTTTAAATGCCTTGGATTCCCGTTTTCCCATGAGCTCATCCGACCATGTATCGGCGCGTTTAGTTGCCTTGATGGAGGGAGCGCCCGAGCTGCTGCAGGGGACGACTTTTTATGCTCTTCGAGAGGTTCCCCGTCGCCTACACCTGAGCGAATGCCTGCGAGACAGCGTCGGATATTGGTGTAGCTCTTGGATTGACTGCCTTCAGGGCCTCCGAGAGCCAAGCACCATGTCCCGGACTAGCCACGGAAGGGCGATCCGGAGTCTCTTGCAAGCTATGCGAAGTTCTCAGACACCAAGCGTCGAGACCCTGGCAGCAGCGACAGTTCTGGTTGAAACGGGACATACATTCGATATAGATGGATCCGTGACGGGATCCAGGCTTGTAGGGCAGGCTATGGGAATTGCGACATTATTAAAGCTAAGAGGCTTCCCGAACATAGATGATCCCTTTGAGCTTTTAATGGCATATGAACAATTCTTCCTCATTGTGAGTTGGAATTACCGTTACCCGCCCTAAAGTGACGTGGAGGAGAAGCCAGTTGGGCGCATCAACTGACCGCAGTTATATTTCAAGGATTCACTTCGCAGCTTTGGCGATTCTAACGCGGGGGACTTTGTTAGTACATCCCCCTGGCTGGAAGTCAGGGAGAAAGTTACCGAAAAGGTTGTTTTGCTCGAAAGTGGTCAAGAAATCGATTTAGTTATACAGAGGCTCGCCATGCGTTACGGGGATGTTATCAGAGACATGAAATTGTGCCACGAAGACCCCAATTCCCACTACGATAAGGCCAAAAGGATAGAACTGGAGATGCGGGAGTATCTACGCACGATTGAGGGTCTTTTCCCTGGCCACTGGGCATATGCGGAAAAGGAGTTTGGGCCCATTACAGAAACTCTGGATCCCGACTTCTTCTTGGGAAGGAAATATGTTCTCCAAAGTCACAAGACGTATGAGATTCTCGGTGACGGTCTTCATGCATGGCTCGCACCAAGCCTGATTATATCTCGTATCAGAAGGCTCTACAATGAGCCGGCTGACATGGCCATCCAGAAAAGGTATCGAGAGTCCTGCGAATGGGCGTGGATGTTTATCCCTCATTTAAGAAGTCAAGATCCCCTGACTCTTATCGATTACGCTGTCATGTTTGTACTCACAGTCGAAGCTGCGAACGAGCAAGAAATCCGACACGTCCTGGATTTCATCATGCAGATGGATGTGATGGAAGAATATGCGCGCGACTACGATACCCTCCTTGAGCAAGTTAAGGCCGCAGTCGATCGCGCTCTAGGTACTCAATCTAAAACCAAAACAGCAAAACCACAACTAGTTACAGAAATTCTCGAGACATAGTTTGAACGCACTATGTAGTTTGTAACAACCTCTGGTTACAGTATAAAGTCGTGGGCCAACCTTGTCTCCAACAAATTCACACTGCCGCTCATTCTCATTTTTACCCAAGTGCATCCATGCTCTACTATAATATATCCTCAGTTTCAATTAGATTCTGTCTACCAAGCTTCCCTCTTCTACTGTGTTTCTAAACGTGAAGAAATATTTCTACTGGAGCTATTCTCTCCGAAACCATTCCACCTTCTCTCCTCTCTTTGTACTTCCTTACTTGATCTCCTGGGTGGCGGCAGATTTCTGAAATAATCTGGCCTTGGATACATCGGCGAACGAAGGAAGCAAGATGAAAGAGGGTAGCTTGCATGATTATTGCATAAGCAGCTTATCCTGATGGTAAGTGAGTTGTCGGTAGGAAAACTTCAGAGTTTTACTTCTTTATACTCAAGGTACCCTTAGGCCATTGAACTTTCTTTTTGCCTTGAGTATTCGCATAATTGTGTTGAGGTGTCGGGTCTGGTATCTTCGATTGTTGTTTTCAGCTTCATACTCGAAGTCTCGAACTCTCTTCCACCTACCAGGATGCTCTGTGTGCAAAAATGATTAGAGGCCCGAAGACGATCGTTGTCTTTGCGGCAACAGCATGACCACAGCTGTGCTTTAGCTACTGGTGTAGTGGTATGTAAAAATTTCTGGTTATGTACCAGCAGAAGAGAGTGCGATCACCACGCTGGTCTTTAGTCAACAAGGCCAACAAAACAATCTGCGAGGTCAAAGCTGCCAACAACTTAGTTACTCATAAAGGTTGGTAATTACTGAACTGGTCTACCTCGGGTATTTCAAATAGATCAGTTTGTTGTTATATAAGGGATGTAAGGCTCGTAGAATAAAGTCGCAACGCCCATGATCGCAATGATTAAGGTACTGGAAAAATAAATTGGCTATTTTTGAGCGCCGTAGTAACCCGGCTCTTAGATAACTGAGAAATTCTCGAAACAAATAGATTCACTTATTCTGCGTGCGCTTGATAAAGCCTATCTTGGTGCGATCTCTCATTCATCTGCACCCTCTCAGATGAAGTAGAGGATTAACGGTAAGCTGACAATCACCCGAATCGGTTAGTTAACGCGATAAGCTGAAGTTCCAATGCAGATCTGCCACAGCCACATATAACCAAAGCACAATATAAGCACCTAATGCTCGGCGAACTGGGAATCTCGTAGATACAATAGTTCTTATAATATTCTCTAGATTAAGTACTCGTACGAAAAAAAAGACTCGGTGGAAAGTCCAGACGATTGTAGGAGAGCGAGCTTCGTACAAGTACGCTATAATTCCATAGGGCTTATAATTACGCCCAAACTGAGTAATATGAGCCGAAATAGTTGCAGGGAATAATCGGCCAAGGATCAGCTTGCATGAAAAAGAATGAAACTTCGTCATCCATCCTGGAACTCGCCATCCCACCAACTCATCCTCTCGCTTGCGTTGCGGATTTGCATGTTGGCGAGAATTGCCTAGTCCGAGGTGAAATGCGAGACTCGTTATAAATATCTGTCATCAGGGTACTTGGCTTCATATTTTCTCTGCTGTATCCTTTCCCTTCATCAACTGTTGCACAGCCATGGCGAATTACCAGCAACCCACCAATTTCCAGCTCAATCCGAGTTATGTCGAGCTCGAGGATTTGCCAAGGGCGCAATCACCACCTCACGGCGATGATGAGGAATTTCTCAACCCCAAGAATGGCACGTCCTACAGCGCGAGCACCTACAAAGCTGAGGGTGCCGATCAAAGCACCGAAAAGATTGGATTCTGGAGAGCTGTGCGCAAGCATCCGTGGGTCTTCATCTACTGCTTCGTCATCGCCATCGTCGCCGGCGCCTTGGGCTTCCAGGGCTCTACGTTGGGCGCCGTCACTGGCGGTGAGAAGTTTACTGAGGACTACGGCGACACGGACAAGGACGGGGAGAAGTTCCTGTCCTCTGTGTGGCTGAGCATCTGGCAGGCCGTCCCTCCCATATGCGGTGCGTTTGGCTGCATCCTCGGCGGCTGGGTGCAGGACCGCATCGGGCGCAAGTTCACTCTCATGGGGGTCGGAATCTTCAACGCTGTCAGCGTCGCATTCCTTGTCTTCTCCCATGCGCTCCCAGCCCTAAACTCGAGGAGGGGCATTCTTACAGTGGGGATGGGCATACAGGGGCTCGCCAACTCGGGTCTCCAAGTGGCCGCCTTCACATACGTTTCCGAGATTTCGACGGAGTCCATGCGGGACGGCAATATGGTCATGATGCCCCTATGCAGTCTCCTCGGGCAGTTCGTGGGCAGCGCATTCATGGGGGTCGCGACGAAGCTGGAGGGCAAGAACAAGTACATTGTTCCGTTCGCGGTCGGATGGATCGTGGGCGTCGTCACTGTGCCCCTGTCTCTGATCATTCCCGACAGCGCGGTGTTCTTGGTACGGAGTGGCCAAGAGGCTCGCGCGATACGGACAATCCAGAGGCTCCTCTCCAAGAAAGTGAACGCTTACATCGAGCTGGACAAGATCCGACACGCCGTTGAGGAGGAGAGGATGGTGACCAAGGATGCGACCTACATCTCGTGCTTCAAAGGCATCAACCTCCGCCGAACACTAATAGTGGTCCTTGTCAGTGCGTTCCCGGCTATTCTTGGCCTTGACATTCTCAGCAACGCACCGGTGTTCTTGGCAACTATTGGAATAGAGAGTGAGACGACCCGGGTGACGTTTATGGCCGTGGGAATCATCATTGCCATCGTCTGTCTTGGCGTAGGCACGTGGATTGGCACAATTGTTGGCCTTAGGAGGGCAACCGTGGTTTCTCTCGTCTTTGCGGCCATCGCCTGGACTGTCATGGGTGTTTCAGGCTTCTTTGGGGGAGGTGCCGCTCCCTGGATAGGGGCCGTCTCACTTTACGGGACTTTGATCTCTGGCGGCTTGGGCTGCTGGCCCGCCAGTTTCGCATATATGGGATCTCTAAGCTCGCTGCAGCTGAGGGCGCTCACCCAAGGTCTGAGCGGTGTAGCTTCTTCAGCAGCCTCGGCCTTAATGAGCGCTGTCCTGCCACAGCTCTTCCGCGAGGACGCCCTCAACCTCGGTGCCAAGGTTGGATTCGTTTTCACTGGGACCTGCCTTCTCGGTGCGGGCCTTAGCTGGTTATACCTGCCCGAGATCAAGGGTCGGACGGTGCACGAACTTGATAAGATGTTCGAAGCGAGGCTGCCGACGAGAAGGTTCAGGGATTGGAAGTTGGCAGACGCTGATGTACGAGAAGAAGCTCTACCACTGGCTGCAAGTTAAGCCGGCGAGTGGATAAGGGGGGCATTGGAAGATTGGTTTTCTTTTCCTTTAGCATACATCATCCAAAACAGTGTCGCGCCGTTAGATCAACTATTATCTCCGGATTTTTTGTTCGCCATATGAATATTGTCCTCAATCCAATACCCCAATATTCAGATAGTTCTCCCATCCGTGATACACTGGCTACTGTTGGAGCATTGGGACTAAGATAATAACAAGCGGAACAACATTTCCATGCCGTTCCGTTAGAATTGCAGCATCGGCTGGAGATTATTTCATCTGTTGTATATTATTCCAAAGGTTTTCTCATCCGTACATACACTAGGCATTATATGTAAGCAAATTTCACTTATCTCGGGTAGATGTTTGTGAATTTTTAACCGTACAGATAATGGTTAGGGTCCTTACTATGTCCTTCACTGTAACAGGTGCCAGCCATTGCAGGCGGCAGAGAATCATTTCGGAGCCTTCGTGGGTAACATCTACTATATAATGTTGATTGTGTGGTGCTGTCGGGGTTGAATAGACCATTTTAAATCACATTAGACTTCGGCGAACTCGATGAAGGTATGTTGATATTAAGTGTCGTGTGACTATCCCTGGAAGAATCTATCCCTGGCGCGCGCATAACAGCCTGGAACCATTCCGACATCTGATGGCAGTCATAGTCTAGAAGTGAATTGGTCGACGCATTTTCCGATGCCGGCGGCCGTGCATGAAGGCTGTCGACCTTAGCGCCAGGATTCAGCTTTGAGGGGGACTGCATCTACACACCACCACCTGAAATGGAGCTTTGCTGTGTTGGTTAAGAGGTGCATATTACAAGTCATTTAAGCTTCACTCTCGCAGACCATGCCGAGAAGAGGAGTAATGAAAAGTATTGAAGCCGGCTTCTACGCAGTTACGCGGTGCCCTCCACCCTCGAATTGCATAATTGAATGCACCTCTCGAGCGTGTTTGGGTAGTGTATATGCTGGTTGGATTTGAGTTGTTTGGCCGACCCAGAGTAATGGAAAGTAGATGGACGGTTGTGGAACAATGGAGAGCTTCAAAAATAGTTGACATTAAGCGCTCATATCCGTGCCGCGCAGGATTTCAGCCACATATGCAGGATACATTCAGGAGCCAATAGACTGTGCAATCACTTAAGACATGCACATAAGCAATGCGTCACCACTTTCCCCAATCTCTGCTCAGAAGCAGATTCTCAGCTCGATCGGCTCTTCCTACCATTCTCGGTGGGCATCTATGTAACCCCTTTATCCCCCTCACTCATTGTAAACCTCTCTGTTCGTTGTTCATTCCCACCTCTCATTCCTCAAGGACATATAGCCATCACGAATTTGGCTCCAAAGCTATTGGCATTGGCACTTGGACTAGCATCATTGATCAGTGCCGCTACGACATGTTACTGGACCAACGGTGATTTGGGTGCATACCTTCTCCCATGCCAGCCCAACCAACCGAAGAGCCCCTGCTGCGGCGGAACGGACTATTGCACCTCATCAGGTCTTTGCATCAATGCCGATGGAGACAACATGTATTCCATTCAGGGCTGTACCTCGAAGGACTGGGAACAGCCGTGCCAAAGCTACTGTGGGCCAGGGACAATGAGTACGTCGTCTTTCTACCTACTCGCTTATATGGGAATGTGCAACGCGACGAGTCAAAAGCTAATATAGGGCATTGTGTAGTCCGCAAGATGTGGCAGTGTCAGGGCGTCCCTAGCACCAAGAGAATGATGTATTGTTGTGGAGAGAGTGCAGCATGCTGTAGTAATGCGAACGACACCTTCCAAGTCCCTGTCGCGACCGAGATACACCGCCCATTGAGATTATCCATCACTTCCTCCGGCATATCATCTCGCTCTACGAGTAGCAGTACTAGCAGTGCATCACCTAACTCACCGCAAGACTCCAGCAACTCACTAGATGCCGACGTGGAACGATTGAGAAAGCAGGGCCTAGGGCTTGGGCTTGGACTTGGCATACCCCTTGGTCTAGGTATGGCCGCTGCTTTGACCTTTTTCACTTGGACATATTTGAGGAACCGACGGGCCGCGAAGCGGGATGATGGGATAGCTGAGTTTGATGCCACATCCGAGAAACAGACACATGGGGGTTCTGCTATTCCACCAAACGTGGGCAATGGCCCTAATTCTTCCAAATATATGAAGTCTATGGAGCCCCGAGAGTTGGACAACAAGAATGGGATCCATGAGATACGTGGAATTTAGTAGTAAGTCCACCGTTTGCTTTTAGAACATAAGTGATTATTCCATGTTTGGCGGACAAATTGTAAGTTCCAGTTAGGCGGTTATGAAGTACGCAGAGCATTCAACTAAATCAAAATGAGACAATACATCTATTTCTTGTGTTAAAAATAGCTACTGCTCGTCTTGGGGGTACACAAGGCCACAGATGGCGCGGGCGGTATCCATTCTCTTCATGATAGTCAACGTGTCATCCCAAGAGCACACACTGTTTTGTGTGCGACCCGACCTGATATCTTCGGCAACGGCATCTGCTTCATAGTGGAAACCGATCCCGGGAACCTCAAAGTCTATCCGCTTCTCCTCTGCATCCTTGACCCGTAGAACCAAAAAGCCAGGCTTTGAAGCGCTGACTCCGCCAATTGCGATAGATCCCTTGGAGCCATATACTTGTCCGAATTCGTCCCCTTTCTTGTACAGCAACGAAGCTGTGCAGACCGCCTGAGCCTTCAATTCCGGGTATCGCAGAACCACGGCAACTTCCTCGTCAACCTTTTTCTCCGGGTCTGTCTCGCTGTAGAACAGCATGCTCGCAGATAGTCCCGGCTCGATGTCGCGATTTCTCTTAGGTGCGGCGTCGAGAACAATTGAGGCCCAGGTAAGGGAATAGATGCCGATATCAAGCAGAGCGCCAGCCCCGAGTGCTCGGGAGGCTGTCCTATGGTTGGCATCCTTCTCCCCGATCGGCATGTAGAGCCCGAAATCTACTTGAACACTAGCAACATCGCCAATAATCTTTTCCTCGTGGAGGAGGGTGTGAAGCTTCTTGGCAATTGGGAAGAATCGCGTCCAAACAGCTGCAATGAAAGGTTAATTTCGCTCTCTGGAGCATACCCCGAATTTAACGCTCACCTTCCATGAAGAACACGCCCTTTTCTTTTGCGGCATCAATCATCTTCTGGGAGTCTCTGCTGTTAATAGCCAGAGGTTTCTCGCATAACACGTGCTTTCCTGCCTTGATCGCGGCCAAAGCATTCTCACAATGCAAAGTGTGTGGCGTTCCGATGTAAACAATATCCACATTAGGGTCATTGTATACTCCATCATAGCTGTCATATACATTCGGTGTATGGGATGGGCAGTTTTTGGTCGCAAATGCCGAGCCCTTCTCTTTAGACGAAGAGCCTATAGCCTGGATAATATGCTTTGTTGTCGCCTCCGCACGCTCAAGGCAAAGGTCAGAGACAAACCAGGAAGAAATTAGGCCAGCGCCTTCGGTTTTCAATCAGAAACTATCACGAGGAGGAGTCTGCTTTGATTGATCACTCACCTAGGATTCCCCATCGTAGGGTGGGGAGATTGTTATCGCTCATTTCGACCAAGGCAACTAAAGTGATGAGTACAAACAAGTTGAGGGAGAAGACAGAAGAATTATTTCAACGTGAACCATATTAGTGAGTAGCGAGCAAATCTAGGACCTTCTGTGCTTGCTTTAAATATCTTCTTACTAGTTAAAGTATACCAATTATTAATAATACATGAAGGGGTGACTACGCGCCGTGGATATCTGTGGATCATGTTGACGAAGTGTGGATTAGCATCTGAGCCGATACTCCCCGGTTTGTCACTACACGTACTATCCTAACATAACGGCGATTAACTCACAGATGTAATTGTGGTGATCGAAAGCTTTTAATTTGAGATTCATCGTCTGATATGCCATGAATATATAGGTTAACCAGCTTGATTTTCATCCAGAGTCAATGATCCGTCTCTCTAAACATTAGATGCTTCCACCAGTTGGTTCATGTGCACTCATCAGAGGCCATAAAGCCTCACTAGTTTATTTAACTCCATTTTCATGACATCTACTTTCCACCATATCCGTGTTTCATGATCATGCCAAATATTTCGATATCCTTCAATGCGTCCGCCACTGTTGTTTTCACAGGTTGTCCTTCAACCACCAACTTCCAAAAAGCTTTCAGTTCTAACGTGTAAGGATCCTCATATGACTTACGTATAGTGCTTTCCCTATACGCACCATCCACATTTTCCACGATGTGCATAGTCACAGGTAAGCCCTTCACATAAGGCGTGTCATACTGAACCCGAACCGTCTTGTTGTTGCTGTAGACCTCCAAATGGGCATCGAAGCGAGGGATGTTATCCATTCCTGATTCATAAGAGACAGCGAAGCCCGGATATTGAAAAATTGCACTGCAGACAAATTGTGTCAGTTTTAAGGAGCGTCTTGGACTATTCGCAGGATAAGGTAATCGTACGTCCAGAAGGGAAACCCGAGGGAGGTGCCAACAACTTTGTCGGGCATCCCCAGTGCTTCTCTCATTACTGAGAGGTCATGAGAGCCGAGACCAGCTAGGATACGCCACATCAAGGTAGAATCATCAGTGACTGGGATTCCGCCGCAGTCTTTTTCAAATGCCTCGGCAATCATCTCTTTGGCCCGATTCGATTTGTCTGCAGCATCTTCAGGCTTAAAATCCGTGAATTTGCGTGGGAATGTGCTCGACTGATCGACAAAAAACGAGTTTTGGCCAATGATATCTATTTTCCCAGATAAAGCATTCGTAATTAGACACAGTGAAATAATGTAGCACAATTGGTTGGGGAAAGTGGTACACACCTCTAACTCGAGCATAGAGAACCTTATTCAGACCCCCTATTTCTCTCACAGCATCCTCGAATGGTGAGGCATAGCGTCTCATATACCCCACCATAGCCTTGGCTTTGCTACTCTTTTCAGCTGTCATGATGGTTTCAATATCTCGCGATGTCAAGGCGACAGGTTTTTCCACAAACACATGCTTGTTATGTTGAAGAGCACAGACAGCGTGTGAAGAGTGATATTCATCCGAGCTCACTACCAGAACAACATCAACATCATCTGATGCACAGAGGTCTTCAGGATTTGCCGTAGTCTGCGGTCTCGCGCCTGCCACTTTGGACGCGCAATGTTCAAGTGCCAGGGCAGAGACGTCACACAGGTAGGTGATTCGAAACCAGTCTGACATGTAAGAGAGAGTTGGGATGTGAACAACCTGGGACACTTCACCGCAGCCGATCAAGCCGACGCGAAGAATTTTCTGGTTGTTAGGCGGCGACATATTGACCGTAAAGACCGTGAAGAATAACCTCAGTCAAACAGCATGAACAATTGTCGACCAGACCAACTCTGGCGCATCGATATGGAAGAGATGGATGAAGACAGTTGGACAAACAGCCAACCCGGGGTAGTATAATAAGTAGTTACGTACTACCATAAGCAGAAGATTTGGCGTATGCTAAGATATTGGTCAACTACATGCCACCCAGGCCTGACAATATAATTCCCACTTCCACGACTGCCTATCTGTATGGAGTTAGTGGGAGGATGGAGAGCTAAACCGGTGGATTCCATGCCCGTGTGACCATTGCGGGGCAATACGAAGTGATGCCAGAATGGATTTCAAGGTGACAAACCCCGGGACTCCCCGAGCAAACTCCTCCACTCAGGAGACTAACAACGTAGCACCAAAGCCCGCAACTCCCCGAACCACCATGACATGGGTTGACCAAGCCCGCCTGTTATTTTTCCAAGTTTAAACGAGCATATGATGCTCCACTTCGCCCACAGTTGATCTCCTCCTTTACCCCAGACGCACTCCGTTCTTCCACGTTAGCATGGGTCATCACACAAGCCGAAGTTCATCCCCGACGCCCTTAGCATGATAATTTGCGCAGTGGCTGGGAATCTTTTTCCGCGTTCTCTTGCATTTTGTCTTGCATTACGCGCTGCCCATGATTTACCCCTGCTTGGCCAGGAGATACTAGTCATTGCCAAAGCTATTAACGTTTCTCCTCACCGTGACCCGATAAAATCAACTCGTAAACGAGTAGGACATTCTTTTCTCATCAAATTTGCTGCAGGAGTTTGGTACTATTTACTCTGATCTTAAAGTTGATTTATTTTCCTACATCTATTTGATTAAACACCAGCAGTGATTCCATTGTGGCGAGAATATCACGGTCACGCACCGTGAATCTGTTTACGATCAAGATGGAAGCCCAATCTCTTATCATGGGTGTTTTGTGTTAAGCTAGCCATGCGAGATCTAACTTAGAAGAGACCATGCCTACTGAGAAATGTTGTCGTCTTGCGCTCAAGAGACAGAAGTAGGCTGTGAGAAGACTGGCCCGAGACTCCCCGTCATATGTTGCAAGTGCAACTTCAAAGACAGCCTGTGACATACCTATACTTCCCTCTCCACACTCCACACATTAGCCGTTTGTGGGGGATGAGTGTGGGGTTTGTATATTGAGTCTATGTCTATATATTCTCTCGGTGAAGCTGTTCGCCGGCATATTGAAGATCCCAATAACATTCTCTTCTACCCTTCTACCGCAATCTTTCACATACTGCAACCTTGAAAGCTCTTTGGAACGGCCAACATGGGCAAGCTTGCGAGTCCACGTCAATCTGACCAGGCCGCTGTTGGTCATGGCCTGGCTCAAGTCTTGCCTCAAGATGGAGTTCCTTGGTATCGAAAGAGACATTTGATCATCCTCAATGCCTACGCCTACTCCTTGTCTCTTCTCGCGGCCGCAAAGTACGTGTCTCTACTTCTCTTACACTTACTGCAGATGAACTGCCCTAACATCCTTTCAGTGGATTTGATGGCACCATGATGAATGGACTTCAAGCATTGCCCGCATGGCAAGAGTTTATGAATCACCCAACAGGAGCCTGGTTAGGTTTCATCGGCGCGGCACAAGCTTTATCGAGTACAATAGCCTATCCAATCATCGCCTACTTTGCCAATCGTTGGGGCCGCAAAAAGGGTCTCTTCATCGGCTTTGCCTTCCTCTTCCTTGGCACTTTTCTACAAGCCTTCGCCCCGAATCAAGCTGCCTTCATCCTTGGTCGGTTCTTCCTTGGCCAACCAAGTGCCTGGTGGGGTGGACTCTCACCTTTGATTATTACTGAGATCGCATACCCTACTCATCGAGCTTTTCTCACATCACTTTATAACAGCGGCTGGTACGTAGGTAGCTTATTAGCTGCTTGGGCGACTTTTGGGACGCGGAATTACAGCGACTCTTGGGCGTGGAGAATCCCTTCTATTCTCCAAGCAGCCATACCAGTCATGGTGCTGCCGTTTGCCATACTTGTTCCCGAATCTCCACGTTTCCTAATCTCACAAGGCAAACGGGCCGAAGCTAAAAAGATTTTAACAAAGTTCCACGCTGGTGGTGACGAGAATTCTGCCCTTGTCGACTTCGAACTCGAAGAGATCGAAACGGCAATTCAGGCGGAAAAGGATGCAGCATCCAGTACTTCTTGGATGGATCTGTTCAGAACCCCGGGAAATCGCCATCGTGCTGCAATTTCGATCACTCTTGGTGTCTTTGCCCAGTGGAACGGTGTGGGAGTCGTTTCTTACTACCTGGCCCTTGTCCTACAGACCGTCGGAATCACGTCAGTCACCGATCAAACTTTGATCAGCGGCTGCTTACAGATCTGGAACTTGATTTTTGCCGTGGGTGCTGCCGCATTCGTTGACAGACTGGGACGGCGGCCTCTTTTCCTCATCAGTTCTATCGGAATGCTGGTCAGCTTCATTCTCATCTCCGGCCTCTCAGGATCGTTTGCCACCACAGGAAACGCGCCTACCGGTCTTGCCGTGATCCCTTTCCTTTTCATTTACTATGCTTTCTACGACATTGCTTTGTGAGTATCATTCTTGATAAGATATTCAAGCGTTCTAGTCAACAGCTGCTTACTCTGATTCGATAGTACTCCGCTCGTAGTATCATATCCTGCCGAAATCTGGTCATACACACTCCGTGCCAGAGGGACCGCACTCACGCAGATGTCCACATACGCAGCCATCTTCTTCAACACGTTTGTTAACCCAATCGCCTTGGCTGATATTGGTTGGAAATACTATGTCGTGTTTGCCGTGATTCTTGTCGTGGTTACAATCACTATCTATTTCCTCTACCCAGAAACGCGTGGCCATACTTTGGAGGAAATGGCCGTGGTTTTCGGTGACGGCGATGCCGTGGCCGAGGTTTCTAAGGATGTCAAACAAAATGTGGAGGCTACACACAAAGAAACTGTATAGCTAAGAGTCATCCTATCCTATCTTGAGAATCTGAAGTATTTTTCCTACAGTTTACAGAGCATCCCATTTTCCTTTTGTTCCCATCTGTCGTTTCCCACACATGGAGTACACCAAAAAACATCATCCGGATCTATCGAGCGCTTGATTTTCAAGAGACGCTCGTAATTGTCCCCCCAAAAAGTTTCGTGAGGAGTTTTATCATAAATCATGCCCTGCTGCATTGTTAGATCTGAATTCAATGAGAATTAGAAGGCGCCACAGAACTACCAACCTCGTTATGATAAGAACCCATCCCTAGTGCCAATTCTCGAAGTGGCTTGTACGCCTCAATCATGCTGCGAGCGGTTTCCATCTCGGAAGTCTGGCTATATGGGTCAAATTCCACATCAGAAACTATTGAACCTGTTAGCATCTTTCGTCTCTAGATTGAGTTGAAGTCATGGAGTTACATACTCGCCAAGGTATATGCTTTTCGCCAGCCAGGGTGAATGGCGGTCGAGCCCCCTCGAGGCTTGGCCTCCTGAACACCCTTACCAGCAAAGTTGTAGAAGTATATGGTGCGCGCGGGCTTGGCTGCAGAAGTCACAGCTTTGACAAGGGCATCTGGGTTGTTTGTAAGGGCATCTCGGTCAAGCAACCACGATTCTATGAGGAATGTCCGGCCAGGTTGTAAATTTGTCTGCAGGGAGAACCACTCCAGAAAGGTCCCATATGACTTTGGCTTTTCTGCCACAAGTGAAGCTTCACCACCAAAGCGTTCCTGCAACGTAGAGTTCAACTGATCAAGGAGAGTTATGTAATCATCAGGGCCCCGATCCAAGAGTGTGAGTGAACCTGCAAACATGGACATGTTGGCTGGAAGATTATACACATCTGAGGTTTTCCCATCTGGATCCACGATGCATAGGCCAGAGAGCCCAGAATCCATCAACTCAGGGACTTTTCCCATCATGAATCCCATGAACTCGTTACGCCGAGACGAGTTTGAGGGGATGATTGTGAATACAAGGGTGTGTTGAACTTGAGGTGTGGGGTATGCTCGAATAGTGTATGAGATGACGACCCCAAAAGTTGAGCCTCCGCCCTGTAGTCGTAGGTCAGAAACTGAACTCAAGCCTTTTCTTCCAAGGGTGAGAGAGAACACCTACCCCCCGCAAGGCCCAGAAAAGATCCGGGCTCTGCTCCTCGTTCACAGTGAGAATCTCCCCAGCAGGGGTAACAACAACCATTTCGAGGACATTGTCCGCTCCGAGTCCATAATGAAGGCCAAGAGGGCTGTGGCCACCGCCTGTCAGATAACCCCCGAGTGAAACGGTCTGGGCACCACCTCCAACCACAACCTTTCCATATTTATCCATGGCTTGATAAAGTTCATACATGCCAACACCCGCTCCAGCCGTAACAGCATCGCCTTTAATGACGGTTTCATTTCCGCTTAGCTTGTACTCACCTTGGTGGAAATTAATTGACCTCAGATGTCGCGTCCAGATTGACAAACTTCCCGGCGCAATAGATCGTCCAAGAAAATCATGGCCAGTTGATTTGACAACCAACCGGACATTCATCTCTCGTGCTAGGTACATGGCAATTAGCAGTCGTCGCCAAATTAGATGGATGAGAATCATTTACCGAAATCTACTCCAGCTTTGACATCCTCTGCTGATCCTGCGTTCACCACATACGCCGGGTAACCAGCAGTTGTGCATGGCTTAGAAGGGTCCGGTGTGCAGGTAGTGTTGGCCCAGTTGGCGAACATCATCGACACAGGATCATCTAGATGAAAATCGTAGCCTGTCCATTCTTTCCCAAGGGCTTCACACGCATCTTTGCTGAAGTTGGGCTGCTCGGCATGACAAACACCCGCTGGGGCCAGGGGTTTGATCAAACGACCTGATAGAGTCGCATTGAGTCTGTCCCACTGCTCCTGAGCTGGCCAGGTAGACTTGCCTGGGAAGGCTTTGCAGTCCGGAGTTTTTATCGATTCGGCTGCCGCTTGAAGCTCAAATGCCCATCGAGCCGCGGCAAGATACCAAAGAAACCTGCAATACATGTCTCGTTTCTGGAACTGTTGACAATCTCTGCTTGTCCCGGTTCATCACCTTCTGTGGGGGTAGTCATGCGCATATATGGATAATTAATCCTGCTGCCTGCTCGGGCAATACCCTATTTACAAGGAAATACCTGCAAGTAGAGGATAGCGTGGGGAAGTTAAGGTTGGCGGGGTTCTTGGCAGCAAGGAAGATCATCTAGTTACGGCGACTTTAAAGACCTGTAATCTGACCGCCATTATCACTGACAAACAGGTGTCATATGCTATGATTTTGGTTGTGGGTATCTTCCCTGAAAGGGTGAGAAAGGAGGTAGATCTGTCTTACAGTCTTGGCATGCTCGGTGGGACTTGAGTAATGACGGTCCTTGTGTTGAACACAAATTCTCAAAATTTACTTTGAGGTACTTCGTCACCTCAAATTACCTAACACATCAGAAAGCTGGGTCCCACGTTATTGTTCGTCCGTGGTGTGGGACTTTTCATTCTCAACATAAAGATCAGATACCGCCAAGCGCATGATACAAATATCCTGTACCGCCAAGAGTAGGATTCCAGAACCCCCTCAGCGCAATCCCAAGCGGCTAAAGGTTTTCGGTAAGTTCCTTCCAAGTCTATGTGCCTATTGCAGTCTACATCACTTCGACATCTGACAGCATCTCATTCTTTGTGGTTGATGCACAGTCTTTTAGATAACACAGCACAACAGTTATAAAATCAACACGACGTAGAGTTTCAAATTTCATCTTCTGACCAGTACAGGTTTGTCTACGCCTTAACCCCGGTAAAGTGTCCAAAAGCTTAGGATCCGATCAATTTGGCCCTGAGTAAACTCGTACATACACTCGCTAAACGATACATATTAATATTTTGGATTACTGAAAGATGGAACTGGGGCTCAGCACTTACTCGTCAGAATAATCCATATAGTTATGGATAGGGTCCTCGCCAGGCTTATCGGGGCAAGTGTCCTTACTCAAAGGACAGCCATAAGTAGCTGTAGCCTGTGGCGGGGTGTCATCTACCTCGTCACCACCATCGCATCCACGATTAAACGTATGAAATAAACCAAACCAATGGCCGACCTCATGTGTAGCCGTCTTCCCCAAGTCGTAGGGCTTTTCAGTACCTCCCGGTACAGTAGTCGCCAATACAGTACACCCATCCAAGTAAAAGTCAGTTGATCCAGCTGTCGTGTTCAAGGGGTAGGGGCATACGCCGTAGGCTCCACCGACAGAGTCAACAAAGTATATGTTGAGGTCTTTGTATGTCCCCTTACGAAGCTGCGTCTTCATGTCCAATTGATCCTCGAAACGAGACCAAGTTGCATTCACCGTCTTTGAGATTCCAGCCAGGTTTAAATCAATGCCATACATCCCGTAGTCTTCAGACAATACGTTGAATTGCTCGTTTAGGGTGAGATCCTGCGCTTGCTGTCAGCCGTGATACTGTTCACTTTTTAAATATAAAACCCGAAGTTTACCGAAAGTAGGCTTTCTGAAGACGCGGAGACTGTATGAAAATACACATCTACAGCCAAAGTGGCCTTTGTGTGTAATTCAAAGTCACGAACTCGATTTTCCTCAACGGCAAGTAGACGAGAAGCTTCCTGAAGTTCTCTAGAAGGCTCCGGGTTGCCACATCTTGAAATATCGTTTTTTGTAGATAGACCGTGACTCAATGCAGCAACCACAAGGACTTGCAAAAAGAGACGCATCTTGCTAAGAATTCAGGTCGGAAAATCGCCTTGAGAAAAAATTTCAATGAATTTCCGCGTATACCGTTGTCAATTCAAAAACAAGGTGAAAGGAGACGAGCCGTATCTGATTTGATTATCAGACAGTTCATACTTATATATCACTCACCCTCTGAAACGAATCATTGACCTACTACTTTAGGAACTGCTTGCCACAGTCTTACCTTGCCTATCAGCATTAGACTTGGAACCTTCCCACTTTGGAAGGTTCCACTGAACCGCTTACTCGTGGCGAAACCCGTCAGATTCATCGTGCCTTTTTTATCACTATCCGCTGGACCACGACATTTCTATTGATCGAACAATTCCGACCTCTTAAAGAAATTCAACTGATCAAAAGGCTTACGAAAATCCTGAATTCAGTTAGTTCTGAATTACTTAGGACTGAGAAGTAGATTTGTTACACAATGAAATGTATATTTGGAAAGCGAATTTTCAATCATCATTCCAATTGTCCTTAACTCTTATAAATAGGGAGGAGAAAATAGCTCAAGTTTGGTTCTCGATAAGTATCTATAATGTAACTCAATAAAATAATCTACCTATGCGAATGAGAAAAGTTTATTGGGATAAATTCATATTGACGTTCAGTCTCTGCCTCCATGTTGAGACTGCAGGGTAGGTTTTTTAGGAGTAAATACCGAGTCTCCGCTAGTGATCCTGGTTGTACTGATTAAAAGACCCAGTAGATCAAAACAAACCAGCCGCAGCCGCAGCTTGGCGAACAAGAGACAGGTCACGTCGCGTTGGCTCACATGCCTTTGACTGCGTGCGTCAACATCCTATTCTACATTCAAGAAGAGTGCTTGAAGCTTAAGTTGAAATCACCCGAGAGTCAAAATGACCGTGGCTGCACTCCCTGAGGAGCTGCTGACCGCCAATTTGGAGCCCCTGGTTCGTTCCTAAGACATGGTTACTGGCCCCCGATTGACGCGTTTTCAACTAAAATTATTCGACTAGCCCATCTCATTTCGCGTTAGCCTTCAAAAGACGGACGACGGCAAATGAGCGTGTAAATAATCTCAGTTGTGGTTCACCTGTTTGGGTCGTATGCGATTCACAGGCGAGATCATGAGCTGGTAAATTTCCTCTCGAATCGTCGTTACAAAGAACTGTTTGAGAGTCATTTAATGGATGGTGGAATATTCGGATATTCATTCAGGATGTCGTCTCTTTACAAGCAGCATGATCTCAAGGAACTGCTAATGTACTCTGATCCGTCAATTGATGTCCCAAGCGTTCCTGTCGCTTGATATTCCGGAGTCACCTTCGACACTAACCCGTACATTGACCGGCAGGCTGGGCGAATTGCAACGCGATGCCGGCTTCGTTTGTGCGGAGTAAGTTTCGGATTAACCCACGACGGACAAGTCCTTGGTCCCATTGCTCAGGCGCATCGGAGGAGACATTCGCCGCTTGCATCCGAGGCATTTCTAGCGCATCTCACGGGCTGGCGGAAGTATCCGATGCCAGCTCTTAACCACTCCAGTTCTGGCGGCATATGATTGTTGCTATTGCTGCTCCCTACTACCTCCTGGCTTACTCAATCAAGTCTATTGAGCCGAGACACCGACGCAATGTCTTCAATTCGATCCCTAGAAGTTCTCCGCAGATTCACCAGCTGTGATGTAAGACCATCCTGGCTTCCCCACCAACATTGAGTGATCAATTAATCTCTAACTCGCATTTTCAAGATTGGCGATGCCCTCGTGAAGCTGAAGTATCCAAATGGCGGATTCCTAGATGGGATCCGTCTCTTCTCTCCCGATTCCAGCACACGCATCTTCGGCCCTGCCATCACGGTCAAGATGGTCAAGTCCGACGATGCCTCTGCGCCGTCACTTGAGAAGCATTTTGTAGACCACAACGAAGATGGGCGCATCATGTACATCCAGCAGCCCAAAGGTCTGCCGTCGGCTTGCTGGGGTGGCCTCATGTCAACGAGGGCCCAGTATCTCGGCGCAAAGGGTGTCGTTATCGACGGGCGCATGCGGGATATCAACGAACATAAAGAGATGAAGTTTCCAGTGAGTGGTGAATGACTACCAAAGACTCGTCGATGACTGACTTGAGTTCACCCAGGTATTTGCCCAGGGCCAGTCGATCCTTGGCTCAAACACCTTCACTCGGGCATCTCAAGTCAATATCCCAGTCCAGTTCAAAGACGACCTTTGGGTCAACCCCGGCGACATCCTAGTGGGCGATGCTGATGGTGTCGTTGTGGTCCCGCCCTCCCTCATTGAACGCGTCAATGAGATATGTGAAGAGCGTGCTGAAGTTGATGACAAGATGTTCAAAGCCCTTCGTAGTGGGGAGGCAATGGGTCACTTGATCAAGACCGTCCGAAAGAATAAATAGTTTATGAAAACAGTTGTTTATATTAAATAACTTATCCTGCCTCGATATGCACGCTGTATTAAAGAGTTTGCATGCCTGGTGTATTTTCCGTTAGGACCTGTATTGTTTTTGTTCATAGGCCATAAGGTCTTGAATATAATTAAGTTGGATAGATGAGCGCGGTTTATTGTGTTGGAAGGCTGAGTGTCTCGGTAATCACCCGCATACAATTGTTGCATTTGTAAAAGTAAGAATATAAAATCTACATGAATTAATTCTATATTACATAGCTTTGTGATATACTTACGCTGCAAATAGTCTTCTTGGGTTCTGAACCATGATCAAATCCCATTCCTCATCGGACAGCCACGACTTAAGAGTCTGGAGCCATTTCTCATCATCAACTTCCAAGAAAGGCGTCTCTTTCATTGCCTCTTCGTGACTGCGCACCTTCATCCTCGGAGTGTGCGGCCAATCGCTCCCCCATAGAATCTGGTGTTTATTCATAGCCACAAAAGCGCGCACAAGGAACTCTAGATCCTCATAACCAGGGCCCTGCTCGCTCACGCGGTATGGGGCACTCAATTTCACAAACAGATGTCCATCTTTTACAAGACCCATGATGGCCGCGAAGCCTGGTTGCTTCGTCGGATCCTCGCGATACTCTGGAGGGAGCATACTCGGGGCCTTGAGGAGCGCGAAATGATCCGTGATAAGCTGTCTACCGGACGGAACAATCTCCTGCCTAACGAATGGCGCCAGAGTATTCCAGAAGCCAGTCTGAATGGTGGTCATTGTCAAACTCCACGGCAGTTCCAAGTCGACCACTCTTTTGAGGTGCGCAAGCAATGCTTTCTTTTGCAGATTGACATCCTCCATTGCCTTGTAACGATATAAATTGACGCGAATCCCACGGATCCCAGACTTATGCATGTCAAGAATCTCGGAATCGCTTGTTGTTTCTGGGTCGATCACACCCACGGCGGACGTGCTCTTTCCCAGCCGACCGACAAAGTCTTTCAGCGAAGAGCAGTCATCGCCGTAGGACAGTCCATGGGTAAGGACTGAATTTGTGATACCTAGCCGCCGACGGAAATTCTCAAAGGCTTCGATGGTCGCAGGAGGCGGTGTAAGGTGCCGCGAAGGGCTGTATGGGAACGCATGCGCTATAGGGGTTAGCATACAGCAACAATAGTGATAGTAAAGCGACGTCTCACGTTCAAAAATGTGATGGTGAGTGTCCCAGCCTCCTTTGGGGAACAAAATTTGGGCGTGGTGAGTCTCTATGATTTCGGATGCCATTGTGATTGGTTTAGCTGCTGTAATTCTGTTGCAAGAGAACGCTATGCTCTGTAGCCAAAGCTCACGGCAATGTCTGCAACGCCTCTTGTACCTGTGGATATATCATAGGACTCACCTGACCGGAAATTAGATGCACTAAAGCTGGGACCGCTGGAGACTCCAGGTTTCGTCACCCATGGGGGTGGCAAAGGCGCGGAGCTGTCCTCCTAGGAGGGAGAGGAAGGGTGGAACAGTCCGTCCCCCGCTAAGTGATCCGACGTGGACTAACCCGGCAGCTTCCAGACCATCCTGGAACGGAACGACGCTTCGAGCCGCTAGAGATGAGATGATTCTTAGTTGGAGAAAGAAAAGGGCAATCACAATTGAGGGCGAATGTATTGCCAGGGGTGGTACCAATGTGATTGATACAATAGTGGGATTGCCTTCCATGGACGCAAGGGGCACTCGCCATCATCCATTCGTCCACCAACATGCCTGGCCAAAAATCTCAAGCTCCATCCCCTCTGCAATCGATAGCTGCTGGTGCAGCCGCCGGGGGTGTTGAGAGTCTTGTCACAGTAAGACGAACAAGTCACAGCACCTTGCATGTTGCTAACAGTGTGATCACATAGTATCCAACTGAATACATAAAAACACGGAAGCAGTTGCTTGGTGCTTCATCAGTATCATCATTCCGACTGCTGACAACCGTAATTAGAGAACATGGAGTCGGGGTTCTGTATACTGGCGCGGGAGCTTTTTGTATTTCTAATGCTTCAAAGTCGGCAGTGAGATTTTTCACTTTTGATGGCATCAGAAACAGGCTTCCAAAAGATACGAATACAGGAAAGCCTACCAAGCTTTCCAACATGATCGCTGGAGTCGCAGCCGGGGTAGCTGAAAGCGTCACTGTTGTGACCCCAGGTGAAAGCATCAAAACGAAAATTGTAGAAGACAGGGCAGGAGCTCGCAAGTTTACGTCGACGGGGCACGTCATCTGGTCTACGCTCCAGACCCAAGGGGCAAGAGGGCTATACCGAGGTGTTGTACCGGTGACGTTAAAGCAAGGTTCCAACGCCCTTGTGAGGTTTACTTCTTACCATGCACTTTTTGATGTAATCGAGCCATACCTTGCACGGACAGGATATGGAACGTTTACAGCTCCGGCAGCAGGAGCTTTGGCAGGAATTATAACAGTCTACGCAACGATGCCATTTGATACCATTAAAACGAGAATGCAAGGGCTGAGTGCAGGGAGCGGAAAGATAGGCACGCTGCAATTTCTCCGCTTGATTTACCACGAATCAGGTGTCACCGGCTTATGGAAAGGAACTACACCCAGGTTAATGAGACTGTCTGTAAGTAAATCCCTTACGATGTCGACTCAGTTTGATCAAGTTGTCAGCAACTAATATGGAGTTTCAATAGGTGTCTGGAGCGCTGAGCTTTTCTATTTATCAACATGTGCTGGATCTTATGAGGAGGGCTTCGATAACTCAACATCAGTCGAAGGAAGAATTACTTAGCTGAGAGGTCACTTATACTACTACGCACAAGAAGAGGACCAACTCTTATATTATTTCCAACATGCTTAGTTTTGATCACTACTATTGTATACACAACTGTTTTCTCATCCGTGTCGATGTCCCTTCCCCATCTACAACGAGATATTATAAGTTGCCCTATCACAACAATTGCATTCGGACAGTGTCATCTGGGTATGAATATAGGATAATGCCCGCCAATACTTTTGAAAATGTTCTTGAACCCCCAAGGACAGGTAGAAGGGTAAATTTCTAATAAACGTCAGGTATACACCGTCCCTGCTTGTTCTAGAGATGTTGGAGTATATTTTGTGCATCAACTAGGCTGCGATATCTGTTCATATAGCATGATAATTTCAACTGACTAAACGATGCTAAGTATTTGATGCTAATTTTTCGGTTGATATACAGCACTAACATTTCCCTTTCACCTTGGTCTCAAGTTGACCAAACATACAGTTCTCCCAAAGCCGTTCAATCCGCGCTGTTAAAGTGTGAATAAATTCAAGTCGTTCCCACTCTCGCGCAACTTCCGGTTTGCCTTGGTCAGCATCCACTTCATCACCACACATGTCAGAACCGACAAGGCCGAGAACGCCATCATCAAGATATTGGCCTTGACGTAACGAGGACCATCGGTCGACGGGAAGAAGTAAGGACTCCAGATGTTGCCAAGTTGGCTGAGAAGGTTGATGATGGCAGTGGCACAAGCTCGTTTCTCAACCGTCTGATTAAGGGTAGAGCTGGCCCAGCTGAATACCATGGCATTAGATGAAAAGCAGCCGCAGATGTATAAGAAGGCGGCTACATAGCGTGCGGCGTTGTTGAGCGTTGATACGGAGATGATGAACCCGATACAAGCCACGGCCTGGGGCACTGCTATGTGGAATCCGCGATCCTTGCGTCGGTCGCTGGACCAAGCGGTCAGGAATGCCACGACGGTAGCGAGTAGATATGGAGGCGCGGTGAGTACGAGAGTGAGAGTCTTGTTGCCCAGCTGGAAGCCTTGAACGATGGTTGGGAAGAAGTTGTTGAAGCCATAGGCACTGTGGTTGGCCGTGAGCATGACGACCTGTTGGGGTATGTTAATTTCTAGATCCAAAGAATAAGTTGTAACAAGACCAGGGACTTACAAAGACCCAAGTTCTGATGTCCTTGGCGGCCAACTTCAGGCCGGTCCACACGCTGTTATCCTCCTCGGGAAGAGAGACACGGTCTCGCTTGATGCGTTCGACGGCGACTTTTTGTTCAACATCAGTGAGAAGCCATTTGACCGTGCCACTCTTCTGACCCGGAAAATCAGGCAAGAGGAAAAACCCAAGCAGAGCGGCAGCAAAACTCCCTGCACCTTCAATGATGAACAACCACTGCCATCCAGCAATACCCCTCGCACCTTCAAGACCAGACAGGACACCGGCGGCAATGAGACCAGAAAATGCGGTAGCAAGGAGGACGCCCGAGTAGAGGATAGCCGTTCGTCGAGCAAGTTCCTTTCGTGGGTACCAGCAGCTGAGAAGGTGCATGGCACCTGGGAAGAAGGGAGCTTCGGCGATACCGAGGAAGAATCGAATGACAAGGAGATGTTGATAGTTGCTGGCAGCGGCCGTAGCGGCGGAGACGACTGACCACAATGCTGTCCAGAAAGGAATATATAAGGAAGGGCGCGTCCGAGTAAGAAGCATATTACTACAGGCTACGTGAGCAATGCGTGCTGTGTCTGGTCGTGGGATATTTCGCTTACCTTGGAAGCTGCATGAGCATGTAACCAATATTCAGGATTGAGACTGCGACGTTGAATTCATTTCCTTTGAGACCGAGGTCTTTCTCGAAGGAGCTAAGTCTTGCTTGTCTACACGCGGTGGAATATGTCAGCAAAGTTAGTTTTCAGGCAAAAGTAAAGACTGGGTACTGACGCGATGTTGTTGCGGTCAAGATAGTTGAAGAGATAAAGAAGCCACACCATTGGCACGAGAGTCAAGTCGAGCTTGCGAACAAGACTCTTCTCCGCTGCATCATACTCTTCTTGGGTCATGCCTAGATTATCTTGGCCAACGACGGCAATCCCCTCCTTGTGGGACGCCGATTCGTCGACATGGTCTGAGGATGCATGGAAAACATCTTCCTTTGTTTCCTTCAGAGAAGCCGTCATGGCGAAGGATGAGGAAAAGGTAGAGATTGATGAGCAAGGTGATGTGATCAGCAGAGTCTGAGTTCTCAATCTCAAGGATGAATTGAACCACCAGTGATTGACAGCTGAGGCCAAGGTCGATGAGGTTGGACAGTCTGTTGATAATAAATGTTTCCAACCTCGACAATTATAGTGCTAATGGTCAGCAGCCTCGACTCAACAACATTGCCCCAGAAGATACCCCGCAATTCCCCAGGAACGCCTCGAGGTTGTGGGTAATGATTCCACAATGCCACGCTCATTCTTGGGGTCGCCGGAGCCACCCAGAGGGATGAGAGAGCAAAGTTTGATGTCGCGGACAGCTCCAGCTGCGGAATGAGCTTGACTGCATGATCCCGAAAGCGCCGTGACTCGAATTGACCAATAGGAATGACCCCAATTTCCGCCACGGACTACTCCTCCACCTCGTGGGGAGAAAATGGGTGTCCCGTGCCACTTGTATGCGGCTAAGTTGCACCCTGCAGTAACATCTCCAATTATTTAGTGCATCCCTAGTCTACGGTTCTTGGAGATACCCGTGGCAGAGTGCAAATGCTGGCCTCGCCATTGGTTGATTCTCACCAGTGCCAAAGCATCGACAAATCATGTGGAGATCAAGGATACCTGTTGAACCATGAATTTGTCAAGTATTGCCAAGTGTCGATTATCCCCAACTCTTCCAGCCAATCGAAATGTTGCACTATCCTGGCTGTTCTGAGGAGACACACGCATGTGAGCTAGGCACTCTTGAGTGATGTGACCTAGTCGCGAAGTCGGTGTGACCAGTGCTGTAAATGATGAGCAACTGTCAAAGGAGTATTCCGCAGAGGAATGCCACTAGCCAAAGTATCATTAGTGGTGTTCCGGAACGGACACAAGCAAAATATCGAACGAGCTATTATTCTTGGGGGCTTGAAATATGCACAAGACTTGTTCACCCATGCAGGGGGTAGCAACTAGAGGAGTAGCCTGATGGAGTAGCCTGATGGCTCGAGGAGATCTCTTGTGCTTAGTTGCCTTGTTAAAGCGGTGAATTATGTTCGGAAAAGTCAGTTGTATTTTCGACGGAATATTTGAGATATGTTGGCATTGCAATCAACCGGTATGTGAAAATGTGTTTTTCTTGGACATCTCCTGAAGGTAGTCTTATTTTGGCCATGGAACTTCTGTCTCCCATAGGTATAAATGAAGATATGGAACAATGGGATAGATAACAGGAGTTCTCTTAACAGAACAAGAAAACTTTTGACATATACATTTTGCTATGAATTGATAACTTTATGTTCGATAACTCCATTTACAAAAGGGACTTGAACATCAAATACTCTAAACCCAGTGCAATGCGATATCTCCTCGGCAGCCTATTGATTTCATCCAAGCAACGTCTTCTTAATATGGTTGAGCGCACTGCCCGCACGTAACCATTGGATCTGATGCGCGTGGTACGTGTGATTTAATTGTGCTACCCATACCTCCCCGTCCTTTGTCCGTACTTCCATGGTCACCTGCTTTCCGGGCTGGAGACCATCTCCGTCTACATCCCGCAGCGTGATGTGATCCCCTTTCTCGGTTCGATCGTAGTCTGCAGGATCGGCAAACGTCAACGGAAGCATACCCTGCTTCTTCAGGTTCGTCTCGTGAATACGAGCGAAGCCTCTTGCAATGACGGCCACTCCACCCAGGTACCGAGGCTCCAGGGCCGCATGCTCACGAGAGCTGCCCTCGCCATAGTTATGGTCGCCGATGATGCACCACCGGATACCAGAGCTTTGCAAGCTCCTAGCAACTTCGTGGATCGGCTCGATATCATGTGTGAGTGGGTTTTCTGCTCGGCCAACCATCTGGAGGGAGGTGGCATTGGGGAGGAAGCCGTTGGTGGCTCCAAGGAGCATGTTGTGGCTAATGTTCTCAAGATGGCCTCGGTAGTTGTACCATGGGCCCGCGGGAGAGATGTGGTCAGTGGTGCATTTTCCCTGGACCTTCACTAGAATTTCCATGTCGTTGGCATTGCCCTCTTGCCATGGCTTGAAGGGCTCTAGAAGCTGTAGCCGATCACTGTTCTTGTCAATGTCGACCTTGTATTCGGATGTGTCGGCGAGAACAGGTGCTTGATATAAATCGTTCCCTGGGAAGAAGGAATCAGGCAGCTCATCGGCGGTCGGGGGCGCAAAGTGAAATTCCGCTGTCGAACCAGAGTCATCGACGAAAGTAATCGGGTCCGTAGTCGGGTTGAATGTAAGATCACCAGCAAAGGCAAACGCCGTGGCGATTTCAGGCGATGTGACGAATGAGTGCGTGGAGGGGTTTCCGTCATGACGTCCCGTGAAATTTCTATTGAAGCTAGAAATCACACTGTTGCTCTCTGCTCCCTTGATGTCGACATCTTTGCGATCCCACTGCCCCACGCATGGGCCGCATGAGTTGCTTAGCACAACGGCTCCGGCCTCTCTGAGCGTAGACAGAATGCCCGCCTCCTCTGCTGTAGCGCGGATCTGCTCACTGCCGGGGCTGACCATGAATGGTGTCTTGGCACGGTGCATGCCTGACTCTCTGGCCTGCGTCACGAGGTTGGAAACCTTCAAAAGGTCCTCATACGAGCTGTTGGTGCAACTGCCAACCATGCTGTAACTGATCTTGGATGGCCAGGAGCTCTCTTCGACATGCTGCTTGAACTGCGACAAAGGGTGGCTCAAGTCGGGTGTAAAGGGTCCGTTGATGTGCGGCTCCAGCGTAGACAGGTCGATCTCGATAATATCGTCGTAGAACGACTCACTACCTGGGTCTGAAACAAGCAACACATCCTTGAATTTGTTGGCATGCTGTGCGATGTCTGCCCGCTTCGTCGCCGAAAGGTATCGACCCATGGCCTCCGAATACGGGAAAATGCACGACGTCGATCCGATCTCAGCGGACATGTTACAGACCGTGGCCATTGCGGTGGCGCCTAGAGATTTTGTGCCAGGGCCGAAGAACTCAATGACTTTTCCCTTGCCCCCCGACACAGACAGAATACCGGCCAGTTTGCAGATGATGTCCTTGGACGAGCTCCAACCAGAGAGCTGTCCGGTGAGGCGAACGCCCACAACTTTGGGACAGACCAGCTCCCAGGGCATACCGGCCATGGCGTCGACGGCATCAGAACCACCGACGCCAATGCCCATCATGCCCATTCCACCAGCATTGGGGGTGTGGGAGTCTGTTCCAATCATCAAACCACCCGGGAACGCGTAGTTCTCGAAAATGGTTGTGTGAATAATCCCTGCGCCAGCTTTCCAGTATCCGATGCCGTATTTCTTCGCCGCGCTACCAAGGAACGCGTACACTTCGCGATGGTCGCTAGAGGCTCTGTTAAGATCCTCATTTGCACCGTACTCGGCCACGATAAGATGGTCGCTGTGTACGGAGGTTGGTACTTGAACGCGGGGCAGGCCAGCGCTGATGAATTGGAGCAGAGCCATCGTGGCGGTGGCATCATGACAAGCGACGCGATCCGGCCGTATGCGTAGGATAGTTTTGCCCCGTTCGATTTCGTCGAGCGCCCAGTTGTCGGCATCGTGAATCAAGTGGCTGTAAAGGAGCTTTTCGGAGAGGGTCAAGGGTCGTTGGTTCAACTTTCGTACGCGGTCGAGGGATTGCAGTCGGGAGCCGTAATCGAGGGGGTTATACTTTCACAAAGATTAATATTTAATTGCATATTCACCGAATCTCCAGTATGATTGGCCACTTACTGGTTCCAACGGACTCAGCGCGACATGCGAAGAGGCTGTCGCAAGCGTCCGAACATGTCGTCGGGGGCATGCTGTGGCGAGCTGCCGGAACGATCGCAGTGCTGAGAATGACATGGCTGTCATTGGCTTGTCTCCATCTTCGATACCACTGAAGTCTTGAAGACTGAGCCTCGCGACTTTTAATCAGAGGGCATGCCATCGTCATCGCTTGCAAGGTGTGGAAGCCGAGTCAATTCCGACCGAGCCGCCGGTCAAGTTGTGGAGGCCGGAGCTGCCCGTTGATCCTCGCCTTTGCTCCATGGTTGCTGGACTGTTCCGTGTCCCCACATTGGTGCAATGCCAGACGCCATGAACACTAATGGTCTTTCACTGATTGAATACACTGATTCAGAAGCCTGGATTTGGATCTGAGCCGAATATGTGCATGTCCTCACCATTGGTTAGAGGAAAGCTCCAGGTGAAATCAGACCGGTCGAAGTCTGCGAGGAAAGTCTCGATCTCCGGATTCACATCCATTTCCTCATCGCCCCTCCCTTCTCCAGCTCCGTGCCATGTGACCTGACCAGCATCCTGAGTGACCACGTGATCCATATGTTGCCATGTCTCGTCGAGCGGTAGGTGATCAAGCCTTTCCAAGGCATCCTCGCCACTTAGAACCTGAATTGACTGCTCCCCATGTCCAGCACGATGATTAGACTGCCAACCAGGTGACGACGAATCCGCAGTCAGGCGTGGAGCTTTTGAAGCCCCGTTGTCCATGTAGAGTTTCCGCATCGTGAGGTCCGCAACAAGGCCAAAACTTCGCTGTCCAGTCTTAGCTGATGGCCACCATTCTCCGCCCACAGTGAGAAGGCTAGAGCACGTCCTAAGGTCCTTTGCCATATCTGCTGCTGATGCGTTTTTTCGAACCTGCTCTGATGTCCAGAAAGAGTATATCAAAGTAGCGCCAGCGGCAAAAATATTGAGAACAGCCCTCCATCCATGATCTAAGCTCTGCAAATCGTGTAGACGTTGATAGTCGTTCAAAATGCCGGATGCGCTGTCCAGGCATATTCCGAGGGCATGTGGAGACGGTGATGGTATCACCTGAGATGGTTGGAAAAGAAGAATCATGGTCGAGTGGTATTTGACTCTGAGCTTCAGTCTCCAGACTTGTCGTTGACGGCTGTCAAGGCAGGCGAAGTCGAACGGGTCGTCTCGAACCTCATCCCACCAGTTTTGTATGGCGTCTTTGATGCGCTCTTGGTGCTCAACGGAGTTCTTGGGCCACGGAAACCAACTCGACTCGCCGGGGAGGTGGTAAAGATGAAGCTTAATGTCCGAAACGATGCGATCAAGCTTGAACTTGTAAATGGAGTAATGTGTGACAGCTGCCGCAAATGACGGCGGGATGGGACCGTCTCTGAGTTCACTCAACTGTGTCGGAGGTTGAGGCATCTGTATGTCAAAGGTTTCATCTCGGAAGCCCAGCGGGCGCCCTTGAATCGATGAGATGGACCTGTTTAGCCTCACTATTAGCTATCTAACATCAAGGTCGTGCCAGGATCACAATGTCCACATACCTGTCCAGGGAATAAATAGTGAAAAACGTGAATCTCCTAACTTGCTGGTACGTAAAGTCACTAGCAGATAATTCTGCTTGCTCTCGGTGGACTCCAATCTCGACACAATAGGCGAGCGCCAGGTGAACCAATGTCCAAAGGTTGACTTCAGCAGGCGTCAGCATGCTGTGGATAACCAGCATCACTAGACCTTGAAGAGAGGGCAGTGAAATCTGTGAGAAGGCATCTTTGGAGAAGTGTATGGCCGCTCGGTAGTATCGCTGCGGGGGATACTCGTAGATGCGAGACCTAACCTTGACAATCGCACCAATGTTCAAAATCATGAACAACGTGAAGGCAACGACTGGCATGGTAACCCCGCCTGATTCTGCTGCCCCGGGGACTACTTGGCGCCCATTCCAGTAGAAAGATCGCATGTTACTAGGCCAGCCATTGCGGAAGTCATCGTCCAGCAGCGGGTCTTGAAGGCAGTCGTAGATGGCGTCCAGGGCACTGAAGATGCCTGAAGGCTCGATAACTGGAAAGTCGGGGTGTATCCATCGGGTATACGTGTGGATAAGCAGCAATGCATCATGTCGAGGGGGCAGCTCCTGTGATGTTCCTGTTATTTAATGGTAGGTTCTTAGAGACAGCCGAATGATCACTCACCTGCTTCAAAAATGAATACATATCGATGCAGTACTGCTTGGCTTGCTCTCTTGGCCCTTCGTACCAGTCTGTCTCGCCAGCTTGGGCATGAATTGCAGTCTCTTGAGGGGTAGATGCTGTGCTAGAAGGCGATGCCCCGATAAGGTTGGTGAACAGAAGCCCGGAGCTCGAACCAAGGTAGTGCTTTTGGGGCGAGTCTGAGTTCAGAGAAAGCATTCCCAAGTTCATTGCGACGGAGTGAGCCCTCTCCGGGAAGGACCCATCTTGCTCAGCTTGAACAGCGTCGGCCGACCTCTTTTGAGATGGCCGAGGCGCGGAGGTAGCTAATGGCAGCGCAGGTGTTTCCGGGGCTTCAAGATCCAGGGATGCATCAACCTGAGGCCCAGACCGCAGATCTACATCAGGTAGACGGTCTCTAATGATGGCTTCCAGCCAATGAATCCTCTCCCGGGCTGCTGCAGCAAAACTGTATGGTGGTCAGCCATGAAGCCATCTTCCGAGTATCTGATGAGACGCACTTTCGAGGGATCACAATGCCCGAATTCTGGCTGTCTACATCGAGGCAAACTTGGCCAGCCTTTGCGCAATTAGTGCACGCGGGGACTTGCCCATCACACTAGAAAATGAACTTAACAAAATGACCAGGCCCAGACTTTCCGCGACAGCTCACCTTGATGCGTCTGGTGCGACAACGCTGGCAAGCGAGACGGACCTTTTTCGGCACGGACGGCCGGGTCGACATTGATGCCGCGTCGCTGATGGACGAATTTCAGAGGCGGTGGGTGTTGGGTGTCTTTTGTTTCTGCCTGGAGAGTAGCACGACCGGGATCGAGAAAAGCGTTGCCCGTTCATTCGTTGATCCAGACAAGATCTTCGTCGTCGCCACGCGAGATGAGTCGAGGGAGGAGAGGAGGAGAATGACTAAGCAGCCAAGTTCTGGAGAAACCCTCCTCGGCTCAATTAGCGCCTGAGTTAGCGCTCCCTTTATAGCGCCTAACCCCCTAAATCTATGCACTGCTCACTAGGAGCAGTCCAGTGGTCGGGTAACCCTAAAAATGTGAAGCTCCCCTTGCCGTTTGTGCCATAAAGAAACTCCATGCCAGTCGCCAATGGTCAGAAACTTTTGCCTTCGACATGATGAATCTCAATCCACCTCTTGGGAGAAAAAAAAAAGAATCCCTCAAACGATGTGGCATCTCGTGTTGAACTGATTGGATCTCGAAGACATACTGATTAGGCCTTGATTGACATTCCCAATGATCATACCCACCTGAGTGTCCTACATTTGTCTTCACGAGAGCTTCCCGACCAGGAGCTACAGGGTAGGGATACTATTCAAAGCGCAAGATCATATACGGGAATCTCTACCTGAAGATATAGCTCGGCAGAGTGGTGTCCAGTATTAGGTGGTGGCTCTCCCTAATGGCTTGGAAATCCTTGCTTAAGCGTTTTATTCGCCCACTTCCTGGGACGATCCCAAAATCCCGTTCTTCAGCTGCCGTATCATTAGTTCCATTCACCGCCGAGCCCCGAGAACCAAGATCCTATCAACTCAACATTAGTATCTTGCCTGACTTTTCTACCAACTCGCGCCATGAGCTCGTAACCCTATCTGCTCTCTGCGGCCCCGTTGCCCAGACATCTTCGAGTATAGAGAATCCTGTCCTTAGCGCCTCTATCCCGTAGAACATCACATGCTCGTACCACTTCCGAAACCTATTTTGTAGGGCCTTATCAAAGGCCTCACTACCGGCAATAAAGGCAGGCCAATACAGTGGGGCAGCGACCAGGTTGGTTTCGACTTTGATTTCCTCAATGACTTCCATTCTATCCAGGACTGCCCGGATATGTGGCTGTAGGAAACGGTGACCGACAAGCCGAACGTGCTGTGCAAAGTAGATGATGAGCGCTTCATGAAAGGCGGCCGTATGATAGTAAACGATTTTGGTGTTTGAAGAAGAGTTAGTTGGCGGTTCAGATGGGAAGTTGGTGTGAGCAGGCCAATCCATTATGGAATGTTCGAGTTCATCACACTCGTCCATAAGATGTAATGGGATTCGGCCATCGAATGATTCATCAGAAAGTTTGTAGATAAGGTCAATGGCTCTGGTCAGTAGGAAGAGGAGGCTATAAGGGACACCATAAATGCTCTCGTAGCTTCCAATCTTTGGATCTGTAACTTGGTCTGAGGCGGATTGCGTTGAACAAGGCGAACATCTGGCAACGATCTTGTGGCAAAACACGTCTTGAGAGTCCACGTTTTCCTCAGTGGAATACAATGTTCGTAGCCTTCGCGATCGGCTATTTCGGGGCAATGTGCTCTCGAAAATCGCTCGCAGATAAAAATACATCCGGTGAAGAGTCTCTGCTTTGCTGGAATTTTGTTCCTTCCAGGTGTGCCCGTGATTTATTAACCGTAGAGCCCCATCTAAGTGGATTCCGCAGGTGGCCGTTTCGCCTGACATCACCTAGGTTCACAGTTTGCCTTCAGTATTTTCACTGGACGTGAAGAGTGTCTTGGGGTACTCACGTCGATTGTAATCATAGACAAAGTGGTGGCAAGAAAGTCCGTGTACTTTATTCCATTGTTTGGGTAAAAGTCTTCTTCCATCGCATTCCTAAGAAGCTTGATAGCTTGAAGTCGAAACTCATGAGCCAACTGTTCCCATTTGATGGCTTTAGTCTCTTGGAGCCGTAATCTGCAATCATTCGACAGACAGAAGGCGCTGATTGAAAGACACGAGCGTACAAGAGCTTCGCATATTCTCGATGTTTCCCCCTCAATGGTTATTTCTCCCACTGCATGGAGTATCTTGGGAAGATGGATCGACTTCCACGGGCTTGTCCCATTTTCAATGACACAAAAAAGGTTTACAACACGCTTTGAATAGTAGTGTATCAGGAACTTCTCTGTCTTCCCGAGAGTAACCGAATGGGAAGTCAAATCGACTCCATTTTCGTAAAGTCCGAAAGCATCAGTCTCAATCTCCTCGGAAAAACTACCGCGGGCGTTTAGTATGCTTTGATTTCGGCTATCAATGCCAAACCTAGAGATGCTTGGTGATTGATTTGAAGAGCCGTTGATCAAGAACTCCCTGTGATCTTCGGGGACAGAGAAGTCGTGATCGAATTCATCAATACCAGTACTGTCACCTATGGCTGGGGACACAGTAATGTTCGCATTGTTGAGTGTATGTTGAGACTCTGTGTTTATTGGTGCGAAGTCTATGGGTAATGGTGAAGCATTAAGTCCGGAATCCACATCCCGAAAGACTCCAAAACATCCCGTGAAAATATCTACACTCTCATGTAGGGAAGGCCGGTACCTTGGATCATAGTGGCCAAGACTAGTTAGTATCTCATCAATTCTTTCGAGTGAAAGCACTGGTGTATGAGCATCTAGGCAAGGCAGGCGTAAGTGATCTGACGGTTATGCAGGGATGACGGCGAGGCGTACCCAGAGCGATATTTCTGCGTGGATTGTTAACACCAGGGAACTCCGCATCTGGTTGTTTGTTGATGATCCATTGGAGTCTTAGACCGTAACCCTTACATTCCAAGCGACTCTTCATGCACTGGCGACAGGTTGGCTTCGCTTCATCGCACTTGATTTTGCGTTCTCGGCATGACCAGCAGCCAGAGAAGGTTTTCCGGTTTCTTGTAGGTGAGCTCGGCCCTTGTGACATTGGATGGTGCAAAGATAGTGACAAGTTGACAACTAGCTGGTGTTTGGCAGCGGAAAGAGGAAGGCCGTAGCGATTGACGACTTGGACGTTCCCAGTGGGGTTATTGCCTGCATTTACTTGTTTTATAGGCAGAGTTACATGTGATAATGAGCCGGCTTCCCCTCTCCGATGGCGGGGAACGAAGTGGGACATATTGCTCTTATCGACAGACTAGACGGAGTTTAGCATTAGCCTCGCTCCTGGCTGCCTGTTCCGGATCACCAAACAATATGCCGTCATGCTGCTAGTCCATTGAGAAGATATATGTCGGCCAACTGCCCAGTATAAGATCGGTATGAAATACTGATTGAACTGTGATTGTCTGTCCTCCCCGAAAATTCAACCATACTCTTACGACTTCATCATGGCAACCACAACTATCACGTCAACGACGCGAGAGGATCTTGCTACTAAAGTCAAGATAGATGCAACATCTTCAAATCCAGAATGGGCCACTGGAGGTTATCCCTTCCCTGGAATGCCAAGATTTGAGGACAAGTACAAGGAGCGGGAGTGGCAGTTGGAGCATATGGCTGGAGCATTCAGAGTCTTCGCTCGTAAGGGATACACTGAGGGATCTGCTGGACACATTAGCCTCCGGGACCCTGTCGACCCTAGCACATTCTGGATTAATCCGTGAGTTTTGAAGGCATATCACAAGAAGCTTGGCTTAACACTTCCAGGATGGCTGTTCATTTCGGACTTCTCACGGCAAAGGACATGGTCCAGGTGAACGAAAATGGGCAAGTTATTGGTGGAAACAAGGTCGCAATAAATACTGCTGGCTTTTCTATCCACAGTGCCATCCACAAGGCCAGACCGGATGTTCATGCGGCCTGCCATACTCATTCTCCGGCCGGGAAGGCTTGGTCTACTTTCGGCCGACCTCTTGATATCATCAACCAAGATTCTTGCACCTTTTTACACAACCAGGCAGTATACGACAGCTTTGGTGGTATGGCACTAAAGGGAGAGGAAGGTGAAAGGATCGCCAAGTCGTTGGGAAGTGACAAGGCAGTTGCAATACTTCAAAATCATGGTCTGTTGACGACTGGATCGACGGTGGATGAAGCTGCTTATCTATTTACACTCATGGAGCGATCGTGCGAAATTCAAATCATGGTCGAGAGCACTGGCATACCAAAGAAGTACATCGGCTCTGACGAAGCTGAGTATACCTGCAAGATCAACACCGATCCGGTAAGTCTGTTCGGGATTGCTGAGCAGTGATGCAATATTTAACCTTATCAATTATTCTAGGAAACTCTATATGCGGAATTTCAGGTGGATCTCGATTTTGAGATCAAGATGTCCAATGGCGAGATAAGAAAGGTGGCCTAGACTATTTGCTCTGATGAAAATGAAAATCATTGTGGAGAAGCCGAGTTCAACGTGATGATTCTTTTCCATTCACTATCAACTGCTTAAATTCCCCTTCAATTGGGTAGTTATTTCATAGAATCATAGAAAATAGTATCACAAATGGTCTTGGTATTAGTTCTCAGGAGACGCATATTCAACAAACTCACACCTAGACTTAAAAGATCGGCGGCTTGGCCAGACTAGGTACACTTATCAAGTGCGATTCAACTCAAGATCAAAAACGGCATGACAGAGCGAGAACCCGTACATCCCCACCTCCACATGACAATCATCCGTGAACTCATCAGTGAGTGTGCTCTTTTTCGAACCTAATTAGGAAATACCTACCTTGGGCCTTCCTTAGCTGCATGGCTGTCCAAGTTGCGATCTAACGGTATATAGATAAGAAATACGCCTGTCTCCTCCGCATGTACTTGGCTGCCTATCTCATCAACATTAACGTTTGTCACTTCTATCTACCATGCAATAAAAAAGAAAAACAGCAAATTTGAATCAAGGTGACTGGTCAGTTATTTGCCTACCTATTGATCTACACATCGCTGCACCATGGCCAAGAGTCGGGTTCTGGTTGTAGGTATGGGTGGGATCGGTACCGTCTGCGCCTATGGCTTGGAAATTGGCGGTTTGGCAGAAGTTACTTCCGTAATGAGATCCAATTATGCAGCTGCGACAGAAAAGGGGATTGACATTGAATCTGTGGACTTTGGTCATGTCAAGTCCTGGAAACCAACCCATAGTATGTTCAGTCTATCACCATGAGATCTACTCCTCTATACTCACGCGAGTTTGCAGTTATAAGAAGTGTCCCCGATGTTTCCGCTCAAGCGCTTGCTCCATTTGATTTCATCCTAGTCGCTACAAAGAACGTTCCGGATGTCCCTCCATCAATAGTTGATATTGTCTCTCCAGCTGTGACAGTGGGCACAACTGCCATCGTCTTGGCTCAGAACGGCCTTAATATTGAAAGGCCATTCATCGATCGCTTCCCTACCAATCCCATTCTTAGTAGTGTTGTTTACACAGGGGCGGAGGAGAGAGCCCCTGCGGACATTCATCACACCGATCCTGATTGGCAAAAGATCGGTCCCTATTATAGCCCGCAAGTCTCAGCAGCAACTGTCGAGAGGTCGGCGAAGGAATTCGTCAACATCCTGGACCCAAAAGGTGAAAGGAAGATTTTCTACGACGCAGATGTATCTGGGGCCCGATGGCGCAAGCTGGCCTACAACGCTTCCTTCAATTCGGTAGCTGCCGCTCTCCAGATAGACACTTCGAGGCTTCGGATGAGCCAACACCTCATCGATGACCTGGTGCTCCCTATCATTCTCGAGATCCAAGCTGCAGCTGCATCGTGTGGCGTCATACTACAGTCAGATTTGGTTCATTCGGTGATGCAGCAAGATGAGGCCGATTCGTTCTACAGGCCGAGTATGATGCAGGATGTTGTCAACAGAAACTTCATGGAGATTGAGACGATTGTTGGAGAACCACTGCGGGAAGGGAAAATGCATGGCATCGCGATGCCTACTCTGAGCGTCGTCTATGGAATTCTGAGGGGTTTACAGCTGCGCATCAAGGAAGAGAAGGGCTTATGGCAGCCCAAATACGAACCCGGCAATCCTTACATGTGAGAGGCATATATATTGTCATTCACCATACCACCTATGCGGTAAATGTTCATCTCAGAATTCATTCTACTATTGGCAATGCAGCAACTCTATTGTTGAACCAATCTGGAGATATCACCGTTGTTCTGAAACGTAGCAAGCATGAAGACTCCACATATCAGAACCAAACCGACCACTTGCATGATATGGATGTCTGTTGGTAGCAGAGCAAACTGTGCTATTCCGCCTTACCAGTTCAGCTCTGGCGGTTATGGTTAGACGCAGTTGGCTCAGCCACCCCCTCTTGGAATGGATGGCACTCTTGAAGGCTCACTCACAGGCACCAACGAGCCTAATTGGCACAAATGCCGCCTCATTCGGCTGCCAAAAGGCGTGACCAACCATGTACCAAAGTACCTCCCATTACTCTGACCGTCGTCACCTTCCTGCAGCTTATCTCACCCCCTCACCATCTTCATCACCTGTCATCACCCAATGTGAGCATCGCTCTTCAGTCGTAAACCCCAAGCGAATTGTGCCAAGATGAGCTGGCAGGAGTTGCCAGTGGAGCTGCGGACTGATGTATTGAGTCGACTCATTCATAGCGATTTATTTCGCCCACCACCGCCGTACGAGCCATGTCTCTCCCTCCGGCTTGTTTGTCGTACGTTTTGTCGCCATTGTCGCGTTTCGTTATAACTCGCTGACCAGCCTTTGTCAATACTGCAGGGGATTTCAATTCTCTGTTCTGTTCAATTCTCTACCTTAGGTCAAATCGTCTCAGGGATGTGCCAGCGAAGGCAAAGAACGGCACCACCGTCGCTTGGCTCCTCTCGCTCAAGGCCAAGATGGACCCTCCGGGCCATGATAAGACATCCACCTACTTCCAAGAATGGGCGAGCTTCATGGCTGCCCAGAGCGCTTTGCAATCGGGCGGTTCGGGCAACTACAACCAATGGCTGGATGCCGCTTGCCGTGCTGCGGCCTACAACGGTGATCCGCAAGCCGTATGTGCCTGGTTGGTTTGCTCCGCCGATTCCGTGGTCGAGTCAGTCGATCTCGCTCCTCCAAGAAACCTTGCTGCTCAACAGGCATCTGGAAATCCTGGAAACGTATCATATCTGAAAAACGCGCATGGTGCTCTGCAAATTGCCTGCGAGAATGGCAATCTCGAAGTGGCCAAGTCTCTGCTGTCCTCGGGAATCAGTCCAGGTGTTTACCATACAGTTTTTGGCTACTCAGTCCACAACGCCATCCGCAATGACTATCTGGAGATCGTTCGTTGTCTGTTTCATTATGGAGCTGACACTGATCCATGGACCAGTCCGTATGCAACTCTCTTGGAGCTCGCCGCCTGCCAAGGCAGTTCTGCAGCCCTCAAGTATCTACTTGAAGAAAGCCCTGCTCAAACCGCGGGGTCACTACAATATCTTCTATTCTTAGCATGCCAGAGAGGGCATGAAGGTATCGTCAAGGTATTGTTTCAATGGACAGATGAAAAGAACAAGCCGCATAAGCGGACCAAAAGTTGGGTCAACCGTATGATGCACCATCGGGCTACCACTAAGATTCTACTTGATCCTGGTGTACCGCTTCCCTATGACAAGGTCAAGGATCTCAAGCCTGAATTCCAAGGGGAGGGAAGGCGTTCACCACTCTGTTCAGCGGTGAAAAACAAGCACCCGATGATTGTTGAATTTCTTATTGGTAGGCCTGAATTTCATCCGAGCGACCAAGACAACGACAGCTGTCCATTGTTCGTGGCAGCACAAACGGACCAAGCAGACCTGACCCAGCTGCTCTTGGACCGTTATCAGCAGGACGACAAAGTTACGTCAATGAAGCTCATGTTGCTTCTCGATGAGGCATGTAGGTTTGGGAGCATATCTGTGGTAAAACTGCTTCTAGAGCGGCAGGGGGTCAACCCTAACGCCGACGCCAGAGCGCGATCTATCACTACAACCCCTTTAGTCACGACTGTTGGGCAAACCAGTGGCGATAGCAGCCTGAACCACGTTTCCATTGTGAAGTTACTTCTACAGCACCACCTCATAGACCCTCAGCTTCCAAGAACGGGGTTGAAACCACTGGAAATCGCCATTGACAGGCACAATACTGCCATGGTGGAACTGTTGCTGGACCACAGGAAAACCGACCCAAATCTGTACGGCGACGACCATTATCCGCCTTTGTGTAGGGCCATACGGAACGGAAATAGCAAGATTGTTCGGCTTCTCCTCAAATGCCTCGACACCAACCCAAATTTGCGAGGCAAAGATCGATTTTGGGGGACGCCTTTGGTAACGGCGGTGGGCCGAGCTGACACGCTCATCGTCCGAGAGCTGCTTGAGCGTAGCGATATCGACCCCAACATGCCCTCATTCCGTCACAAGCCCTCTGGAAATCCTCTCTTCTACGCAGCCGGCTCCGGCAATCATGAGATCATCAAATTGCTCCTGAGGCGCGTTGACATTGACGTGAATGCGGCTACGGACAACAAAACCACGCCACTGGTGAACGCGATATTGAACAAAAAGATTGGCATCGTCAAGCTTCTGCTCGCTCATCAAAATATAGACCCCAATTATGCGCCAGAAGCTGACATGCATATAGAAATGCATGCCAGGGGCAATAACACATCTACATATGGGTTTGAGACGGTATATTTGGCGCCTACTCGGAGCGGAGTGAAGCAGATACCTCTATTTGTGGCGGGCGCAGAGTCGAATCGGGCTGTTTTCGGTTTACTTCTGAGGCATCCTCTGATTGATATCCATGCAACTGATAGTACAGGCAGAACATCCCTCTGGTGGGCAGCAGCCGGAGGCCCAGAAATCTCTACACACTTGCTCCTTGAGAGAGGCGCCGGTATTCACATCAACAAACAAGACATACAAGGTTGGGCACCTTTGCATGTGGCCGCCAATCGCCAACGCATCGAGGTGATTGAGTATCTCTTGGGCCACCCGGACATTGACCCCAACCTTGCCAACCAGAATGGTTGCACAGCCCTGCACATCGCGGTGTTCGGTAATGATGTACAGGCTGTTGCGGAGCTCCTTGCTCACCCAAAGACTGACCGGAACCTGAAAACAAAAGATGGGCAAACGGCTGCATCCATTGCACGGAGATTAGCATATCATAGGTTGACTCAGTTGCTGGAAGCAAATGAGGAGTGAGGCAGCTAAATTTTCACATTCCTTCTCAATGGTAGAGCATCATTTCTTTAGCTCGGAGCGGTTATGGTACATGTCAGAGATTGTTCTAGAAGTTTCAACAGCCTGCCTTCAACCCTCGCGAGACGGATTTATTTGATTGTCTGTATGCTTTTTAGGGATAATATCGGCATTTACTTTGTTAACTTACGTGGCGAGGAATGTGAGGTGATTTTTTGGTCGGGTCTGGCCTCTTCCATTGCTGTCTGTTACTTTATACGCAAACTCTCTCGCATTACAGTATTTAGAACAATAAAAAGTAAAATATTGCTCCATAGTTAATATTCTGAGTTATAGTTTATGACAAGACTCTTAATATTTTTACTTAATATATTAAATAGTAGAGTCATTAATTAAAGAGACGAAAAAAGTGTATAAAGCAGTATATTACCTAGTGGTAGGCTGCTACGCAATGAATCATATTAGATATCGATAATTAGGTACCTATCATTAGGTAGTACCACGGCCTTCCAACTCAGCAGCCTTCCTAGCTTTATCTACAGACGTCTCAAATGTCGCAAACTTGCGTGTCGGGACCTTGAGCTCGAACATTTCGTCGAGTTCGACATAGGAGCGATTTTTAGTCTCGGGGATGACGAACCACATGACAACTACGAAGATGGCCGATGTGGTCCCGTAAAAGAACATGGTGTTGGAAACTCCAAAGTTGGGGGCCGCGAGCATGAGGGGCGTGCAGTACGTGGTCACCAGCGACATGAGGGCGAAGGCGAGGCTGCCCATGTTGGCCGTCTTGGCTCGGAGAACGGACGTAGAGCAGTCGGCGAGGAAAGTGAAGCCGAGAGGGCCTGCGGAGGACGAGTAGGCGGCCACCCAGATACATCTACACGAAGGACTGGTTAACCAAAAACTACGAGGATGGAGCGTGCTGGGCGTTGAGAACTTACGAAACGGCAATCATGGCTGTGCTGTTGGCGGTAGTGAGAGGCATCTTGAGGATACCACCGATGATGAAGAGGAGTGGCACCATGAAGGCACCGACGTAGACGAGGAGCGGACGTCGACCCACGCGATCGGTCGTGTAGAAACTGATGGCGACAAAGGTGATGAGAACCGTGTTGACGGCGACGGTGGCTATGAAGGGTTGGGCGACACCGGCTTGCTGGAAGAAATACGAAGTGTAGACGAAGAGGACTGGGGCACCATCCCAAAGCTGATTGTTGAATGGGACGAGGGACACAATGGTACGACGCTGTTTGGACGTAACTGTTAGCGGCGTTGCATCCCGTCTAGGACGAACCGAAACATACAAGGTTGGTACCGCGGAAGCAGTCGAGAACAGATACGCCTGACTGGCTGTTGGCCAGGATCTTGCCATCTTCTATCTCCTTGAGGATGATGCTGTACTCGTGATCGAGATCGTATCCAGGCACGCCACGGTAGAGCTTCTTCATCACTGTCTTTGCCTTTTCATGCCTGCCCTTGCCGGCGTACCAACCGGGGGTCTCTGGGATCAAGATAAGACAGATTATGGCGAGACCGGTGAATGTCCACTGTGAGTACACGGCATGGCGCCACTGAGAGACGGGTAACATGGAGACGACCTGCAGGGCAATGGCAGCGGTAAAGGCACCGAAAGCCCACTGTGATATTATCAGCCCAGAAGTCCTGACCAACTAGTTGATGTAGTGTTGGCCTACAAAGAGCTGGTACAGACCCAGCGCTGCACCACGAGCACGGGTAGGGGCAATCTCGGAGATGTACGTGGTGGCGGTCATGTGGTTGAGACCAACGGAGAAGCCCTATATAGACGGGTCAGCAGAAGTCATATAATTGTAGATGCTTCTCCTGCGGAGTTTTATTTCCTACATTGAGGATCTTGGCTACGAGCCAGTGTTTCCAATTGGTGGCGACGATTTCGATGATGGCGGCAATGATCATGAAGACCTGGACTGCCCACAGAGCGGGCTTACGACCAAACCTGTCGACTGGCCAGCTACCGATGAGGAGAATGGCAACAAGGGCAGCTGCATAAGCGGCTACAAAGTTAATGTTAGCAATCGATTGCCAGGCCTAGACATATCAGAAAACATGCCCCCCCCCCCATCCTTCAGCATGTTTACGCTTTGATGTGTGCATGGCCATCTATTTTCTAACGAGAGAGTGACAGACTTACCACCCCAGGCGGCGACTTGCTGCGAGTCAAGAACCCATTTGCCCTTTGCCCCATCAAAATTACCCATCTGACGAATAAACCCCTGGAGGGCTACAATGTTGCCCGGCATCTTGTACTGGTAGCCGTCACCCATGGCGCAGACACCGCAGGCGAAGCAGACGGCCATGGCACGCCAGTAGTGTCGAATGGTCTCCCAGAAGGTGAAGGTGGTACTGACTGAGGCGGCGTTGGAGTTGTCAAGGACATCGACGGGTTTCGTGGCTTCGACATGGTCGATCTGATATGCCACTGCTCCGTCCTTCGACCCGGCGCCCTCAGGGGCTGCTGTGCTTGTCATGACGGAACGAAAGTCCTAACTTGGGAGAGAAGTGGTTGCTCTATTGACAAGGCCAGTCTTTGGAGAGAGTGACGCTCCGGATGCGGGAAGAGAAAAGATGGAGACTGGAAAGTCGCGGGGATGCAGTATTTAACAGCCTATTGGCGAGGAGGGCAAGTGAAGCCAAGTTGGTAACCCAGCCCAAGTCTTCATCACCACTACGACAACCGAGCCCCCTCATTCCCCACGGGGTAATCGAGGTGCTGACCTTCACCCCTTCACATCCAACCGAGCAGTGGGGAACTGACCGGGGCAGATACTGGGGTATGCAGAGCTATCCGAGCAACTACCCAGCATCAGCGACGAGCTAACACCCGAGCCGACAGCTCGGATGTTAGCTCAGATGCGGGGTTAAGGAAATCATATCATGCGGACCAGAAGCGTCGGGTAGCGGCGCGGGGATCTGGGGCCATCACCTCCAATATGAAGCTTCATGAGATCGGTCGTCATACCGCAGCTCCTCACGCAGTATGCACCGCAACGTAACTGCGTATGTAAACGAAGATAATGTGAGTCGCCAAGTGATACACCTAATCGCTGCTTGCCATTTCACCCTTTATTTAGCACTGTCCCTCAGCTTCAGTCCCTCGAAGTTCTTCCTTTCCTTTTCAATCTGCTCCGATGATCTAATGAGATCTAGAATCCAAGACCAAGAGCCTAAATTTCGCCTTTACACTGTCTATTCCGAATCATGCCATCCGCTACTGATGCTCCCGTCGTGATCCGCCTCTCTGATGAGGAGCGCAATGGAGGCAGCTTGTCTGAGCATCACCTCTACGATGCCGTCGAAGCCTTCTTCAGTGATGGCTTCGTGGTACTCGAAAATGCAGTCGACCTTGATAAAATTGACCGCTTGAATAAGAGAATGCTCAAGGACACGCAAAAGCTCCTAGCTGGTGAGGGTTTGTCACATTACGCGTAAGCTTTCCTATTCCTAGTTGAAATGGATCAAGGTGCTACATTTACCTAACACATGGAGCAGCCCTTTAAATAGCAAGGTTGCAGAGAACGGAGCCAAGGCTGGTGGGAACCTGTCACAGGTTCCCCCGCTCGAGAAGGGTGAGTTACAAGACCTTGCTTAGGCACGACGTCGCGCGTTTTCCACCCCGTGCTAAGAGAAGCGGTGTTCAGAATGGCTCGAGCCCCAGATCTTCGCCAATAAACAAGCCGCCAAGATCATCTCCTCCATCCTAGGTCCTCAGCCTGAAGTGCACTTCCTCCGCTCAAATACCCTCCTCAACACCAACGACCGCCAACGCGTGCACTCTGACATGCGCTTCGAGCACCCGACACACCCATTCGCTATCACCCAGAACGTATGTTTGTGCGACTGTGGTCCAGAGAACGGCATGACGGAGCTGTGGCTTGGAACCCAGAACACTGGTGTTGAGATCCGACCGCAGCTGGGCGAGCCCTTTATCCAGGAATCAGTGGTTGAAGAGAGGAGGAAGATTCGCCCACCGCTGTACCCTCGTGTCAAGAAGGGCTCTATCTTGATCCGCGATCTCCGGCTATGGTAAACCACTCTCCAAGGGGACTTCTCCCTCAACTTCTAAATGCGATTGGATAGCTAACTCGCATCAGGCACGCTGGCATGGGCAACCCGACCGACAACGTCCGCATCCTCCTCACCATCAACTACTACGCCGGGTGGTATAGAAACGGTGCCCTCGTCCACTTTCCAGAGTCGCTGAAACAGCATGTCAAGTCCTTGGAGGAATACGCAAGCATTAAGATCGCTGCCACTTATGAACCGGATGATGGATTCAACTACCTGGAGAGCAAGTTTAGCAACAACTTTAGCTCGGTACTTCACCCGGAAGTGTGGGAGAAGATTGCACATGTGAAAACCGCCAAGGGCTACTAGGAGAGTCCTGGGAACTGTAAACACCTAGGTAGAATTGACCTGATTTCAGCGCGTATCTTTCCTCATTGTACCTAAGGATAGAGAACATTCACTTTCTCTTTACGAGACATGGTGCGAGCTTCCGACTATTTTAACATAACTTGGTGATCGTAAAAAATACCAGTTAATGGGACCCCGAGTATAGTAATAATGCCATATAAATAAGCAAAGCAGGGTCTCACATTATTTCAAATCTTACCCCAAAGCAACTCAGGGCCTGGGAAACTGTCTTCTCATTATTCTCAATCGAATTTGTCTAGCTTGGCTTTAGCGGTAAGTAGGGCGTCGCTTTACCTCAGTTAATCTCTTTACTACTCAGTAAGTCCACAATTATGTTGACTGTTTCTGCTACAATTCTGTGTAGACAATAGCCATGAATTCAGCGTGCCCAATAATAATCTTACTACTGCCACTCTACGCCAAGTTGAAGCGGACGTTCTTCCATGCTATGCATAAAATGATGGCAACTCTATGGGTTTCTATATGACTGCTTGTGCTGAAAACGATTTCTCCATCTCTGACAACTGGAAAATCGTGTCCACAACCGTTTTCTGAAACGGTGTATACTTCAACCCAAGGTCTATAGCTGTAGTCTCACCATCTATACCGTATGAGTAGTCTATTTTTTGTGCCTTGTCGCGCTGAACTTTCCCCTTGGCCCAGTCAAAACTCTCCTCGATGATCTGGGCCGCCAGGTCGTATGTGAAGCCCTCCTGGCCGCCTACAATGTATCGCTTCATCCCGGCACCCGGACGCAAGAGTGCCTCGACGTGAGCTTGGGAGAGGTCCCGAACATCAATCCATGAGGGGACGCGAGATGTTGCCAGAGGCTCGCCACGGGCCACCTTCCACAGCATGGCGCTCGACTCGTTGAGCCCGTCCAGGCTGGATACGGGATGCACCACCGGGCCAAAAGTCATGGACGGACAGAGCGTTACGAGATCGAATCCTGGCTTCCTGTCCCTGACAAAATCCCACGCCGCCTTCTCAGCAAACTTCTTCGCCCCGCGATAGGCAAGAAAAGCGGGCGTTGCAGGATCTGCAGCCTCTTGGTAAGTGAGCGGGTTCCAATCATCTCCGGTGTACGTGAAGTATGGTGGCGCCTTGCGGTCGGCATTCATGACGGACGCAAAGGAAGACGTGAGCACAACCCGCCGGACGTTGCCGTTGGCTGCCGCGGCTTCCAGAATTCCCTTGACGCCATTGATGGCGGGGATAATGAGCTCCTTCTCGTTGTCGTCGGTCTGGTAGCAAAGGGGCTATATCCGACGAGATGAGTGTTGACTTCTCTCACAGGAGAGGAAGAGAACGTACACTGGCGACATGAATCACAGCATCGACACCTTGGACAGCTTCTTTCAAACGGCCGGGCTTTTCAAAATCATCGACCTCGACGAAATCCAATCGGCCGGCATATTGCGATCTAGCTTGCATCATGAGGTTGCCTTTAGCCAACGACCGGGTGGCCCCTCGGACCTTGAGGCCACGACGGAGGAGCTCGTCGACGACATGGGCGCCAATGAATCCAGTAGCTCCTGTTACAAGCACGTAGTTTCTTTGAGCATGGGCTTGTTAACTATTTTCCCTCATCTGGTAGATCACTCCCAGGGCAGGTTCATATGGGTCTGGTCTGTTTACACTTACATTTGAGACATCGTGAACGGCCACTTCCGACGCTGCCCAGGTTCCGAGGACAAGATTGATAATTATTCGTGATATTGAACAATAGTAACTGCTGCGTCAGGTCATTCATAGCTTAGGAATTGATTCGCACTACATTTCCCCTTTTCTTGTCGATATCCCTGTTGCTCAGTTGATGGTGAGTGTGGGGAAGGCCAACCAAAAACGCCAGCCGAAGCGAGCGAGCCGACCGTCGGCATAGATCTGGCGAGAAGCGTCGCATAGTGAACACAAGACCAAAAGTCCAATATTGGCCCCGGTGCTATTCGCGGAGGAGCATGGGCCCTAGATCTAGTCGACTTAGTTCACTGCGTTATGTTCCAAGCGGCCGACCCTACGCTCGGATTCAACTCGTGACTCTCCTTCGGGTCGGTTCTGTAGCGGCATCGTCGCCTCGATCGCCCACTAGGGATGCCAAGTATCTTGGCAGGGTTCCTTGAGTCATGTCCTTGGTAGTAGTAATCACCTGTAAAGCTGTCCATCCTGTTGAATATGCAATCTAGCCCGTCCATCTCAAGAACTTGTTCCCATTTCCCTTGATTGAGTCGTAGAGTGCTCTTGACATTCACATCTGTCATACTCTTGGTCACAATACATCCTAAGTCATTGAGGGGCTGCTAGCTTTCCAACATCTTTGAAAGCATGGCCGAGTCCACGTATGACCAATACGAGGGTTTCCAGGTGGAATCGCCCGCAACGTACAAGACCTTTCACAGAAAAAAGTTCAACACCAAGCCCTTTGGCGAGCTTGATGTCGAGATCCAGATTGAGTGCTGCGGTGTTTGCAGCAGCGACATTCATACCATCAATGGCGGTTGGGGCCAAACCAACTTTCCCCTTGCCGTTGGCCACGGTAAGACATCCCTCCCATACCCCGGACGAGATCCTTCCTGACTGTAGACAACCGGGAATTAGAGATCGTCGGGAAAGCCCTGAGAGTTGGAAGCAAGGTAACCAAGATCAAGGCCGGCCAGCGTGTAGGTGTAGGTGCCCAGTCATGGTCCTGCATGGAGTGCGTCGCCTGTCTCAATGACAATGAAACCTACTGTCCCAAGCAGATGGACACATACGGCGCCGTCTGGCCAGATACCGGCATCGTCACCCAGGGTGGCTTCTCGTCCCACGTCCGGACCCACGAGCATTGGTGAGCATTTGTCCCCTCTCACGCGCCGGTCTAGTGCACTGACGGATTATATCGTGCTCGACAGGGTCTTCCCCATTCCTGATGCCATCCCAAGCGAACTCGCAGCACCCATGCTCTGCGCCGGAATTACAATGTACAGCCCACTCGTTAGAAATGACGCTGGACCCGGCAAGAAGGTTGCCATTGTCGGCCTCGGTGGCCTGGGCCATTACGGTGTTATCTGGGCCAAGGCCCTCGGCGCCGAAACCTGGGTCATCTCGCGCTCCCATGCGAAAGAGAAAGATGCTGAGAAGATGGGCGCCGACGGCTTCCTCGCCACGCAGGATCAGAGCTGGAACGAGGCCCACAAGATGACGTTTGATCTCATCATCAGCACCGCCAACAGCTTTGGTGGCGGATTCGATCTCCAGGCCTACCTGCAGCTGCTCAAGGTTCACGGCAAGTTCGTCTCGACAGGTGTCCCAGAGGAGTCCAAGCTCGAAATCACGCCGCAAATGCTAAACTACAACGGCTGCTTTGTCGGTGCTTCTCACCTGGGCAGCCGGAGAGAGATGCTCGACATGTTAGAGCTTGCAGCAAAGAAAGGCGTCAAGTCGTGGGTTGAGACCTTGCCCATCAGTGAGGAAAACCTCTCCCAAGCTGTGCAGCGGTTGGAGAAGAACGATGTGCGTTACCGGTTTACAATGGTGGATTACGACAAGGCGTTTCAGTAGAGAAATTGAAGATAAATTAGCTTGTGGCCAAAAACAGAGTTGCTTTACTTCATATATCTACGTAAACAACAACAAAATTTACTAGGACTAACATCGTGAGATAGACAACATGAAAAGTAAAAATAAGCTCTCTCAATCTCGGAGTATAATTATATTAAATAGATACTCCATAACCTATCATTCTAGTAAAACTCTTACCATTAAACCAAGCTGTTCGCGATTATTTTATTTACTGTTTTCGCTATTATGTATAAACGGTCTTAATGCCGTGATGTGCAACACAAGATTAGGCTACCCAACTTGCACGTAGACGAGTTAGTCGAGCAATCACTATGGCACAGTTAGATTCTAATCACCAGTACTCCAAGGCTCTGTACAAGTCTCTCTCCAGTCAGTGTTGGGATTGGTCGTATTGTCTACTGACGCAATAGCTGGCTATCGTTCATCCTACGCTCGTCTTCCAGCAACGGCCTCACGACGTCAAGGAGCCATTTCTGCATCTTGTCATCAGAGAACTGAGGGTATGGTCGCCGACAGTGATGCTTCTCTGCAGGATATTGCAGAAGCTCGCCAACCACCCATTTCACGCCGTTGGTGCCGCTCTTCGCAAACCCCCACTCCATCGCTGCAAGCCTCTTTTGAAGAGCCACCGACTCTTTGACTTTTCCTTGCTTCCATAATTCGTATACTTGGAGACAAAACTAAAAGAATCATTAGTATAAACATAAAAGATTAATACAAAAGACTTCATTGGCCACTGGACATCGCTCGCACCTTTGGGTACAGGTTACTGACTCCCGTGACGGCACCAGTGCCTCCTACAGTCATAGCTGGGATGAGCCAGTCACTTTGACCGGCGAGGACACTGAACTTGGAGGGTTCGTGTGCCGCGGTAATCTTGCAGACTTTTGCAATGCCGCCGCAGGTCAACTTGACGCCGACAATGTTGGGGTGGTTGCCCAGCTTGATCAGCATGTCCGAGTTGAGATCCAGACCTGCGACCACGGTAGGAAAATTGTAGATTACCACGGGGACCGGGCTTTCATCTGCGAGCTCCTCGAAGAAGGCGACAATGGCATCCTCGCTCATGGCGAAATGGAAGTAGCTCGGGACCAGGACGAGCGCAAACTCAGCCCCAGCCTCTTTCGCCAGAACTGTCTCGGCAATGACCTCACGGGTGCTTTGGCCACCGCAACCCATGGTAATCGCCAACTTATCAGCCCGTCCTAGCCGCTCAGCGATCTCGCGGGTCGTTCGCACAAGTTTCCGTTTCTCTTCGTTTGTCAGGGCGACGGCTTCGCCATTCGTCCCCGCAAGGATGACTACCAACAATGTCAAATTGGCGATTATATTTTGAGAGATGGATCAGTATCTACTTCCGTGTACGCCCGAGCTAATGGTATATTCCAAATGCTTTGTCTGGGTGTCCCAGTCAATCTCTTGTGTCTTATCATCGCTAAACCATGTCAAGCACGGCGCATGTATTCCCGGTGGAAAAGGTTTGGAGTGTGAGCAGGCCATCATTGGTACGAAAAAGAAACAACGTAGTCGATATCAAGTTAGAAACAGGTTTTGCCAATATACAAAGTAAGACAAAATTCTATCCTCCAGATATAAAAACTTCAATACAATATAAAGCCTAATACACGCTGCCTTGCTTGGACAAGATTACCCCACAATGGACCAACAATATGTACAGTCGTCTAGCTGGGCTCTGCGTGGGTCCTGTACATCCGATCGGCTACGACCGAGGGTATGCAATAGTTCACGATAGTGCGTGGGAAGCCGTATCCGACAACCTTTCATACGCTCTGCCCACACCTTGATGCTAGTAGCCTCGGTCTATCGGTAGACTTCAAGGCCCAAATTCACCAATCCTCTCTGGAATATACTTATGATTAGCCGTCATCCTCGCTAGCGTCTGTAGATTTAGTCGAGAACAAGAGTTTCTCACTTTGTTACTCTTCACCAGAAACACTACTTCCCTGCAGTACCTGTACTCTATTTGGGGTCACCTTCGCCGGTAAGACGAAAAGTTTGGACTGAATTTAATCCATTATTATTGTAATGAGGTATCTGCTAGCCATCTACATCTTAATATTTTATACAACGGCGAATCGTTTGTTGAAGATCTCGCGCATCACCGTCCCAATATCAACCCTTGACTTGGAAGCATCTTGGCGTGCTTGTACTTCTTCGAGTACCTGTGCTGTAATTCGGGCATTACTGGAAACCTTCTCCATTCGAAGAATCTGGTCTTTGATCCACAACCTTTCGCCAAGATCTTGCTCCTCCGTCCCGAGGAGCAGTAGTGGCCATAGCATATTGATTGGTAGTGGACTATTCTCCCCTTCGAGACTCGAAGCAATGAGTTTTCCCAAGCCCCTGATCTGATCCATCGCCTCTCGAGCTTCCTTCGTGAGTGGAAAAGTTTTGTATGCTACCCTGTGGAGATGTATCTTGCTGGCATAGTAATTGGACAAGTAGGTCCGAAAGGCCCGTGTTAAAGGCAATGCCAAGGATGCAGAGATGTGCTTGGTTGTCAGTTTCCCTGCGACAGCACAATCCATGAGGACCGGACGCTGCTCATATAGGTCTCGTAGATTAGCAGCAATCACCGCGGCAGTGCTCATGACTTCAGTCTCATCTTCCACAGTGCCTCGAGATCGGTGCCATGGATCAATCTTTGCTATGTGGCCCATGAAACTCTGAACTTTCTGGAAGAAGATGATTCCAGGTTGATACAGCGCTTGGAACAGAATGTCGTCTACGTCGCTGTCGTCGAGCTCATCCTTATCTGAATCCCCATCGTCTCCGCCAAAACTAGCAGGCGAAGTCTGAAAGACGAGAATTTCTTCATCATCTTTTGATAGGAACAGGCCTTCACCACCGGCAGCCACCGTGCGTGCATCGAGCAAACGGATCCATAGAAGTAGCTGTTTTTCCATCGGCGCAAAGCGCTCGGACTTTCCTCTTTGAAATAAATCGTAAGCTTTCTGTAGGTGTGACCGGGCAGTTTCGACCCTCGCTTCAAGAATGTCAATGTAGCTGAGGAAGAACAGCGTTGCGAACATGTTCTCCCTTTGCCGGCTATGTTGAGCTACTAGCTCGGTGACCTTTGGAGGGAACAACTGGGCTATCTCAGCAGCAGCATTTTGATAATGATGCTGCTTACTGGTCCTCCAGTCGTTGTTTCGGAGGCAGAGGATAGCGTTTGCGAAAGCCAGAACCGCCCACCGAACCATTCTAGACTCTGTTGCCATCTTGATCAAGACTTTTCGCATCGCGATCCAGTTCCTTTGTGCTTCTACCTCAGAAAGGATCGGCGGTGTCACTGAGTGGGCGAAGTAATCGATTAGTCCCTGATTGTCTGACGAGTCTTGTGGTATTGTTTCTTGTGTCCTATTTGAGCTTGCGGGTGACTTTGCTGATAAGGAACTCGGCTCTGCTCTTCTTCCTTCGCACTCGTCCTCGAGTACGGCTCGTCGAGGCCTCGATGTGAGTGGGACATGGTCATTTTGCGTTTGATTATTGTAGGCGGTCTGCTGAAGCCGGAAGTTGGTTAGCAAATCTAAAAGTCCCGGGCTTCCAAATAACCTACCATCATATGGTTTTCTGAGTCGATAGTTCCCTCCACATCCATAAACATCTGTTGCCATACGTCTGATTCCTCCCAAAAGGAGCCTGAATAATCAAACTCCTGGTGAAGCCCTTGAGGCTCCTGCGATGGATGAGAAGGGAGGTACGCAGACTTGTCCGGTCCAGCAGAAAAGCCCGATTCTGGGGTTCGCGTCGCATTTCCCGCATCGGAAGCTCCGATGCTAGATCGCCTGGTACTGTACCATTTGCATTCGATGTTCAAGCGCTCGCAATGTGAGCATATAGGTCTCAGCTCATCGCATTTGACCTTGCGCTGTCTGTGAGAAATCAATCAGCGTGCGCTTTAATCAATTATCAAGTCTACCCTCGACCGGGTGACTGGAGGGGGGAGAGGAGCTCGTACTTGCAGGTGAAGCAGCCATTCCTAGAGCGCGCAAACTTCTGCCTTCGGCGCCGGAGTCGCGCAGAAGAGAAATCAGCAGACGTATCAATTGCCGACGCAGCGAAAGTGCTATTCTCCATGAATAGCGTAGTGGGTTCTCCTTGTTGAGGCAACTCAGTGGGAATACTCAGGCCCTGATGATCGTCGTCGAACAGTGAATTGGGTTAACTCATGTGATCAAGGCCTACACCGGCTAGTGGTGAGAATCCGTCACGTGAAATTGTCCCGCTACTCTGGAATGTTTCTAGGATTATTACATGGGCGGATCCAATATTTGGCTGCTAACTGTGTAGGTAGTCCAGGCATACAGTGTCTTGGCAACCTGGTTTTGGCACCCCTAATTTTCAATTACTTGATAACAATATGGTTATATTATTTTCTGTAAGTTCATGTCATTGAGATTACCTATACAAGCAATCACGGTATTAGATTTATTTGGTCTAATACTATAAATAAAAATATCCAAAAGTTGATTCACGTTATAAATCTGCAACCTACAAGCTATTCTACAAAGACTTCTATAAGCAATAGCGAGTAAGTAGGGAAATATCTGTATATTCTTGAAAACGAATGACATTTCAACATCTAAATTTATTGCTTGCATCCGGTCTTAGATGACAAAAAGAAGCAGATTTCTAGGCAGTGGCTACCATACAACCAAAGAAACCAACGTTTCTCTTCACTTCTTATCACACTCCCTGGTTCGGAACGTGTCACAGGAAGTTTGCTCCCTTCATTTCTCGCCCTCCACTGCATTGACCTGTACTTCTTGCGTAACAACCTTCGCGTGGCCTTCTCTAGCCTCTCTAGCTTCCCAGGATGTTGTTGGCTTCCACTTTGAGGATTCCCTTGGGTTGCTGACCTCCTCGTAGAGCTGGTCCACCTGCTCAAGACTGAGGCCCTTAGTCTCGTAGATCATGAACCATACAAAGGCGATGCATAGGAAACAGCACCCAAACCAGACAAAAAAGATCTTAGATTGCAGGTTTGCGTATCCATCTCCGTAATTAACAAGATAAGGCGTCGAATAAGCAATCGCCCAGTTAAGAAGCCAATTCGTCGCCGTGGTGATACTAAGAGACTTGGCTCTTGTCTTCAACGGAAAGATCTCACCGGTGACCACCCACGCCAAAGGGCCCCAAGTCGATGCAAAAAAGAAGATGTATATGCAAACAAAGGCCACGGCAGCCTTCTGTCCAGGAAGGTTCTTCACAATTATTTCTCCAGTGTCAGTTTGGCCGGTAGAGACGGTGCCCAAAACGGCGACGATGAGCTGAGACACACACATCCCGATAGCACCCCAGAGTAAGAGTGGTCGTCTTCCAAATTTATCATAGGCATACATACCAGGTAACGTAGATGCCACGTTGATAGAAGAGGTAATCATAGTCACAATAAAGCCGCTTGAAACGCCAGAGTTTTCGAAGTACTTGGTTCCATAGTAGAAGATAAAATTGATGCCTACAAGCAGTTACTTAGGATAAGATTCTGATTGCAAGGCAGGAGGGACCCTGGAAAAACAGAAGAGCTTGAGCAACTTACCTGTGAGCTGTTGGAGGGCCTGCAATCCCATGCCAGTGAGTTGTCTCTTCAGAATGGGCGGTTTGAAGCAGTCGAGATACGTCCCAGTTCCCAAGCTCGTCTCAAAGTCGTGGTTTGCCTGGACTTCTGCTAGCTCTGATCTTAGAGCCTCATGATCAGCAGGCAGTCGCCTGAGCCGGCTCAACGCCCTGGTGGCCTTTTCAAGCCTGCCCCGTTTGATCAAATAGCGAGGTGTCTCAGGAAGAAATACCATCCCCCCAAACAGGATCAGGGACCATGCTAATTGGATACCGATTGGAATACGGTATGAACTTGAATCATCTCTGTGCTTGGTGGCATTATTGACAATTGCTGCGACAAGTAGGCCGATAGTAATGGCCCATTGGTAGGCACCCACGATGAAACCGCGGATCCATTTGGGAGCCGTCTCTGATTGATACAACGGAACTGAGATGGTTTAGCACTGAAGTTACTCATTCGAGTCTATCACAACTCACCAAGAGCCGATATCAAGCCCACGCCGAAGCCAGCAAAGAAGCGGCCAGCCAGAAACATTGGAATCGCTGTGGCGACAGTATGCAATACCACGCCAAGATTGAATACCCAGGTCGAAATCATCAAACCTGACCGCCGTCCGACAAAGTCTGCCAGAAAGGGAGAAGCTAGTGATCCGAAAAATGTGCCAGCCGAGAGAATGGACACAATAGCGGATTCTTGGGCCCCAGTCACATTGGGATTGCCGTCGGGGTCGACATAGCCGGTGCTGAAGAGTTTCTGCCAGTAGGGCATAGCAAGAATCCCACTAATAGTTCCAGTATCATAGCTGCAGGTATTCCATTTACAAATTAGCCCAGGCCATCAGAGTAATGCAGAGGCAAGATCGACCTACCCGAAGAGCACACCACCAAATGCAACGAAGAGGCCAATTAGAATGGCCGGCCATGCCTTTCCCGACTCATCCTTCGCCCTGGGTATGGCGAATGATTTGGAGAACGCCATTATGACAGCTCAATACAATTTTGAGGAAAACAGGTAGCAACTATGATAAACCGAAGAAAGTTACGCGGATAGAGAAGACAAGAGGCCATTCAATTGAGTGGTTTGAGCAACAAGGTTCAGATACCTGGGCTTGTATGTGTATTTGTAGCCGAGAAGAACATCGACCGGGCATTACCTTACGGCAGGTATTTTGCCCAAAGCTGCTTGACTACAAACCTCCAGCGTCCATATTCGCTTTATTCCGGCCCCTGCAAGCCCCCATGTCTACTCTCTGGCACATCTGCACCGTAATAGGGAATGATAATCCAAGTGCATGAGTTGATGACCTCTCGCCTGTCAAAAGAAGATGGGGTTACATGGGCATGAGCGTAGTGCATTTGGACCAGCTGCCAAACGCGGTTTTACGTCTGAGAGAGGAAAACGCCCGAATAGACGCCGGGAAGTGGCTGGACATGCTGCCAGCTGATCCGCGATGGTGACATTGTGAATGAGTCGATCAATCTTTTCGGCATCTCCCACCCGGTTTTCTTCCTGCGTTTAGCATCTTTCTAGAATATCGACATGATGCCGTGCTCACTCAAACGAAGTGCGAGGCTTACTTTTAAGCTTAGCAATGGAAGTCTCAGGATTTAACCGTATTAGTCAAATGATTGATAGAAGTTCATCCAGATCAAATGATGTACCAACTACATGCCCATAGGGAAAGCAAGATAAAATCCATATGGCAGTAGTATCTATGTTGGCCGGGATACCCGTGCCAGACCTCACACGGGATTTCTCAAGGTCTCTTTCTCTAAAAGAAAAAGGCGCATTTGCCACTGAGATCCTTCTCCAACTTGCCGAGACTCATTCGTCACTAAGGATGCTTGCCTTCCACAATTATATTCTCGAAGCAAGAAGTCTCCTTTCTCCTTATATATAATACTTTAGGGAATAGTCCTATGCTCGAATCATTCTATTTGGACAGCAGCAATATGCCAGGTAACCAATAATCAACTGAAGATCTACGAACCTTGTCAGCGTGGTCCCAGCGCGACAAGGATTCAAATGGACGGGGGTGAACATGGCCGAGATATAGGGCCGATCCCAACGCGGGGAGTAATGGGCTTGATTGGACGACTACCGAAGTCCGTATGCTGGTGTTAGTAGGTATTAGTGCATGGTCGATGGTTGAACAATGAAACGGAACTGCGAGAGGGATTCATGTACGATGACATCAAGATCATGGTGCGCTTCTCATACTTATTGCGGGGTTCAGAATCGAGAGTTTGAGCAGCTTCACGCACCCAAGTGAAAGACAGCAACGGAAGATGCCATGCCCGATATCTCACCACAGTGAATATCACGTATCTGCTTCAAGCTCCAAAATCGCGACCTATGCCATTGCGAGAAGTAGTCATAGGCATTCATCAATTGTTCAAGAAATCCAACGAGGCGGCATATTTCTCCTCGTTATTAGCGGCAAAAGGAACCGAATACATCTTGTGTGAGTGTTTCGTTTGCCATCTAAGCCTCAGCATGCGTTACCCATGCTCTTCCCTATCATCATCCGGGCCAACAACCCTTTTTAAAAGCAAGCCATGGCCAGCTCATATAAACATACAATATTCTTCGTCAACACTCAAAGTATCGTGGATTAGTAGGCTTGCCTCGGGATTAAACTCCGTCGCTTTACGTTTTTACTTGTCCAACTCGAAATGTGCGTTATGTTGATTGATTGCGCTAAGATAGAACGCTCTATCATCCTCCACTACTAATCAACTTTATACTCAAACTCTCTCGCGTACGTTGTGTTTGTGCAGTTTCCAGCAAGCCACCATATTGTCTTTTTGATGTCTCAGGCCCAACAAATATGTCGGGCGTCATTTACAGCGTCACTAACTACAAAAAGCTCTATTTGAGCCCAAGCTAGATATCTCCTAGCTACAATCTCAAGTGATGTTACTCTCTCTGGACATAGTGATAGCTCATAGTTCATTGATCCCACATGTGGGGGAATAAAAGGTAGAGCTCATGTGGAAAAATAGAAAAATGGATACTATTAATGCTAACCTGAGACGTAAATTAAACGCATTATAATACTCTAGGACCCCCTTTCTGCTTCAATTCGGCCTATATTTTCTAAAGCATGCCGGATAAGCTCTTGGGTATCTTCATCCAACTGCTGTCCTGTGGTGTTGTGCTGGCAAGCCTGTAAGAGGTTCTTCCATTTCGGCCAGAACTCTGGGAGAAGCCTCTGATCATCTCCATTATTTTGATTGTCGAACATATCGATATCTTTGGCCTGAACATCTAACCAAACCTTGTTGGGGGCGTATATGAACCAGAAACAAACTATACGTATTTCTGATCGCGTGGGTTGGTCGGGTCCGAGAACTCGCGTTAGTTGGGAGTAATTCCAGTCTGTACTCTCCCGGTAGAAGGAAAATCCAATCTCGGAAAGTTGGGCAACATAGGCGGTACAGTTCTCAAAATTTCGACTCTGCTCCTCCGCGGTGCCTTTACTTGCTTCAAAAACATCAGACAAGGGCAGTTCCAACATCTTATGTCATACTACTTACATCCAGTGTAATGATAGTCAGCTAGGGTAAGAGACATCTGAGGCATATCCGACCAGAAGTCTTCATTCTCGAGCTGTATAATCCCCCCAGTTGATGGATCAGGCACAGCTACCTGCTGAAGGCGGACAACAAAATCAATAAGCTTGGATTGTTGATTGTGCGGGATACGCATCGCGAGGTTGTGGATTGTAACCGAGACATGGATGGCGTGCATATATAGGGCATTTTGGGCTGAAGAAGGAGCTGCGGCTGCGGTGGTCAATTTTACGATTTCCTCAATAGCTTTGGGTACGGGAAGGTCGTCTTGGGTGACCGCCTGGAGGATGATATCTCGCTCAGGGACGCCACGGAGCTTCAGAGTATTAGCAATCGGCCACAGATGCAAAGAAAGGGTCGCAAGAGTTGGGGGTAGAAACCAGACCTACATGGGCATACGGGTCCGTAGAGCTCTGAGTGCTATCCATGGTTGCGGTTTGAGAATGCAAGATTGGACAAGTGCGCGGCGGGGTAAAAGGCATGGGGTGATGACACAGTTTGGAGCAGCACGCATTAATATATATCCAGCTGACTACAGCATGGCCATGGTGGGGGATGATATCGGTGGGGTTACACAAAAACAATAGCCCATGTCAGCACCCGATGCCCGTCGTTGAAGGGACAGTTCTCGTCCCCTTGCAGTCGTGTTCAGATCCTCTGATGTAAGGCCTTTGGAAGCTATGTATTTGTGTGGATGCTATCATCTAAGCTATGATGGCTAATTTTATCGCCGTTGCCCATGATCTTTAGATAAGCTACTCAGCCTCTGTTCCGAAAAAATAGCCAATTGCGTCAATTTCCGCCTTTTGTTTGGATCAAGAGTGGACTGAGCATGAAAAAGAAGAAAAAACCCTGTCGCGGACGGACCGGGCAAGTGGGTGGTGACATGAGAAACGGGACACCAAAATACAAGCTTATTCTGTCATAAATAAAGAGCAAATAGTCATATAGAAAACATAATCAAAATAATTAATATTAATATTCTTTAATTGAAGAACTGCCATTTTATCTCTTTTGAATCTATTTTTCTCTTTCTTGAGGTGGTGATCAAACAAAAAAGGAGGTATTAAGCTTGAGCACTAAATCCAGGCGGTGCGCACTAGACTTTGGGGGCTACTCGGTAATCGCTGAAAATGACTGGATGTCCCGATGTGCTAATAAGAAGTACACACAAGTTCCTTCCTTCGCTCCATTTCGAGCGAAATATTGGGTGGTCCCATACCATCATCTTACCGCAACCACCGTCGGGAGCTTGATCCCCGTCCTTGAGCGGACCTGGCTGAGTAGGGCTGATCAAGCCTTCCAGCCGTACCAGGGGTCAGCATGTTACGAGATTGGTGGGTAGAACAAGTGCACAACTACCGACTACTGCATCTCCATGTCCCGAATTAGCCCTTCAATTCAAGAATTTGGGCCACCTAGCCTCCGATTTGTGGCGCGACGAAAGATTCAATGTTGTGACCGGGGCGCAAACCGTGCATATAAGAGGTTTTAGTGTGCCATTTGAACAACCCTTCAGATACAACAAAAATTCATTCAATGACATCGAACAAACAAATCATCAGCCATGCGGGTTCATAAAACGTCTTATTGGATTCTTTGTCTATTTGTGGCTATAGGTACTAGACAAGCTGTGGCCACGCCAGCTGGGTTGGAGGTACGAGTCAACGAATATGGCATTCCAAGCCACGGTGGCTTCGGCTTCACTCAAAATGAGCTCACGCAGCATGTCGAACATACTCTCAATACCCCAGAGGGCTCAATTCATCATCCGTCTGGGGATGGTAGATATCCTGAAAAGCTCAAAGTCGACGGTGACGTGGCAGCGAGGTACAAAAACAGCCAACATGATCCAGGAGATTTCTTGTCAATGCCGATTCATCCCAACGGCGGGGGGGACCAGGCGGCACTACATCAAGGTACTTAGCCCTTCCTTGACTAGACTCTCGTTCCGCTTTCAAACTAACCTGGGTTCGATCCAAAGACCGGCAGCAGCCTGGTCAAATGAGAATGGTTGTCGACAAGAAACAACGAAAGCTCGTCGAATTGGCTGCACATCCGCCAAAGGAACCAGGCCAGAGGAATAACAACCAACTCTTAAAGATGTGGCCCAACGAAGATGAAGGGAGAACAACCCCACCACCGCCACAGCCAGCAAGCCCAGCAAGCCCGTCTAAGAAAAGACCGAGGCCCGATGACGACGAGGCAGGCGAAGCGGCCAAGAAGCAAAAGGTTGAGCAAGGCGGCGAGCAGAGCAAGCCCGCCCCTGTTAAAGTCGCGGCGCCAATGTTCGTACCAAGCTCTCTGAGGAGGCCGGTCAAGCCTCTGCCGAAGAAAAGTCGACTACCCCCAGGCGCCGTGGCAAAGCCTCAACCAAGCAAGGGCGAAAGCAGCAAAGAAGTCGCCGGTGCATCCAAACCAGCTGACAAGAGCTCAACGGACCAAGGAGGAGGTGGCGGATGCATGTCCAAGAGAGATGGAGCAGCATGTCAAATCAAAAGTTTCGGCAATAAGGGTATGACCCCTAACAGAAGCCCAACGAAGCTCAAGACGGGCACAAACATGAAGTCCAATGTTCTTAGCAAGAGCAACGGCAAGAACAAGAAGCCTATCAACAAGAATAAGGCTACCAGCAAGAAGTCTTCCAGCAAGAAGTCTGCCAGCAAGAAGTCTACCAGCAAGAAGGCGGGACACAAGAAGGCTAGCAACAAAAAGGTTGGCAACAAGAAGGTTGGCAACAAGAAGGTTGCTAATAACAAGAAGCCTGGTAATAACAAAAAGAAGGTTGCCAACAAGAAGGTTGGCAAAAACAAGAAGACTACAAACAACAGTAAGAAAGTTGCCAACAAGAAGGCTGCAAACCACAAGAAGACCGGAAACACCAAGAAGACTGGAAACACCAAGAAGGCTAGCAACAGTAAGAAGGCTATCAACAAGAAGGCTGCCAACAAAAAAGTTAGCGGCAAGAAGGTTGGCAACAAAAAGCCTGCGCCAAAGAAGCCCTCACCTAAGAAGGCTACATCGGCTAAGAAAACTGCATTAAAGACAGCCACACCAAAGAAGACAACACCAAAGAAGACAACACCAAAGAAGACAACACCAAAGAAGACAACACCAAAGAAGACAACACCAAAGAAAGTTAGCAACAAAAAATCTGCAGTAAAAAAGCTCTCACCTAAGAAAGCTGCACCAAAGAAAGCTACACCCAAAAAGGCGGCACCAGCCAAGAAAGCTGCACCAAAGAAAGCTACACCCAAGAAGGCAGCACCAGCCAAGAAGGCAGCATCACCCAAGAAGGCTGCATCACCCAAGAAGGCTGCACCAGCTAAAAAAGCTGCACCAGCTAAGAAGGCTGCACCAGCTAAGAAGGCTGCACCAGCTAAGAAGGGGAAAAGAGGCCTTAATTATCCGATGTAGATGTTGCGAGTCCATTTTTATTCCTATCAACTATCCTTCTCTATTTTATCTTATGACTTAGCGGTATATTAATTTTGCTTTTTGAGCGAGCGTCGTTATTGAATATCTATTTTTCTTTTCGTGTTAGCCAGATAGAAGTACTATACATGTTATCAACTGGACCACATAGCATCGACTACTCGTATAAACATAGCACCTTAATAAGCGAAATACGGATAAATAAGCCATATGTCCCGGTTAAGTTCACACAGCGGCTTCCCTACGCACTGCAAGTTTGCTGATACAAAGCTGCAACTCATGCGATCATAGATATAGTTCACCAATTGGAAGAACGCCTCTGTGGTCACTACGACCCTTACCTAGTTCAGGTTGGATAAGCCCTGCGTAACAGTGAGAAAATATTTAATTGCATTAGATTCCATATCTTTTTCTTGAGTAATGAAACTTTTGTTAGAGGAAGGATGAACTAGACTTCGAGTCCTAAAAACCTAGAAGTATGTTACTTGACCTTTTATGAATTTTAGTCTCTCTCTGTATGTCACCACGCCCATTTTTGCATTAGGCCGCCCCATATATCTACCCCACAACACGAGGGTTTATGAATGCCCGCAACTCCCCGAGCTGAATCAATCCACAAACATCATGACTTTTGATGTTTCCAACGACAAAGACTGTCTCAGAGGAGCTCGTCGCCCGGGTTTCCCCGTCTCAAGAATCCGACGCTGTACATTGCGCCTTTACGGCCATCCCATTTCGACATGGCTCATCATGCAGAGCGGTCCCCTTCCCCACATGAGCGCGTCGCGGAACTGGAATCTGTCCCGACGCTCGCAGATGAGATACGGTCTGGAATCCCAAGTTCTATTCCTCTAGAAGGCGAGAGCTTCAACGACTCATCAACACGCCCCCGTCGGAAAAGGCCGCGAGGAGAGAATTCTAGAACTGCTGTAGCCTACTCCAGGAAACGTGCCGTGGCTGCCTGCCGAAATTGCCGTGTTCGCAAGATTAAATGTTGGTAATCACCTTTCCCTTACCTATATTTCTCTTCATTATAACTTTGTGTCTACCGTAGGTAATAATGCCCGCCCAACGTGCGGTAGCTGCCTTTCCTCGCACGCCCAGTGCGACTACGAGGATTCTCAAGACCACTCAGCGTAAGCGAAGATCATAATGGGACTTGACATGTCTTGCTAAGTCAAAGTAGGTTTGATCCAGCGAGTTTGTTAATCCTTGATCGCCTACAACAAGTTCTCTCGAAGCTAGATGACTTTTCCAGCGGGCATTCCTGCTCCTTGCCGGCCCAAGCCCCGGAGCCGGAGATATTTTCTGCTTCGCCAAATACCCAACCCTCTCAACCAATTTACGACTCACAAGATGCTCATGTCACATATGATGATCAGAAAATCCCATGTACAAAAGCCTCGCCAGATTCCATTCTTCAATGGCCCATCTTCGAAGGCCAGTTTCCCCCCAACTACATCATCGACGGAGTGTTCTTGGCGGAAATGCCAGAGGACATGGACATCGACGCTAATAGAAACAGAGAGGTCTCCGAGAATACACATTCTCGGCAAGCGTTCCACACGAGGGGTGTTGCAATAAACGAGGATGCGACGACGGGCTTGGTCCAACGCTTTCTTGATCTCGTACATATCAAAAACCCCATTTTAGACCCTGACACCCTTTGGTCATATGTCCGGCATGTGACTGAGGATGGTTTCCAATGGGACCCTCCATCCTGTCTGGTGGTATGTCATCCATCTGTTTTGTTTTGCATCCGTGAACTGATCAAGGCGATATCCAGCTGCTTGCCTGCGCTCTTGGGTCCGTATCTGAGGAATATGGGGTTACTCCTGCTCTGAGAACCCACCAAAACTCACTCGAAGAGCGGAAACATGATCTCAGCGTGGGCGAAAAGTATTTTAATCTCGCCCAGAGGAGGCTCGGACTACTTGGAAAGGGAATCTTGACCCCGCAATGTCACTTCCTAGCCGGCGTCTATCTAATGTACACCCAGCGACCTCTGAGTGCCTGGTCAGAGTTTGATTCAGCATCAAAATCATACCACATCTATCTACAATGCCGTTCTCGTCAACCAAGCCAACCATGCGATGACTCTCCACGGGGCAAGAGAAGACGAGGGTTGGAACAAAGGCTGTACTGGAGCTGTTACAAGTCCGAATGCGAGTTGCGCTCACAGATTGAGCTGCCTAATAGCTCATTGGCAGACTTCCAGTATCCTGATTTGCTGCCGTCACCCCCAGAATTACCTCTCCCCAGCCCAGATGGAGATGGCGAGGGTTTTTTGAGGGCCCATGGTTCTCCTACCAAGATGAAGGCGTTGGACTCACAGAGGCAGCATGAACAGAGCTGGTTTTACTATTTGACAGAGATAACCCTTCGGCGAATCACCAATCGGGTTTTGAATATGCTATATTCGAATGACTCCCAGGGGTTGAGTGAAGCTTCCATAACAATCATGGTCAAAGCAGTAAATGAAATCGAGCAGCAACTTCAACAGTGGTATGTGAACGCTTGCATGGTGGTCTTTTCAGAATCTAACAGGTATCCAGGCATGCAGGTCTCCCAGCACCTATTCAGTATACGGAAGGTGTCATGCCAGATGAAGAACTCCCTTGTATGGTTCACGGCCGTGTACTAGAGATAAAGTTCTGTCTGTTCCGTCCATTCCTCGAATATGCCATTCACCAACCACAAAATCTGGCGTCCCAGCGCTTGATTGGCCCTTACGTTGAAAAGGCTGTAGGGGCCAGCCTCATGATTCTTCGATGTATCAACACCCTTCACCGTCACCACGGAACCTGGTTTGGGCTTCGGATCTGCACAGCGGCTTCACTAGCATTGCTTGGAGCTGTCAGGTGTGGCAAGATTGATGTTCCGCAAGGTTGGCAAGGAGATATCCGTGGAGTGATCGAGGTCTTCAGATATTGGGAAGCCGAGTCCCCTGGACTTTCACGTGCAATAGAGGTGATCGAGGCTTTGATGGATACGATAAGGGCCTGTGTATAATATTCCAATCAACCTAATTGGACATGAATCTGATTTCCAGTAGTGCTAAATGTACATTGGGGCTGAAAGCCTTCAAGGCTTGCCCATAATTAATTTGAAATTTAGCCGAGTTCCGTGTGACAGGGCAATGTATATGTCAACCGCAGGCGTGCCTGAATGACTGCCCGAGAAGCCATTCAGGCCCGCTCAGATACAGCGAGGCTTCCACCAATGCTGGGTGCCTCCATCTCCAAGCTTCCAGTCATGAAAGGATCAGTTCATTTTCTTTGCCTTGCGCTTTGCACCCCTTCTCGGGCTTGTAGATGATGGATTGGCGGCACCTGGCAATTTTTTAAGCTGCTTTTGAAGAGGCGGAGGCTTGGCCACTATCAAATGTTGCATCCTAAAGAGTATGTCATACTTTGATTCAAGGAGCGACTTGAGGTGGCTCTGGTCGAAAGATTTCAACAATGCTACCGCCTCAACTCTTCTTTTATGCCACAGTTTCCGGACCTTGGTGTTTACGCTAAAAGGTTTCGTACCTCTCAAACTGTCGCTAAGCTCGGGTGGCTCATGGCCCACAAAATCGTTGACGAGTTTGGATATAAAAGTCAAATAGAGGGTTTGGCAAACTGGGTCAGTGAATGGGATGTTGTTAGATGTAAGGATACGGGTGAGAGCTGAAAGAAACGGTATCCATAGGCTGGTGAGCGACCGCATCTGGAGGTCAGGAAGTGCTTCAATGAGATTTTCCATAAAATTCAAGACCAATCCATACTCTTCCGGATTGTGCTCGAGGAAAATGGACAGGAACTCAGCGATGTCCTCACTCTTAACTGCGCTTCGTTCCTCGACGGATCCCTTTCCAAACAAGGACTCAATAACCGGGCTGCTTTGCCATTCTCCTGGATTTGCATTGATGAGTAAATCAGCCGCCACGGTATGGGCCGCTATGACAATAGTTGGCTGACGAATGCCTTCGATCATGTCTTCTTTAATCTGAGACAAGAACCCAAAAATGATCTCCGGATCATCGTAGCACTGGGACAACTTTTGGACAGCACTGCCGTTGATGATTAGCAAGTCGTAGAAGAAGAAGACGAAAATGAAGCACATACACCTCTGAGAGGAAAGATCTGGCCGCAAGGTATCTCGCACATTTCACCATCGCCCTACCATCTGACTTGCTCAGATGGCTGGGATCAGGCTCTTGGGCACGATGCCAGAGTACCTCGTAAGTGAATCGAGCGGCAACAAGACAGTTGTGGCTCCTTTTATCCAGAGGTGCAAACGCCTCGATTGTCGCGAAAAGATCATCAAAATTTGAAGGAAGACAATATGGCAATCTACTCGGAAACGAGGATGAGTTACTGCGTTCAGAAGAAAGAGTCGAACAAACCAGGATCACCTACCCTGCGTGGATCTGCTCAAATCGCGATGCAGCCTCTTTGCGATCATAACCCACCCATTCCCGCACCCAGGTGAAAAATTCCAGCGGTACATTGTCCCTCATATCCCTATTTTTGGCAACTTCCTCGAAAAAGTCGAATTCCCCAAGCTGCACAGCAGCCCGGAGCAAGTCGCTGTACACGACACCGTTGAAAGCCCAGCTTGCTGTGCCAGACTCGCTCTGCTCAGCCCATGCGTCCTGGCAGGCTTCCACAAGCGCGTAAAACACGTTGTGCGGTGGGTTGGGCCGCAAGCAGATTTTCAGCAGAAGGTTCATTGGAGCCTGAGGGCAGTAAACGGGAAAGTTCGTAAAGTCAATTTGATTCCCAGCTGAAAAGAAGGGTACCAGTGATTCATGGTGAACGACAATTACCGCCTGAAGTAATTGAGAGTTAGCGTTGCAGTTCCAAAGAGCAGATTACTACATTGCCTACCGTTCCGACCGATGGTCGTGACACAAGTTGCATCTAAGGGATTCGTTAGTCAAATCTCATGGGCAACATGAACCAAGTGGTGTCCAACCATAGGTTCTATAATCTCATCCTTGAACTCCCTATCCACACTCCTGTGAATGATGCTTTCTGGACGTGTAAGGTCGTGGTCTTGAAGGACTAAGTCTTCTTCAATGATCTCCCCATTGAGAGATATGACGGATCTAAGTCGGTAATGCTCTCTAAACACAGATTTAAACCAGTCAGAATATTGACTTTGCCCAAGACGTTTATACATCTCATTATCTTTTTTTCTCGGTCGGTCGGATAACTTCTCTCTCAATGTGGACAAAAAGAATCTCTACTGGAAGCTCACTTGAAGCGTCTATCAGTTGCTGCGTGACTGCCAGATCTAGGGGCTTTAAGCCTTCAAGTGAGGGGCTGGGTTCACAGTAGTGATTTTGAAGTTGATGAAGCAGAAAGTTATGCTGGCGCTTAGAGCAGTCTGAATTGGCCCACAGAGCGAGAGCCTCTCCAATCGCTTGAGGAGCCGTCAGTGATGGGAATGCAAATCCTTCCTTGGTATTAGTCAGATGATACAAGAGAACACAGCAATAACCTGATAATATTGGCCTTGAATCAAGTTCAACATCAGGATACCAGCAGCACATCGACTGGCTCAGTTTGGACGGTTCGAAGCTTTGGACTCTTGTTCCAAATCTCATAGTGACTTCGCCTCCGTGATACGTTGACGGAAGGAAAAGAGCCAAGGTGGCGAATGTATTAGGGGGCTTTTCAGTCCTAAATATATCACTTCAGCATTGAATGGCATTGTCCGGGAAATGCAAAAAAGACGCACGACAGGCTACGGTCAAGAATGGCACCTTCCCCGCAGATGAGCATCTTTTCAAGATGAGCTTCGGCGCCCAAAAAGGCATCCGACATCACTAGCCCTCTCGCCGCAGAGAAAAGCAGTCCTGGGAGTATATCTTTCCAATCCGGGTTGAGAAAAGCGAGCTGCTCAGGATCCAGCTCCCAGGTGTCACTTTTACCAAGCCGAGCCTGCCTACTATTTCTATGACGAGGACGAGAGAGCGCGATGAGTTTGCGCAAATCCTCCTCATTAAGAGGCATATCAAGATCGCCAAGTCCGAAAACTGTAAGCCCCATTTTCACTGGCAAAACATCTCCAAGTTGCTCGAATTTAGCGAAGGAGACGGATCTTTCGAACTGTTCCAGCGCATAAGCCAGATGCTCCCTGGCTTCTTCTTCTTCATATCCGATCCGTGAAGAGTCGAGGCATTCTTCAGACGCCATATTGAATCCGCCGTTAAATGAGAGCCGCAGGTTTGATGCACGTTGAATCTATTCGCTGTGTCAGGGGTTCAGATCTCGCGACCCACGTTGAGACCATTCGTGAGGTGAGACGCGTCGTCGCGTGCCCCCTGTCTATGGCTCACGTGGCCGAAATAACCCCTTACCCTATATACATGTACAACAACCACACGAAGGCAGGACCGCGAAGATTGGTCGATTATTGGCAAGGATTGAGAAGTTAAATATTTCGTAAAGTCAAATCCCTCGAATCAGTCATGCGTTCTTAAAGATCATTGGTCTAGAACTACCTATTGGTGGATTATCACAGCCAACTGTTCTCAGCGCATGACATTGTCTCATTAAAGGCAACATCAAATATATGTGACTAGATTTGCAGTTATTGTTTGTTAAAGTCCTACCGATGTACAACGACGCGCTGTATCTAGAAAATAGCGATGTTAAAGGATCTTAGCCCTTCGCTTTCAAACCACTACCAGGCCGAAAATCAGGGAATCCGCCCAGTGTGCCCCAGATGTCACCGACATAGTTCGAAGCTGAAACGCCTTGAAGAAACACCGTATCCCACCCCCCGAGTATCCCCTTCACAATTTCTATTCCCGCTAGATATATATTGGCCCTAGCAGTCTGTATACTATTCAGATGCTCGCCACGTAAATGGGTGACAGCATCCACCCCAGGCGGTGCACGATCGAAGTTGGACCCTAACCAGCGATTTAGCGAATATATACTTGTGGAATTGAGATCGGCCTCTTTACCTGTGCGGAGGAGAATTGTCCTGTTATAATCCACCAAATTGGCGACATGGAACCGAACCAGCACCTCGAGGACGGCATTGTCCTCCATGGCTGACATGCAATACTTGCCAAGACCACTTGTCCAAGTGCTAACTACTTTCTCGAAAGTATCACCGAGGCGATAACCCGAAAAGAAGACATCGCTGGTGGTCACGTCACATTTGACCACTGAGGGTGGCAGTGTACCAGGATGGTAGGCTTCACCAGCTGAACCGAACTTGGAGCGGTAGCTCTGTGCATAATCAGTGTCATTCAATGTCGCAAGAGAGGCAAAGCCAGCCGCCAAGTCTCGAAGTGCCCCATTTAGTTCAAACACCTCTGTTCCGTAGAATTCGGTCGGATATTCAGTAGGGCTTTCGGTACCAAAGGAGAAGTAGCCCGTCTCCCAATGTGACGGTACTTCTCTGGGATCAATTTCGTACTGCAGGGCAACCTGGACTGCGAATTGGGAGAGAGCAACGCTGCCAAGTGTTGCGTGTTTTGGGTTTACCCCAGCTATACCCGCTATGAGGAAATATGTCTTGCGGAAATCAAATTTCCCGGACAGAACGACCGAGGTGATGGTGGCTGCAGCGTTTATCTCCGACATGCCGGTTGTGACCTGGCAGATGTCCCCGTCTGCGGTACAATATACCGAGGGGTATTGAGGGCTCAAGCCGGGGATAGAGATGGCCTGGGCCTGCAGGTCTCCAAATTGGGTGCCAGGGAGGTGCTCATACCACACATCGGCTTCCGCAGAGAACTATATTTAGGCAATGCCTTGCATGATTGGCACATGCCCGATTTCAAACTGATGTTAGGAGAGAACGACATACCAAGCTAACAATCAGGATTCTGGGGGTTATTTTTGAGTTTGAGAACACATCTGCGTGTAGCTGAGGTAATTTGTTTCCAAAAGCGACGTAAAGCCCAACAAACAAGAATACGGCCGAGAGAAGAGATCGTGAAGATATGAAATCCATTATGGACATGGAGAGAGAGACGAGTCTCTATAATGTTAGGGCACGCAAATATCACACGAGGGTTTGTGCTCTGCGGAATGTGAGTGAAATCAAAACCTGACATGTATTTTTCTATTATCAACGCGCGGTGAGGATGTGGGCGATATTCGTGGGTCTAATAATATATCACGCAGTAGTGCTAAAATTACAGCGAGGGTCTGATTACTTAACCCTATACTTATAATATATCTACCCTATATAAGGAATTTACCTATAAGTATATAATAAGAATCTCTAAAGCTTATAAATAAGAGTAGTAGGGATTAGGAATAGATCTATAGATATATATTTATTATATATAGTTAATTAAGTAAGTATTATTAGTATAAATAGTATAAAGTCTAGTAAGCTTATTAATAAAGCTTAATAGATATTTTAAATATTTATAAAGTTCTTATTCTATAGTTTCTATACTTTATCTTAGTTTTAGCTTTATATTTCTCTATAAAAATTATAAGTTTAGAAGGATCTTTAGATAAATTAATTAGAATTTTATAATTTCTATTACTATTATATAGTAACTATATCCTTTATTTATTCTATTCTATATTATAATAAGTATTAATCTTATTTATTAGATACTCTAATTCTTTATTTAAAAACTATTTTTTTTTAAACTTTTTATTAAGTTTATAAAAGTTAAAATATTAGTAAAACTTAATATTAAAATTAAATATAGATTTTATAAAGAGTATTTAGATTAGTTTTCTTACTTATAATTCTATATAGAATTTTATAAAGTTTAAAATATTATTAACTCTAATAAGGAAAAGAATAGAAATAAATATAATTATTCTCTTACTCTTCTAATCCTTTAGAAAGTAATTAAAATCCTAGTTAATAAGTATTTTATAAGGATTTCTAATACTTTCTTTAGTATAAATAATATATCTATAGAAATAAATAGCTAGAGATCTAGTTTATAAAGCTTATTAGTTACTTAATCTAATAGTAATATTATTATTAAAGGATAATTTATAGAGTTTAAGAAAGTAGAGTATAAAAAGAAGAGATTAGATATATATAAAGTAATCTCTAAGATAAAAATACTAAAAAGAATAAAACTTCTTAAAGTAGAATATAATATTCTATATTTAGTATATAAAGCTAGAGTAACTATATTAATTACTATTTATAATTAGATTATAAAAACTATTAATTTAAATATTCTTTTCTAAATTACTATATCTTTAAATATTAAAGAATAGCTATCTATATATACTATTATTATTTATATTAAAGAAAGATTAGTACTAATAGATAAGTCTATTTATAAAGTAGCTTATAAAATATATCTAAATATTATTATAAAACTAATTAAATCTAGCTTTAGTATTAAAGTTATATAGTAATACTTAGAGTAAGAAAAAGCTTTTATTACTATTTATTTAATTAAAATTTATAAGATTAAAGAAGCTCTTAGGGTTAAGGATTTCCTTAAGATTATTACTATATTTAAACCTAATTAGGTTAATATATAGATATAGGAGTTAGTCTGATTTAAGTATAAAGAAGCTAAATTATAAAAAACTCTTAAAGAGTATAGAAAGTAGTTTCTTATATTTATAGAAATACTTTATATAAGAGGGATTATTTATTAGGGAGTTTATACTATCTTTAGTAGATATTTAGATAAATCTAATAATAAGGGTAAAAATAAAAATAAAAGAAAGTTAAAGGAGTATTCTTATTATAAATTAAACTCTTTATTTT